TCGAATACCCTAACGTTAATTTATTTCTAAACTATAATTTTATAAAGTTAATTCTAGCTAGTATAGAAAATTAAGATCTAAAAATTTTTATTACCTATAAATAGGTAATAAATAGCCCTAAAGTAGTATTTTAGAAAGAAGCTATAATTAAGGAAATTATCTAGCTAATTAAATATAAAACTTAGGAATTTTCCTACCTCCTTAAGGATAGGGAGGCTATAAGAGGTTACTAGGTCTATACTATAAAGAAGGATAGTTAAAATAATATAATAAAATATAAAGCTTATTTTATAATATAGGGATTTAAGTAGATCTATAGCTTAAATTTCCTAGATACCTTCTCGACTATAGCTAAACCTAAATCTATTAGAATTCTACTTATTTTAGCTATTATCTATAAATTTAAAGCTTTATAAATAGATATAATAAATACCTTCGTATATACTAATATAGATAGCGAAGTATATATCGATCTTCTTATAAGCTACGAAGAATACGCTCTTAAGGAATATTATTTAAAATATAGATTAGCTTATAGAGCTAAAGGAATTAAATTAACTAAATTCCTAGACCTATATAAAACCGGTTAAATTAAAGCAAAGCTAAAGAAAGTATTATATAGCCTAAAATAAAGTCCTAAGCTCTAGTATAATTATTTAAAAATTATACTAAATAAACTTAGATTTCTTCCTCTTTTAATAAATAAAGGAGTATATATAAATAAGGACTATAGTATAGCCTCAGTAATTTACGTCGACGACTTTCTTATAGTAGGGCCTTTTAAATCTATAATAAAAGAAAGATTATTTAAAGAATTATCTAATTTCCTAGATTTTACTATCTTACGAGATATAAAAGACTTCTTAGGTCTAAATATTATAATAAACCGAGAAAATAAAGAGCTATATATATCCTAAGAAGATTATACCTTAAATAAATTAAAGGAATTTAATAAAAAAGGTTTAGGAACTTTAAATTTACCCGCTATAGTAGGCTTTAAGCTTATAAAAGTAAAGGAATTACCTTTTAAGAAAGATATATTATAACTTTAAAAAGAAATAGGATCTCTATTATACTTAGCCTTATTTACTAGGCTAGATATCTTATATTCTATAATTTCCTATATTAGATTCGCGGCTAAGCCCGAGTAAATATATTTTAAGGCTTTAAATATAATTTAGAAATATTTAAATAAATTCCCTAGCCTAAAGATTAAATATAATTATAATATCCCTTTTACCTATCTATATATAAAGGGTTTTACCGACTCTAGCTAAGCGTTATATTTAATAGACGGAAAACCCTTTTCTAGTTACTATTTTTATATATATAATAATATAATAAGCTAGGCTTACTTTAAGTAGAAAGCTATTACCCTTTCTACCTATAAAGTAGAGTATATTAGCCTTAGAGAGGTAAATAAAGAAGCTATTTATTTAAATATACTTTTTAAATATATTACTAAGGATCTATTTATTAAGATTCTTAATACTATACCTCTTATTTTAATAGATAATACTACTACTATTAAATTAATAGAAAATCCGGAATTTTATAAAAGGTCTAAGTATATAAGATTAGCCTATTACTATACTAAAACTAAAATAAGAGAAGGGGAAATTCGAGATTTTTATATTAAATTAAAAGATAATATAGCTAATATTTTTATAAAGGAATTAAGACCTAGATTACTTTATAAATTTAAAGACGGTCTATCCTTAATATAAGTTCCTAAGCAATTAAAAGGGGTTTTTAGATATTTCTTATACTTTCTATATCTTTCCCTTACTAAGCTTTTCCTTTTTTAAGTTTCTTAAAGAAATATTTACTAGGTTTTTATCTATTAAGATTTTCCTAGTAATAATAGGTTTTACCTTATATAAGGTTATCCTATAAATAATTATTATAACTATAGATTTTTCCTACTATAGGTTTTTCTATTAGTATATACCTAAGGAATTTTTTCCTAAGAAAGAATAGGTTTTTATATATCCTATTAAGGTATAAAAATAGTTTTCCTAAATTAGGTTTTTACCCTATATATATACTACTATAAATAAATTAGTAAAGAGTATATAAATCTACTCTTTAAGGGAGGCTATAAGGAACGGTGTTTTCCTATTATAAATAAAGCAGCTATAATATACTCTCCTAATTATATAAGCTAATAAGTAGTATATTAATTATAGACAAAATCCTATTATATAGAGTAAGAATCGCTCGTTAATTTACATATTATTATTAATTAAACGGGTTGCCGGTTATCGTATAATCGGGAATCGAAGGAATAGAGCTAGCTTAGAATACTAGCTAAGACCTCTTAAGACCTCTTAGAACACCGGCATAACTAACCTCCTTTAAACACGAATATTAGTAGAACTAAGACACTTCTAGATATACTTAAGGTATTATAGAATTCCTTAGTCTTAGGGCTATACGGCAGCTTAAATCTAGTCCTAAAAGGTTCTTCCGTTTAGCTATAATTATCTATATAAGATAGTATGTCCGCTAGTAGATAGAGATAGAATTATTAACTTTAATACCTCTTTTATATACTAATATACTACTAATAAATTCTATTAAAAATCCTACCTTATACTCCTTCTTCCCCTTTATTACGTAGTCTTATATAATTCCTTAATTTCCTAAAATTCCGGTTTTACTTATATACCTTAAGATTAATATAGAGAAAGAGGAGGGATATTAATAGCTTTATAAGTCTCTTAATAAGCTTCGTAGGGCGATTAATATATAAGAGCCTAATATAGTTATTATAGATAAAGAAGCTGCCCTTAAAAACGCCCTTCTTTATATTTTCCCTCTTATATAATAATAACTCTATATATTCTACGTTAATAGTAACGTTTAGGCTCGAATCTAGTTACGCTAGAGAGACGAAGTAAATCCTAATAGCCCTAAAAACCCTATTAATATAGAGATCTATTTAGAGGTTAAAGCTATTCTCGCTTAAGAAGCCGTCGAATAAGGCGCCGCTAAGTAAAGCGCCGCCGCGGCGGCTAATTTAAACCTCGACCTAGATAGCGAAGTCGAATATAGCTATAAGGGTATATTCCTTACTTAGAAGCGCGTTATTTACGTAAAGATAGAAGCGAATTTCTATAAGGTATAGGAGAGGCTCGATAAGATCTTCGGTATATAGTAAGGCTATATTATAACCTATATCTTAAATAAATATATACTATAGCGTAAGTAATAGGTAGGCTACCTTATTAGCTAGTATCGTAACTTTAGGCAGCGGGTAAATAGCTTAGTTAAGACTACCTATAAGGATATAAAGTCGTATTTAGTTATAGGTACCCCTAACCTTTTATATCTTTCTAATGCCCTTATATAGATAATTAAGAATATAGAAATAATATATATATAAAAGGCCGCTTAGTAAGAGATATAATAAAGGCGTTATTTCCTTAGGCAGACTTAGCTCGGGGATCTTACCGTTAAAATTACCTATAAAGTAGTTAACCTACTTACTACGTAATATAGGCTTACCCTTACCGCGATGCCCTCGCTAACGTAAGAGCTATAGCCGTTATAGCCTTATAGCGGGCGATTTAAATACTAATCTAGGCTACCTTATATATATGCGATCCTTTAACGCCTCGAAGCTAGGTTAACACTTAAAAAGCATAATATTCTCTCGCGCTAGTAGCTTAAGAAGCTATTAGTAAAGACCCCCCCCCTTTCTAGTAATTTCTTTACTAATTATTACTATTAGGACCTCGAGGAGCTATTATTACGAATCCGCGATCCCGACGTCGTTAGTTATACGCGGCCGCCCCCGTAATAATAAGCTATCTATACTAAGCTCCCTCGCAGCGAAGGCATCGTAGCTAGCCGAGGTGGCTACGGCGGCGACGAGGTCATTATAGCTACCTAATTCAAGTCAGGCCAGCTCGAGGCGGCTTAACGCGAGCATTCGAAGGCACCGAGGGCAAGACGAGATAGACGAACTTAGCTATAGCCCGCGTTCTCTCGCAGCGTCACAACAAGGATCGTTAGCCCGAGGAAATACAAGGGGAAGGGGATTAAGAGGAGGACGCGGCAAGAGGAGCGCGCCTTCGGCTTCGTCAGGGCCGCCGGCTTCGTCAGGCGTTAGAGGGCTCGTTAAGTAGGAGGCCATTAAGTGGGGGCGACCGCCGCCGCCGCCGCCCACATAGCCGTAAGCGCTAGAGGGGCCGGATCAATTAACGGGCCGATTATTTTAACTTCGAGCTTAAGGCCCGGAAATGCGTTATTTAAGCGAATTGAGAGGCATGCGTTGTGTGGCCTTTCTTGCCTTATATGTGGTGTGTGTGTGTGGGCGGGCTCGGGCGCGGGCATTTGGGCGGTACCGCTACCTGCTATGCGGGCGCGGTATAAATAGGCGGGGCGGGCTGGCGTTGGTACGTATCTTAAAATGGGGCGTTTGTACGAATAGAGATATGTGTGTGTATAAATAGCAATACTCATCGTGCCTACCCCGCTCGCAAGTCATAATTAGACCACTCGCCACTCCGACCGAAGAGGAGAAATTCCTCTTCTCGCAAGCTTTAGTCTTACGACGAGGAGAACACAATACACACAGCGCAGTACCTCCAGCTATCTCTACTACCTGACTGATCGTACCGTGATACGTGTTCCCTTATATTTATATTAAAAAAAGAAGGTATAAATCACGCTATCCTCCTTAAAAGAAGGAGTCTATAGGTATAACTATATATATATACGAAGTATAGGGGGGAATAGGTTTCCCTATTAATCCGGTAGCTTACGGTTATCCGGATCTATTAAGTAACTTCCTTAGCATCCCTTAGGTTAACTACCGCATTCGGTGCCTCCGGATACGGCGATAGCATCGTCTCTGCTTATAGGGATGAGGGGCGCGCCCATTAGTGCGTGTAGGCGTGAGCCTAACCTTTAATAGCTATACATTGGTCTGTGGCCTTCTGGGACCCTTGTTGGGTCTTTGAGACCCTCGTTGGGTCGTGACAGTTATCAGCTTAGCCCACGCATACTGACAGCTCTCCAGACACATGACAGACAACCACCTCGGTGGAATCCTCTCTCAAGGAGGCCACGCTGTTCAGCACCAGACGACGTTGGCATTCGCAGTAAACAGTAAAGGTCCCATTCGACTTCACGTGTTGCCCGTTCTTTCGAACGCCGACGCACGAAGTAGCACTTCCGGGCTGTATGCTGTTCATCGTTAACACCATGTCGCATGTATAGCTTCCGGCTCCGGGCTGCACGTCTCCTGCTGCGTATAGTCTGCCAGTCTTGGTATCCTTCAGTTGCCAAGGCCTTCCTCCTTCAAAGGTTGTCTTGGGGAAAAGTAGAGCGTAGTACGTGGCCTCGAGACCCTGAGGCGTTACAACCGCGTCGGATTCGGATGTTGATAGCTGCAATCCGCTACTCCCTCCATGGGCCGCCATGAACGACGTTGGAGCCCAGCGGAATCCCGGAACTTGTTGCTTGCCCCCCTTTAAAAAGAGCACGTTCCGGGGAACCCTGCCCATGGCTTGTATCAGACGTATCATCCTGCGCTCCGGACTCAGCTCCACAAGGACCGAGGGCTGCATGCCCAGCAGACTGGCAACCGCTAGTGTTTCGTCTGATGGTCTTGATGTAGTCCTCCATCGTAGTGATCGAGCGACATCGCCTATTGAGTATGACCCATACGATGATCGTTTCATGAGTCGAAACAACTCTGCGGCCAGGTCGCCCAGGTGTGCATATATGTAAATATCGGCAGTCGACGGTATTAGATCTTTCATCAACACCCGAGTGTCAGCAAAGGCAAAATGGAGTTCCTTGGATAGCACCGATTCTTGGAGCGTCCAGAGGCGTCTCATCCAGCCCGAAGTCAGGACACGCATTAATCTCGTAGCGAGAGGCTCGGTAGAGCGGCAAAGCTGAAGGCCGCCATCGAGCACCAGGACGGCAGCCGCGTCACGGTATACCCGTGCCATCGTGCCTATAGCCAGTTTGCGGACAGTGGGTGTGTCGGGAATACATATTCCGTCCATCCAAAACGCGGCTTCGGGCCTGATACTGGAAACTAGAGAAGCGATTCGACGCAGCTGACAGATTGGAAGCCCTTTCTCTGTCGTGCTCCCCAGCCCATCCACCCAGACATGGGATATGGCGATGTACGGAACGTCCGACGAGCTGTGGACGTGGATAACAGACGGTTGGCCTGGAACGTCGCGTAATGACACGACGGGTATGTCTCCGCTGAGGATGTACTGCTCTACTTCGTCCAAGAGAGGTGCAGAGTATTCACAGTCGTTGCTTGACGAAGCCGTCTGCAATCCGCACAGCGCAGTGTGCTTTGGAATGTAGGTTTCGGGATCGACGTTATAGACGGTGCAAGAGTCACTTGAACAAGCATCGTGTCGGTTGCCATCTCTTATTGGTCTGGATGCACTGGCATATTCCAACGCAGAGACAGAAGTCGTGCTGATGAGGTATTCAACGACAGAAGGGCACCATCCATCAGCGGCCATCTCTTTCTTCAGCATTGCCCGCTGGTTCGGGGACCATATTATGGACCAGGAAAAGCCACTTCGGGGTAGACCTGGGGGGAAAGCCTGTCTCGCATTCACCAACGCCTCGCATATCAGGACGATGAAGCAGACCATGGACGGTGCGTCGTCATCTAAAGGATCGAACGTCGAGAAATTTTGTTTCAAAAGCCCAATGAGTATGGCATGAGTCTGTTTTAGACTGTGGTCAATTCGTCCCAGCCAAGGTCTGAGTTCGTCTTCGCTGCCTCGCCTGATCTGATGAAGCCAGTCGCGAAGCGTTTCGGCAAGACCGTGCTTGGTCATGAATCGCTTCCCGGACTCGTCGTGCTGGACGATTACACTTTCCGGGACATTCCTCTCCATGACAGCTTCCATCAATCCCAACGTGAGCCAGCTCTGCATGGCTGCAGCCGTCATGTCCCGCTGTTCTTCAACCCCCCCGTGCGGGCTCGACGGTCGAATTCCCAGGTACTGATTGAAGGGCACAACTCGATAGCCATCGTGGGGATACCCGAGCCATGCTGGATTCCCGAACAATTGGGACTGTGGCTTCCTTTGACCAACACCGCTCATTGTAGAGTGATTCAACGGGAATAGGGCGGCCAACAGCATCAGAGCGAGCCCAAGTGCAACGCGAGGCATGGCTCTTGGGATCTTGGGAGTCTCCTGCTACTGGAAACGAGCCCAACCCCGCCCAGGCTAACGCGTGTGAGCGCATACGTGCCTTAGGGCTTATGCCACAACCAGTGCATAAGTCCATCATCGTAGCCTGAATATCCCCTTCACCGTCTCCATCCGATTCCCTCTTCCTGCCCCATGGCTCCATTCCTCTCGACGCGTGCCTCCTTCCTTCGCGACCCTTCAGGACCAGCCACTGCGTTCAGGTCCCAGTGGACCACGCCCGGCGATGTCTTCAGCGTCCTCCTCCTTCTCGGCGGTGACGTCGTCGGACGGGCTTTGGCACAGCTAACTGGGTCGGGACTGGCGCCCGTGGCCTTTTCATTCGGTAAGGCCTTGATTGACGATGTCGACGCTGCCTGGCTTTTACTCAGCGTCGCCTACTCTAGGATGGGTGGCTTACTCCATCTCGGCCCTCGTCTCCGCCGTCGGCGAGAACAAGCTTATGCCCCTGGACCCCGACTGCCGATGCAAGATCATCGACGTCAAGAATGCATATGCTCGTGAAAACTCAAGCTGGGTGCTCGGCCGCATCACCCGCGACTTTGGCCTCTGGCGGCACCCCGACGTGCAGGAGAAGCTGGACCAGGTCTTGGACAAGAGATGGGAGCAGCTGAAGCAGAAGGACCCGGCGGCGAATCGGCCACCCATCGCAGGCCTGATCGTGTCCGTATACGAGCCCAGCAGGGACATCGAGGCCGGCACAGTGTGCCGCGATTTCGTCTACCGCATCGGCCTGCTGGTCATTGCCCTACAACTAGGCATTGCTGCCATACCCTGCGGTCTGTTTGGCGACTGGGGGATACTCCTAGTCACTGCAGCCGGCATTGTCCTCTCTCTACTCACTGGGCTCCTTCCGCAGTGGAAGAGGGAGAAGTGGGCTTGTCGAAGGCAGGCCAGACACAGCTACGTTCTGACGAGAGGAAACGGCTCCCAGCACGCCATTGTTGTTATGGGAAACGGCCACGGGTTCAACCTCGAGGATCTGGCAACCGGCCAAGGCAACATCATGGTCGCCACCAACACGTCTACTCGCCTTGCCCTCCTGTGTCTGGCCGCTCTATGGATCATGCTGCTCCTCACGGCGGCGGGGCTGAAGCAAAACACCTGGTTCCTCGTCGCCGTCGGCGGCATCGGCATCCTGCAAAACATCTACGTTGCTGGCGCGCCGCGACGGCCCGAGACCTTCGGTCTGATCCTAGACTTCAAAAAGGTCTTTGGCAAGCCAAGTGTCATGGAGACCTTGTTGGAGGTCGAGAGTGAGTATGAGAATGTGGGACTCGCTTTGCGTCACGAGTTTTTCCCCGGCTCTCTCGGAAAGGAGGATGAAGTTCGATGGGGGAACTGCTTGCGAGGATCGAAGAAGGAGGCCGGCGGTTAGAACTCGAACGGTCCAAGCAGAGAGAATTTGGTTCCCAGGTACGCTCGCAAATTCGCTGGGCTACCGGACAAAGCAGTATGAAGTGAACATCCGAGCCTCCCTATCAACTGGGTGACAAAATACAGGCATCTCCAAGCGCGATTTAAGCTAATGTGACTTTAAAAAGAAAGAAAGAAAGAGACTGAATTATGAAATGAAAGCTCATTATAGTACCGTGAGCGTGAACGGCGCGTTTAGATATCTTGGAGAAAATGTATACGGTAAATCCAGTCCAAAATGCCCTCGATAGGCGGCTGGCTTATGGCTCTAGTGGTGATGTAGATGCTGGGGAGCCGGTTTGCGCTGCCGGCAACCGGCACCCAGTTGCCTAGCTTGCCAGGAAGAACGTGCAACTCGCTGGCGGCTGTTAGAAATACACTAAAAACTGAGACAGGCTTGACGGGCCTGAGACGGTGTGAGCCTCACACGTGGGTTATCATGAAGCCTATGCGAATATTATATAGTTATCCCTTTAAAGGTCTTAGGTCTCCAAAGTGGCATCGTTTAGGGGTTTTGACCACTGAGAAGCTTCACGCTGAACAGTACATCAGCCGCCGCTTGTTCTACGTGACTGAAAAGGTACCGCGATCCTCGTCTTCTCCATTAGGATACATAGCAACTCCACAATCTTTCAAGTTATCAACTTCAAGATCGATGGTCAGGGCTTTCATCGATAAGAAGAGGCGCAATAAGATTTATATAGACACGAACTCGTATAGAGATATACGCCTCGTAGCACGGCTAGGCCGCCGCCAGCAGGCTCGGCCAGGCGGGCAAGGCGGGTAAGGGCCCGCTTAGTTCGACGAAATAATATATCTTTAAGCCTCGAGCTCTATATATATGTATATATATATATATATATATATAACGTAAGCAGATAAAGTCATGAAGAAGTTTGAGCACGAATTTGGCATACTTGCTGTGTATTTGCTGTGGAGAAGCCCATAGCAAGGTAAACCAAATCCATCTTATCTCTTGACGAAGTCTTTATCGTCTACGCGTAGCAGCCATTCCAAGAGATGGCATGAAGCAAGAGACGCGCTTTTTACGCACTCGGATTTGCTGCGGAAAACCCCCTATTGGCGGGAGGCACGGGTGTTGTAAGCAAGCAAGCCGCGGAACCCAAGTTCTGACATATATCAAGAGTTGCAAAATTCACTGCTATACCCATCTCTTCGATATTCACCACGCCTCTTTCCGGGTATTAGAACACCAGTTGGCCATCGCCAAGCCACTCTCTCCTTCTCCTCTTGCTTCATTATCATCATCACCGCCAACGCTCTCGTTTACCTAGCACCACTCCTCAACTCACCAGGCCAAGACGAACCACAGCCCTGGCAAGTTCAAGTCCGGACAACAGAGCACCCGCAAGGACGAAAGATGCTTCCCACCATGTACCCATACTTCATCATCATCATCATCGGCGCCGCCGCCGCAGGCGCTGGCAACGCGTCCGCCGTCTTGTCAGCCTTCATGATGGGACAGCTGCTGAGCTCCAATGCCCGCAGTGCGGCAGGGATCCAGGCAAGTCCGTGCCCCTTTGCGGCCGGTATTCCTTTCTCGGGGATGTCGAGAAGGGAGGAATGTGTGGGAACTAACCAAGCTCTTTCGTTTACTTGCAGGGCCGGCCACCGCCATTGCCCCCAACGCGGCCTTGGCCGCCTACAGCGTGGCCATTCTGAACGACGTCGTTGAGGGTCTTGGAGCCTATTACGCCGTGTCGTCCGCCGTACGAGCGCTGGTGGCGCTTAGCGAGATGGATCTCAAGGACGGCGAGTACGGAGAGGAGACGAAGGACACCAAGGGCGACGGCGACGAAGAGGATATCGAGGGTATCAAGAACGGACAAGGGGAGAACTGATCACAGTTCCCTTGCAGAAATCGGCAGCGGCGAGGGCATCTTGGAATTGTAGATGCTCAAGCCCGGCCGAGCCATCTTCTCTCCGCCGGCTTTGATATTTCGGCGTCGTTGGGTTAAGAGGCAACCAGGGAAGGGCAGATCATCCGTCGATCCTGGATTGTTGTTGCAAACGAGGTTATGTTTAAAGGTCTAGACTCACTCGGCACGATATTCACTGCACCACCTTCTAAGATATAAAGAGCCACGGTCTGCCATAGACAACCGTGTTTCTCTCTTCTTCCCTCCTTTTCATCCCCATCGTTGTTCGCCTAGCACACCGCTCACCACGACAAAATCAACACGACACACCTCTAGCAAGTCGGGAGACTCTCCTCTCGAAGCCCCAAGGTTCTTCCGCCATGCATCCACACCCCGTCATCGCCGCCGTCGCCAGCGCTGGCATCACGTCCGCCGTCTTGCCAGCCTTCCTTGCAGCACCGCTGCTGAGCGCCTGTGGCTTCACAGCAACGGGGACTCAACCAGGTTCGTCTCCTATGTCCAACCTGCTTTCTTATAAAGGGGAGAGGCTCTTTCTGAGAAAAGGGGCCCAGAAGGCTTAACCGGGTTGCTTTGCAGGATCACTCGCCGCTGTTGCCCAGAGCACGGCCATGGGCGGCAACTGCATGGCCATTGTCAACGGCGTCGTTCAGGGCGTCGGCACCGCGGCGTCTTTCTTGCGTAATGTGGATGGGCGGCAAGAGAGGATGGCAAGAGAGGATATGGCGGGCATGGAGAGAAGGCCAAAGGTTCCGAGGGCACCAAGAGGGAGTTGTAGATGACCAAGGTCGCGCGAGCCAGCTCTCTGGCGTCGACTCTGCCATTCCCGCGGTCGCCATGATCAGATGGAAAGGTCAAGGCATCTTTGCCCGTCGAAGCCAGTGATGTAGGCAGTTTCAGCCGTATGCAGACAGTGGGTTATAACACTTGATCTTGCCCGTGTTATCAGTTCATAGAATCGTCAAACGCCCCCATCGCGTCCACGGCATCTATCGTCATCTATCACCCCCTCTCCCCAGTCCTCGAACCTCGTTCGACAGCTGCAGCCCATATTCATTTACAGCGAGCTCTTCGAGCACCGTCCATCTATACGTGACCCAGTACGACTCATCACCCAGCCTCACCCCGCCACGAGGTCATCCCGCGCCGCAATCTCCTCCCTCTTTCCCTCCGCCAGAGCCTTCTCCCGCCCATCGTCCACCCCTTTGTCGACACCATTTACCCCCTTACCTGCGGCCACCGTCTTGGCCGCCGCCTTCTTCTCCTTCTTGCTCAAGGTAATGGCGCCCTTGGCCAGCGCCTCGCTCGGCAGCGGCCGAATGATAGGCTGCGCAACCCACCACGGCCGCCTACACCTCCGCAACGCCCAGAGCGAGCTCTCCGCCTCGTCGCCATCCCCGGCCGCGGTGCCACCCAGCGCGGCCAACTCGTCATCGAAGCTCTTGCCGCCCGTGCGCTCGTACTCGAGCAAGCCCTCGGCCACCTTGCGCTCCACGGCCGCCAGGATGCGCTCGAAGGCGGCGACTCCCCCGCCGCCCTTGGAGCTGCGCGCCAGCATGTCGCGCACGTCGGTGTGGCGTGTCACCAGGTGGCGGAGGAGGTGGAAGAGGTGTGCCTGCACGGCCGACAGGTTGGGCGACGGCGACGACGATGACGCCGTGTGGTCTTGATTCTTGGGCCCGCCGTCTTTTCTGCGGCGCTTCTTGGGTGGCTCTTCGGCGTCAGCGTCGGCGTCGGCTCGCTCACCTTCCTCCATCCACGCCGTGTCGTCGCCGGACTGGAAGAGCGGTCGGCGACTCGGTGGGTCGGCGCCGAGCACGTACTTGTGCAGGATGTCGAGGTAGCGCCTCGTCATGGCGTCGACCCTCCAGCCACCCTTGCCGTACTTGCCTCTCCAGTACTCACGGCCCTCTTGGCCGACGGGCGGAGCTTTGGCAAAGATGGCCGGGTCGCTCAGATTTCCCTCGGCACTCATGACGCCGTCAGCCCCTGTCGCCTCCAAACACGCATCGACGTCTCCCTCTTGCAAGACATTGCCGTTGGCAAAGATGACGGTGTCAGGGGGCAGCTCGTCCCTCAGAAACCTCAGCATGGCCCAGTCTGCGAGCCCAGTCATGTGGCCCTTTTGCTCTCTCCTCCGCCCGTGCACTGTCAAGATCGAGGCCCCCGCTCTGAGCACGTTCTGCGCATACTCGAGCGTCCTTTCCTTGGTCTCGAGGATACGAATCTTGGCAGTGACAGGCACGGGCAGTTCCTTGTGCAGCGTATTGATGAGGCGAAAGACGAGCTCCTGGTCCTCCTGCAGAAAGGCGCCGTAGTTGCCCCTGCGCGCAATGCCCTGCGGACAGCCCAGGTTGAGGTCAACGGCGTCGCAGTGCGGAGCCACCTCTTTGGCGGCCGAGAGGAGGACCGAGGCGTCGTTTGCGCAGAACTGGACGAATAGAGGCCGGTCGATGGACGGGTTGCCGTCGAGCCAGGGCTCGTCGGAGCCTGGGCGGACGGCCTGGAAGTGCGCCTTGCGGTATTTTTCCTCGTGCGCAAACAGACGCGCGTGCAGCATGGGTGTGTAGGCGAGCAGCTTCGACTGCTCGCTCTCGGGCATAAAGGACCGGGTGAGCATGCGCCATGCCTAGATGGAGAAAGAGTAGAGGCGTCAGCGAGTGACGACACAAAGGGCAGACATCAGCCGGCAACATACAAACTCGGACTGGTCCACCATGGGAGCTACAATATACTTGGGGCTCCCGATGCTCTCATAGAAGGCTCTCCCATGGAGCTTCTCTGCCGTGGCCGTGTGCATCGTCGCGGCGATAATGGCCCGGCGCACAGCGGGTTTCCTGCCGGTAGAGGATCGAAGCAGCGCGCAAGCCCGAGACCCGACGCCCGCCCGTCGCATGGACGAAACCGGCTCCCAGTGTCGCGCTTCTCGTCTGCGTCACGGAAGGCTGCGGTAGGTTTGGATTCAACAATCGGGACATTGACAAGGAACAGAGTTTGAGGCTTAGGAAAATCGTAGCCTTGTATTTTTGGGTCTCTCTGCCTACGTTAAGTCCGGTCTGGGTCTGCGCGGGGTCCACGCTCCTGTCGAGGTCGCCGAGGCCGTTTTCATCCCTCTACAATTCCGACGGCCTTTCTCGTCTTTCGACACACCGGCATACGGCACTTGAAAATTCAGCATCCAGACACTCCTAGAATATATCTCGCTTGTGGGCTAGTCGCGCTATAGAGACATTTTCTCGTCGCCAAAGTACAATCACACATGGACCGTTAGTCCGCTGTGCCGCTTTGCCGTCAAGTCTCTTCGCTTGTGCTGGTTTCCTTTCCGCTGCCCGTGGCCCTCCCCCTCTTTCTCCACGACTCGACTCCTGCTTGCGCAGGCACGCGCCAATCCAGAGCAGTGCCTCGTCTCAATGCTCCTCGGCCGAGCCGCTCTCTCTAGCCCGCCGTTTGCTCCAACAGGTCCCCCACCCCGCCTCCTGGCCTGGCCGCAATATTAAGGAGATGTGATGACTCTGGGGCTAAATTCCCGCCCGACATGTGACACAAACTGACAAACGCCATCCGACACCATACAATGCTGTCCCCAAACGCCCTCAATGAAAAATGTGGTCCAAGTACATTGTCTCGGGCTTCTGCCGCCCATCGTCGACGAAGCAATCAGCTGAATGGGTTCCCTCTATTCGGCGTGACCGTCATCAGAAGAAGTGCGTGTAAATCTTGGAGTTTTCGTGGACTTCCATCTCCTGTGCGCACCTAGTCAGCATCCATTCCGACCACCAAGCCTCGCAACCCAAGGTACTCACCATCTTGAACGTGTTGAGCTCTTCCTTGATTTGCTGGGCCAGCATCGGCGTGAGACGATTGCACGTCGCAACGTCACCCCGTCGGTCATACTCTTGACTCGGCCAAGTGTCGTAGAAGATAATGCGGGGCGAGAAGGTGGCGCTTCGTTTCGTTCCCTGAGGCGTTCCGGGCGGGCTCTTGGTGTCTTGCCGCAGCCGCAGCGCAGACATGAAGTAGTCCTCGTTGCCAATAGCAATCGAGTCAGTCCTCTTGTGGCCCTGCAACTCGTCGTTTGGTGTGCTGGGCGCACTCGAGCTCGGCGAATCCGAGATGGCTGGCATGTTGGGCAGCACCAGGTCCGGAGATGCATCGGCTGCGCGAATAGACGGGCTCGAAGAACCTGTTTTACAGTCAGCCATGGCTGTGGACGAGGGTACCAACTTTACTGCATGACATCGACGACTTACGCTTCAGTATTCCCTTTCGGACAGCAGCCAGCACTTCTGCACGTTCCTTGTCGCCGCCGACGATGCTTTTGCGTGGGGCCGATTGGTCCGTACCCGAACTGTCGAGGCGCTCTGACGCCATGTCTGACACCTGCGCAGCGTCCAGAGAATTCCGCTCAAGGTGGGGGAACCCGGTGCCGCCGTTCGTCAGAGCAGGGTCAGCAGTCACGTTGACCCGTTGAGTCTCGGCCTCGACAGTTATCATGGACACGGCTGGCTGGCTGGCATCCTGTGGCAGTCCATCTGGGGTGGGAAACCCAGGCATCGATTTGGGCCGAAACAGACCGACGAGCGAGCGGGTGCTTTTCTTCATCCCGCGCCCCATCTTGCGAATCATGACCGACGCCGACGATGCCGTGGAGGAAATGGACAGGTTGTCAGTCGAGCCGAAAAAGCGTCCGCCGTAGATGCTGCTGCCTATGCCCGCCGCCTCCTGCGCCTCGGCGATGCGAGCCTGCTCGGCATCGTAGGCTTCATCGGGCGTAGGCTCTTTGTGGAGCTTTGATGGTTCCATCTTTTCGACGCCATCTTCTTCACCGCCCGCAGCCTTACGGAAGTCTGCCGCGCTGCCAAACGAGAAAGCCCTCCGCAGACGAGACGTCTTGCTCTTAGCCCTACTTCCCTTCTGGTTGATCGCAGCCAGCTGCTTTGCCGCTGGGGAGTTGAGTTTGGCGCCCGCAGATCCAGCAGACGTCGGAGACGACTCGTCTGAAGCGTCATTGGCCATCGTCGCCGGTTTCGACAGGGGAGAGGGACTGAGCGTGCGCTTGGTCGCCTCGGAAGACGAGCCGCGTGGAGGAATGTTTAGCAGCTTGGCCTGGTCCGCCTTGGAGGATGTATCGTCAGAGGCAGGTGATGAGGGGTTCCCGGTGGAGACGGGAATATTGCGGTTGGTAATCTGCACAACAGTTAGTACCCATTGCGTGCATCGCTCCTTCGACTTGGCGCCATGTGCAGCGTCCGGGGCGTAACCTACTGAAGACTGACGCGAATTGCTGCTTCGAGTCGAAGAAGTGCTCTCCGAGCTGCCACTGCGAGAATGGGTCGTCGCGTGGGGAGACAAGCGCGGTGACTTCGAGTCCTTTTCAGGGCGTATTGCATCGGCGGGGCTCAAGCTAGCCTTGGAGGTATTGGGCAAGTCGATCGTGTGCATGCTGCGACGACGCATTCTCCTACCATCTTCTTGAAGTGATCGGTTGTGAAGATGCATGTCGTCGAAAGATGAGACGGCGGCCAGGCCTCGGCTACCCGGAAAGTTTGGCGCAGAGTACCTCGGATTGCCCTGTGCGGCGTACAACTGCTGGCTGTTCACCATTGAGATGCTCGATGGTAGGGTCGAGCTCTGCGAGCGAGAATGAAGGTTTCCACCGCTCGACCGCCGGTAACGATCAGGGGCGTTTCTGCTGGGAGCGCCCGAGCTGAAGGAAGGTTGTGAGTTGACAGCCAAAAACGACTGTGACCGAGACGTCGGGGTAATGTTCCGGTTCGTCGAGAGCGCCGAGTCGTCACGCGACCCGCCGTTACCAACTCCAAACGAGTGCGAGTATCCCACGTTTGTAGCGGGAGGACCACTCGGGAGCGGTGCCCGGTAGTTGGCGTTGAGGTCGTAGGGCTGAGCCCCTGCGGTGGCGGGGGACGAGGCCGTCCTGTAGGCACCATACTGCTGCCAGGACATGGTCTGATTGAGGTTTGGGGTACTGGTGAAGGCATAGGGCTGCACCGGGGCAGTGTTGCCTCGATATCCAGACGACCCGGCGGCTTGGTACGGGGATCTCGGGGGCTGGGGGGCGCTTCCCATGAATTGGTGGTTGGCGTGCGGCTGACTCGCCGACATCATGCCCGAGGTGGAGGATGGCCGCGTTTGGAGCATTGTTACCGTACCAGTCTGCTGCGGATACGTCTGAACCAGCGCAGCCATAGTTCCTCCAATTCACAGGTACGCAGCAGTGTGTTCCGAAAAACGCGGGTTGCGTCCCTTGTGTTTATACACTCGTGTTGACGGCCGAATAATTCGAGGGAGGCAAAGCGGATAGGAACCAGAGCGTGGCCTGAAGCAGAACAGGAGTAAACCTGGAGAACATTGTCAGCGATGACCCGAAAGGGAAGAACTGCAAGGAGAGAACATTTCAAGTGGCAGCTGGTAACAACAACAACAAAGCCTTCATGACGCGGCCATCTGGCAAAGCAAGGTGGTTTGAAAGAGACGCGTTCATCGGCGAGGTGGGTGTACCTTTTTTTTTTCCTTTTTTCTTTTCCCCTTGCAAGTAGGGGTTTTTTTTGGAGGTGAAAGGAGAATAGCGATTGCTGGATCTTTTTTTTACCGGTTCGCTGAGGTTGCAAGAAAAGCGAGAGGTGGACGATTAAATCGAAGGACGCCGGCGGCCGGGGAGAAGAGAGTGGTCGTGTCGAAAACAGAGACGCTCACGGCAAACTCGTTGCCCGAGTCGGATGCAAAACTCGGATGAGGGAGGAGGGCGGCTGAGAGACCAGGTGCCGCAGACAAGAGGACACGGTCAAATCTGCAGCCAGCTCGGACAAAACATGGGAGCCGCGCAGACGATGGGGCCGTCTTGGATAGAACGGCCGTGGGGGATAGGTCGGGCGGCTTGTGCGAGGTATTACGAGCTCAGCGTCGAGTAGGACAAGCGTTCCGATGGCAGCGCAGAACGTCACAAGAGGGGGGAGGAGTGGAAAGGGAAGGGTCAAGAGGCAATGCAGACGGACAAGTCGAATGTGTGCAACGCAGCGCTCGAGTTATGGAAAAGAAGACGAAGAAATGATTGAAGGGGGGAAAGGGGCGGCGTTGGTCCCTGGTGGAGGCCAAGCGGAGAGGAGGAAAGGGGGCGCTGCGAGAGGTGGCAGGCGAGCTTGCGTCGGCCGCTCTGTTACGCGTCGTTCGCTCGTCCGGAGTCGACGGGGAGGGGGCGACGAAGAAAGAAAGGAAAAGGAGACGGTACAATGAGGTCGAAGATGGGAAAGGAAAGAAGACAGGAGGGTGGTGATGATGGTCGAGCGTCTGTCTGTCTGGTGGGCGAAGGTGGAATGGAGAAGCCAGTGGAAAGCGGTGGGAGGCGAGAGCGGGCGGGTGACTGGCCTCTCCATGCCTTTGGGTTTCAGTGGGGAGGGGGCGGCCAGGCTGCGGAGGGCCGCTAAGTGCAAGTCGAAGGCTACTAAAAGGAGGGAAGTACCGGTGACAGGATGGCCGGGTGCGGGCTTAGGCACAAGCCAGGACCCCTAGAGTTGCGGTAGCCGTGCTGTGGCAGACGGCCTGCTACAAGATCAATATCCCGCAGGACGGCTGCGGGGCCCATTGGAAGAAGCCTTTGCAGGAGCTTTGCAGGGGGATTGATGGATTGCTGAATGGCTGGAAACCAGACGTGCAAGTCGGTTTTGTTGACTGCACGTCACGAGAAGACGAGACGCAGGCATGCAGCCGGCGATTTGATGACCACGCTACATGCCGACGACTGCCATTGTCGACCGTAGCCTATTTTAGGCCGACGGTTCTTTTTTCTTACACAGAATGACTGAACAGGCGCTACTCGAGTACCCGTGCCACGCCCCACTTTATTTGGAATTCGCAAGCTCCCACCTCCTAAAGTTGGTGCTCACCACCAGTATCCCCACACCACCGGAATACCCAGAATTTCGACTCCCCGACCTAGAATCGCTTCAACCACCGCGTACCACGCTCAGAATCGCGTACTTCCACTCGTTCTAACCTTCCTGAACCCCTCCATTGGCGTGCCTTTTTTGCTGCTTCCTCAAACCATCGCTTGCGTGCGTTATGCGCCTTTTCTCCGCGTCTTCTACTACCTTCCTTGCTTTAGCAATCTGATCATCTCCCTTTGTTGCACCATTTCCCGTCCTTGGGCCACTGACAATACTCCTCCTGATTGTAACTGTATATTCTTCATAGCCTTACGTTGTTTTTGGATCCGCTCCGCCATTTTGGTTCGTCCCAAGTCCCTTTTAGTCTGCACGAGCTCAGTCGCCAGAGATAGCGATCCTCGAATAAATCGACTGAGATCGTGAGAAAAGTCGGGATCCAGGCTTTTATCGTCTTCAAGGACGAGATCTAATTTGTCCGCTACCTTGTTTATTTGTCGTAGAGTCAATGGTGTCTCGAAAGGTGAGGAGTGTGGTCCTGAATTGGGAGGAGGTGTGGGTGTCGTGGCTTGACGAGCTTCCAAACATTGAAGTACTACTTGTGGATTGAATGGGAAGATTCCTGTCTTGCGAAATGCGGAGCGTATAGTACTCTCCTTGAAAGCATGCAATCGTACTTGTTGAATGCAGGAGAGAAACTCAAGCTTGGTTATGTTGACGAGGCCATCTCGAACCATGACATCTAAAGCCTTGGCGTGATAGTGCTTTAGGGGCTGGAAAACGACAACGTCCAAAGGCTGAAGTGCATGCGTGAGATTAGGCGGCATGCCGAAGGGAATAATATTGTGGTTGTCGCAGTATTCAATGAACTGCCTGGTATGGTGAGAGCCATGACCATCAAGAATTAGAAGTCGCTTCGAGCTTCTTGAGCTTTTTTTCCGAGTGCTTGTCAAAATGCTGGAGCCACTCCAGACTAATCACGTCGTTTGAGTAACCAGTAGGCGTGGGTCGAATAACTGTGTCAGGATCTAGCTCAGGTATTTGATACCATGAAGCCATGTGCATCTGGCCAGCGAGTATCAAAAAAAGCCGGAACAACCTCCCCATTCGCCGAGATAGCTTCGATCGCAGTAGCGGATTCCCTATTCTCAGGAATGCCAAAATAATGAGCTCTCCTCCGTTTTGTCACAATCAGCTGGTCTTTTCCAACCCCGATGCGAAAACCAGTCTCGTCCATATTCCAGATATCCTCAGGAGGTATACCATTGTCTTGGATAACCTGCCGAAGATGCTGGAAATACTGGTTAACTCGTGTAAGATTCTCGGAGACTTGGCGCTCTGCTTGAAGCCTTTTTTGGCGCTTTTTGAAGTAGCCGTGACGCTTTAAGAAGCGAGAAGTCCAGTTTGGCCCCACGGTAGGAGCGTCGCGCTGGCTAGACCGCTCGCGCAAGATACAGTTTGCCGCGTCAGTAACGAACTCGACGCGTACCGCAAGGTTTATATTATCCAAACGATCGATATAGCGACATAGGGCCTTCTCTTCTGGTTCGGAAAGCCTCGTATTTCTAGCTCGCTGGCCAGTTTTAGGAGGTCGGCCTTGAAGACGGTATCGCAATCGATCACGTGTTACACCGAATTCTCGCGCTACGGTTGCGACTTTAGCACCGGAAAATTTTCAATATATCGAAGAGCGTTTTGTACACGTGCTTCCATTTCGGCTATCGACGAGATCGTGAATTGGTTAAGATATAGGGATGCTGAAGTCGGGGAGTCGAAATTCTGGGTATTCCGGTGGTGTGGGGATACTGGTGGTGAGCACCAACTTTAGGAGGTGGGAGCTTGCGAATTCCAAATAAAGTGGGGCGTGGCACGGGTACGGTCAGCGCGGGCTCGTTCTTGTTGAGATGACGCTGCTCCATTTCTCGGATGGATAATTATTAACGGCGGGTTGAGGAACCGGCCAAGGCGCTACTGGCTATCGCAAGGGAGCCGCCCTGTCAGGATGCAGAGCCTTGTCCGCTTTGCTGCCCAGTATCCCAGCCAGGTGCCTTTTGTGCCTCTTGCCACGGCCAACAACGACCTTCCCTCTTACAGTACACATTCAAAAAAAAAATTGATGCTTTGCCCTGATCCGCCTGGAGCGTGCAAGCCGTGTTGACGACGCCAGACGCACAACACCACAAAAAGGGGGGGGATGTGCCCCATGCTCGAGGCGAATGATTGGACCGTCATCTCGCCGTGGCATTGACCCGTTTCTGCGCTAAACCAGGGACCTGGCACGAGGTATCCGTACTTATCCACGACTTATAGCACGAGGTAGACCCAGGCTTATCGGTAACGGGGTGCCTCGACTTTCCGGGCCACTGAGTACGGCGAGATGCGGGAGCCCGCACGTATCAGGTACGAAGAAGCTTTTTCTCACCGGCTGCTTAAACCCGCTTGCGAAGCCCGGTTTGACAAACAGGGGACATGTTGCCATTCAGTATTCGCAAAGAACAAGTCCCGCTGCCCGGTGAGGCGTTGTCGTCACCGCTGCTCTTGTTGCCGATGTTGTTATTGCTGGCTGCTTCTGCCCTTTTCTTTTTTCGTGGCGCGCTCGTGTTTTTAGACGCCCCCCTCCCCGCCCATCGTGCATGCCTCTCTACTCCGTACCTACTACTCCGTACCTACTCCGTACGCGTCGGCCAAGTACCCGTGACGCGGCCCTCATCTTTCCCTGCATTAATCCTCTGCACAGTGTTGCTTTTGGCGCCGAGCGTTGTCGGTTGTTGGGCCTCGCCGACGGGGATGGCAAAGCAGCCCGGGATGGTTTAACAGACCCTTTTCTTTCTTTTCCAGATGGCCAGCTGCACGGCTTTGTGCCACCGTGTCTGAAGGGGAGATATCGGTACATGCAGCCTTGCATGAACAGGCCCAGAGGCCGTGTCCGGTAGTGGATGTGTCGCCCGCCGGTGGTGGTAGCGGCGGGTGGTGGCGACGCTATAATAGCCGGGCCAACTCGTCGTCCCCTGCTGCCGAATGGCCTTGGCTTTGCCCTCCTTTTGATCCGAGCAGGCATGACTCCTACAGTACACGAGCATGACGAGCTAAAGTTTGGGTCACATCGAAAAAGGAGTCGGGCGTTTATTTCGTAATTCCATCTTCTCTCGCAGTCCGGCCGGGCCAGATGATGACTCATTTTTGGGGGATTGATAAGAAGCACGACTAACCCCCTCCCCCTTTCCCCCATCTGCCACTCATTACACTTCGGCCTGGCGCCATTTTGAGTCTCGACGCCTCGCTGGGCAAGGGTTGTGCATGAGGGATTGCCATGCCCGGGGATCGGCATGAGCCAATCCTGCCCCCTGGCTGTCTCTCCATGTTTTTCTCTCCTGTCAACTCCTTTTCTGGTCTGTGCCGTCTTTGTGGCCACGAGTCCGCAGTTGTTTGTCGCTCGGTTTATTATTAGTGCAAGCGACGAGGAATGTGTCTCCCTTCCATGTTGCTGTTTCAACGCCCATGCTACCGGCCAACATTGCAGCCTCGTATTGATTAGCAGGTGTCAGTCGACCGTTTGGACTATGCGCTGCACGCTACATGGGATGCCCTCGGCAAGCATGTACCCAGGACACGGAGAACGGGCAGCATGTGCGGCACAGAATGCTGGGTGGGTACCCGCCCGAATTGCTCGGCGAGGTACTCCGTACTTCCACCGTCGTCTGGCAACACCCCACCCAGACAGCACAGTACAGTGCATGTGCCGTCGTGAAGGATGGATGCCTTGCATGGAACTACCTACGCTACGTACATACAGCACATACATACTGATATTACACCGCGATTCCGGCCATGTGTACTGTATGTATGTAAGTGCGTTGGGGAGGGGGCAAAGGCGGGGGGCAAATGTGATATGAGACCAAGTCGACGTGGGGAAAGAAGTAGAACCCCAACTCTCTCGCTCGCCTTCTCTCTTGTCGCTTCTCTTTCCCTCGTTGCCTGCTCCCGAGCCGGTCCGGCGCGCCATGTCTATCATTGCGTCGCGTGCCGTGTGACGGAAGCCGTGTTCGCTGGTCCCGGAAACAGGAGCCTCTTTGGCCGGGCTCGGTGAAGAGTTCAGCGCCCGTCGCCAAGGCCGCTCAATCGGATGCGGCTCGAGCTACAGAGAGACTACCTATACAGCAACCACCTACTGCACGCCCCTAACTGCTGGCGCGTGCAGCGCGGCTCGGGAGCGGAACAAGATATCACAAAGCTTAACTCTTGAATCCCCATGACGGCTGGCCTTGGCTTAGACCCTGACGTCTTGTTAGCTTTCTTGCTCGCGGCCGGCCGGAAAGCCCAGCGCTAGGCCGTACATGCTCTGTTTCCGCCTCCATGACCGGGGGTGGGACCGACCTGTTCGGATGATCAGAGACGACAGCGCCCGGCAAGGTCGGAAATCGCTTCTAGCTGTCATTGTTCTCGGCTGGCCTAGAAGCGCGCTTCTAGTTTCCACACGCCCGGGCCAAACATCGTCTTTTACTTGACGAAAAGGAGGGCCAGGGCCGATCACGCAAGCAAGTCGATAACAGGTTAGGAGCAGCAGCGCCCGTCACATGTCGGCCATCTTTCCCAAGGCGCCCCGTGGATTCGATTCTCCTCAGCTGGCACAAGGAGCCACCGCCAACAAGCAACAAGGTGCAGCGCTGCATGGTGGGCGGCCAATGGCTTCGGCGCCCAAGACTTGATTCCCTTTCCAAGGATACCCGCTGTTGATGCCGCCGCGGCTAGCGACCTTGGTGAAACCTCGCGGTACCGTGTCTCTGGGGCTTCGTGGGCATCCACGTCCCCGACTCGCTGCAACTGTGCCGGCGGCGGGCATTTCCAAGGACGGACAGGACTTACGGACAGGACTTGTGGGCAAGGCATCAAGCTTCGCCGGGCACATTGCCATGGCTGTCGGTCAGTCTGGGGCCGCTGTTTCGGCGTGCTGCGACATCTCGCCCACCCCCAATTGACTTGTTTTATCCCCGTATCTGTTTTGTTTTGTCCAGTGTCTGCACTGTGCTACAGCATGTCGGTGTATCCAGCATGCAGCCATCCTCGTAGGCCGATGCGAGCCTGTCGGTGTCCGGATGTACCAAGAGCACATGCTCGACGAATGACGCAGCCGGCGAGATATAGTACATAGAATGAAAAAGTTCCGTAGCCAGCCAGCAGTCTCCACATCGTGCCACGATCGCAGGTCGAGGGGGCGAGACATATGACACGGCACATTTGGCCGATGCGGATACTGGAGAGCCTGCCTGCAATTACAGCATGTCGAATTCCCCGTTCTGCATCGCCTCCACTTTGGCGGGCCAGTTTTTGGCCCGAAATTTGGTCTTGGCGCCACGCCGGCGGTGGCTGCGGAGTTGCTCTCCGCGTACCTAAACTACGCTACAGTTGCTCGATCGAGTCACAGACTGTCTCCTTCATAATTAACTCATTAAAAGATGCCTACAGCCATGTTTTACCCGGTGCCAAGTCGTTTCACATTGTCTACCTATACTTGGCATCAGTGTTTCTTGCTTCGAGGTGGCACTCGGCACGTACATACTGTAACTTGCCTTATGTACTTCACTGTTGAAAAGTCCCCTATAGTGGTTCAAATGGGATCCACCTTACATAAGACTAGCCGGACCCCGCAAGCCGCCGATCAACTGCATCCATGCAGCGGCCTACCCTATACCCTAACCTGTCTCATGGCCGCCCGCCCATCAGTCAACATGAGGCTTCGTTCCGATGCTCCCCGGCAAGTCACCGCTGGGGCTCACTGGGACCTTGAGGCGCCCTCTGCTGACCCAGCTATTGGCCCCCGTTCCTAGCTCCTCAGCCCACGGCCGGCGTATCGAGCCGTTGGCGTCCTCGCCAAGGCCACCATGGTCGGTGTCCCGAGAAGCGGTGGGTGTCAGCTTTGCCGGAAGCGACGAGTCAAGTGTGATCAGGGCCGGCCCGGCTGCGGGAACTGCCTCAAGTACGGCGTGCGATGCCCTGGATTCGAGCGTGGCCTCAAGTTTGTACCCGGCAAGCACCAGATTCGACCAAAGGGCAAGCAAGGCGATGGCGAATGCACCGGTGCCCGTGGGGGCTACGGACAAGACGGGCACAACCTGACGGCGCTCGTGGCCGCGCCGAGGCCGAACCGGGGCCAGTACATCAGCACCATGGTCTACACCGTCCGCGCCAGCATCTCCCTCTCTGACGCGACTGATTTCTTGTGCTGGATCGAGCTGGGCAGACTCGGCGCGCGGGCCGTCTTGGACGGCGCCATGTGCGCCGTCGCCACGCACCTCGTGGGCAAAGAGAGGGCCGATGAAGCCATGGTTGTCCACAGCCGGACGATCTACGGATGGTCCCTGGCCGCTCTCCGGACCAGCCTGGGGCACGCTACCGAGTGGAAGTCGTCGGAGACGCTTTGTGCAGCAATGCTGCTCTGCGTGTTTGAGGTGAGGTTGCTCCCAGGTCAACGACAACGCGGATTTCTCCTTTCATCTTGCGCTGCTGACAACGTTAAAAAGCTCTTCGCCGGCACAGCGTCTTCTGATGCGTGGCTGCGTCATGCCAGAGGCCTGGGAACCTTGATCAAGCAGCGCGGCCCGGCAGCTCATGCTGAGGGGTGGGATGCGTCCATGCTACTTGCGTTCCGAGGCATTCTGGTAGGCCGTCCACCACCATTCCGAGAAGACCCCCGTCTTATTAGACACGATGTTGACTGGCCAAAGATCATGTGCGACATGTTCAATCAAACCAGCGAGCCATGTTTTCTATCACGGCCAGGGTGGAAGCCCCTTATCCGCGATGGCGGCAGACACCTCATTCACCCGCCGCACTTGCCCAACCGCACGATAGAAATTGCCGACGGCTTCTTTGAACGGCTTGCCGAGCTGCCGGCCATTGTGATGCCGACGTACAGCCTCCGCCAATCCAGAACCATGGGCACCGTCCAGCAGCCGGAGCCGAAAAAGATAGCTGCCCTGGCCCAGCGCGCCATCAACTGCCGCAGATTGTTCGATTTGTGGTACCAAGACTTCAAGGCCCTGGCCGGCATGCCCGATGAGGTTCCTAGTCGGGACCAGACCTCGCCCTTTGCCACCGTCTTCCAACACCGGATAGCTTGGATGGGATCGATGCACATGGGCTACTGGGCCAGCATCTTGATCTTCCAGGAGGCCCTGGCCCAGTGCCAGTGGCCTGGAGGCTACGAGGAGCCGCGAGAGGAGCTCGTAGGCAACATTCTCCGCTCCGTCGAGTCCGTGGGCTCAGGCACCATGGGCCCGCATCGCGTGGGATTCTCGGTCCGCGTAGCGTACGAGTTTGCGAGCTCGGAGCACAAACGCTGGATCGTCGCCCTATTGGACAGGTTCAAGGGCATATATGCAGCAATAGACGGCGCCACGTATCATCGCCCCAGCAAAGATACTGAAGCTGGACAACCGTGCTGAACCAGCCGAGGGCAAGGCAACAGCTGCGTATGCACGTGGCCCTTGGCGCGTGATCCATCCCTTTGCCAGGTTTTCCTTGGCGTCCGTGGGTAATTTCGCACGGATAGCCCGCCAAGGAGAACAGCCGGAGTGAATCGGAATGAGCGGAAATGTGCTCGAAGAGTGTCCTGATGAGAAGACAAACTCGGTGCATGTTTGTATGTACGAAGTAGCTGACTATCAATTGGCACGAAACATCACGAGGCTGCGACCTCGGGAATTCTGCTCCAGATCTTCTAGCAAAAGCTCTAACCTGTTCCCATTCCATTCATCGTGAGTCATCAAGGGTCGTCCCGTGCCAGCCAGGATCGAGAAGCGATTATATGTAATAAGAGATGATAGCAATCAAAAACCTGCCATGGCCGCAACGACGGCCCCCCCCTTGTCCACCTAGGACTTCTTCATGACGGAGCGAGCAAGCTCCGTCAGCGAGGGCCCGCCAAAGAAATATTGATCGGTGTGCCGCCCGCACGTCGTGTGGACGTTGACGGTGGGCGAGGCCTTGAGCCAGGAGCTGGGCGACTTGCGGAGAGACGAGGACAGTGAGGAGGAGGGAGAGCGGGGCCGGGTGCTGCAGGCGTCGCTCGACGAGGACAAGGTGCGCTGTTTCGATGCGTTAGAGCCATGGGTGCTTGATACCCGGGGCCGGCAACGTACCGAAGCTTTGGAGAGGGTTGGAATGTCGATGGGCTTGGTCTCGGTGGTGTGGCTGTATCCGGCAGCGGCGCTTGGAGAAGGTCGCGCTGAGCCGTTCATGGTTGACTGACGAGGGGACGTGGACTTGAGGGTACGAGGCAAGATGCTGTTGGTTTGAAGGGATGGATATCGCGCTCGAGGGCAATGGACGGGGTGGCTTTTATTGTCGTACCCAATGACTCCGCGTGTACTTCCAGCTGGTACCTTTGTGGATGAGGTCTACTAGCGACGAGAAGCCAATCACCAAGAATGGCTTCTACAATCAAGCGGGCGATGAGTGAGTGAATGAGGAGAAAGGTCGCATATAAGAAGAGATAGGACTGAAATTTAATAAAGAGCACGCATATCAGGGAAAGGGGATAGGTCGAGATATAAATGCACGCGTGACTGTCCTCGGCCAGGGTGATGATACAGTGATACATAAGGGATGGGGGATGCAGAGTGAAGCCAACAAGCTGGTGCAGCATGCGGCTGAGGGTCAGCAGTCACCTCCCACGGGCCAATAATGAGAGGGCCCTTTGACCCCCTGGGCCCCCAGACGGGGAGGCCGGCGGGGATCGTCGTCGCGCAAGGCAGCAGGATAAACAAGCAGGGCGGAAGGGAGCTCCGATGCGGGCGCCGTCGAGGGTGACGGAGCAGTGGAGTTCGGGGCGGTTAGTGGGCCGCTGCCCCGTCCAGGCCCCACGTGCCAGGCCTCGTGACGGCACAACAAGGCGTGGAATGAAGCGTTGCTCTCTGCTTGGGTGCTTTTAGAGAAGCCACGTTGTTTATCTCGTTCTTTCATCTAGGTGGTCTTGATCCGCCCAGTGTGTTTGCGGAGGTGGGAGGAATAATAATGCTGCGTGATGTCGCAGATCACCGATTGTCAATGTTCTGTCTGCATCCACATGCCAAGCAGCAAGGCGAACCCAAGAATCTTGAGCCTTGCTTGAGCCACGCTGCTCGTCTCGGCTTGCTTGGAGGGAACGCAGGCTAATGGATGCTGCGGCTACCGTACCTTGGGCCTGGGCTGGCGCGCGCCGCCGAATTGTTCTAGAAGGCGGTTCCACGATGACAAACCCTCTAGGCAGGCGGTCCCTCAGCGGCACACAGACACCCACTTGTGCTTCATGTCAGAGTGCAAGTACCTGGTCCAAGCCATGCTTGGCTCTGTTTGGGGGGGGGGGCTGTTCTGAGATGACAGTCATCCTCAAGGGCCGAAGTCCTCCTCTGAAACGGAGAGGCTCCACGACCGGGTCTCTCGTCGGAATCGTGGGCGTCCCGGCCTCATGACGCTCCTGGTGGCGCAGCCTGAGAAATGGTTGGTGAGGGGCAACCATGTAGGGTTTGGCCCGCTTCAATCGCCATGGCGGAGGGCAGTAGATTTCATGACGGCCGGGGCAGAAGCGCGGTGGGACGAGGGGCCGGCGGCCGGCACCTCAGCCCTACGGGGGGGAGCTTGAGCCGCCCAGCATGACGCCATGTGCTTCCTGGGCGGTCGGTGCCTGGCAGATGGAAATCTGGGGAATCGGCCCTGTGTCCGTTCGTATCGGAGGGCTATTTCAGACTGCTTCGGATCCAACTGTCTTGACCAGGGCAGGTCGCCGTTGCGATACGTGTCGCGCAAAAGAGGGAGCTGCAATGTCGCATAGCATAGCGTGCTTGCATGGTCAGTTCTTCCTTGCGCAAGTTGGCGTTCCAATACCCCCACAGATTTTGTCGTTTTTTCATTCTTCTTCAAGTCTTGGACTCGTCTGAAAAGCGTCGATTTCTGGGTTCCCATTACCTAATGATGGACTGGCCTTGAAATAAAAGCTTGGACCAGCTGGCCCCACCCTGCCTTAATCAGCCATGGCGCCGTCAGCTGCACGTGAGAAGCGCCCTTTTGGCCTCAGACGCCTCCACGACAAACCCGCGACGGTGACGCGCCCATCACCAGCTCGACGGCCGCTTCCTGGTGTCACCCTCAGCGCCAGCCCTAACCCCTCCTCCCGCACGCATACGCTTGCTGTATTTACGTGACCAGCGCCCCGTCTCATCACGTACAACTTGTTTTGTCCAGCGGCCTTTGTCGCGGATCCCGCGCTGGCTGGCGCCAACAGCTCATGCACGCCTCGCAAAAAGATTCGCTCAGCGCCTTCTGAGCTTCAGACAGTCCTTCGCCCTGCTTGTGGCCCTTGCTGCTTGAACGCACGCGGACACATCAAGGTAGCTACGCTCCCCCCCTCTACGTTTTCATCACGTCCTTCTGCCGTGCTCATGGTTCCCTAAAACTCAAGCACCACGACTAATCACCCCGGCTGAACAGTGAGCGTCTGAAGCTGCCGTATTCTCATCGACCCGGCGCCACTCAGATACCGCTTCCGAAATCACTTACCCAGCATCGTTCCCACTCACAACTGACCGCCATGGTCAGCAAGCGGAAGAGAGCCCTGGAGGAGTTCGATCCCAACAAGTCGGACTCCGGAGACGAAAACTTCGATCCCAGCAGAGACCGGCCTCAGAAAAGCTCCAAAAAGGCCCGCCCTTCGCGCTCTTCTCGGTCCGGCCGCAAGAAGGGCACCAGATATCGTGGCTCCGACATTGACGACGATGAGGACCAGGAGCTTTCCGACAGCCAGGACGACTCCTTTGGCGACGATGACGAATCTCAAGAAGACGAAAACGCCCCCGTCAACGCGGCCGGTCGACGGGCCCGAAAGGCAGCCATTAATCACCTGAATTACAAGGAGAGCAGCGAAGACGACGAAGGGGAGAATGAGGACATGGAACAGGGAAAGCGGGGCAAAGGCCGAGTTCGGGGCCGAGTCGAGGCAGAACCCGTCGCCGAGTCTGAGCAGGAGGAGCTCACAAAGCGGAGACTCGTCAGGCTCAGGGTCCCCAAACCAGCCCAAGCCCTCACAACCCGCAGATCGACTCGTGCGAGCACCGCTGAGACGGATGACTTCGTTGAGCTCTCCAACTCCGGTCGGCACGCTGTGCCTTCTCGCGACTCCCGAAGCAAGAGTCCGGAGGCGCTCATACGTACTCGACGCTCGTCTCGCGCAATGAAGGGTATTAAGGCGGCCCCCGAGCCGATCGAGCCTATCCAGGAAGCCACGCAGGAGAGCAGCGTTCCGCCGGCGCACGACGCCGAACAGCCCGATGAGCTCTCCCGGGATAACGAGCCGTCTGAGGCGAAATTGGGCAGCGATGAGGTAATGCAGGATGCTGCTGCTCCCGAGATTGAAACGGAAACCGCTGCCAAGGAAGAGGCCGCTGCGAAGGAGGAAGTGGCTGGCAGCGGCGGCGACGACGACGACGACGACGACGACGACGTGCCCATCACTCGGAGGACCAGAGCCTCTCGTGCCAGTCTCTTGGCGCCCGAGGGGGGAGAATCCGACGGCGTCGCCGAAACGACTGGCCGTCGCCTTACGCGCGGGTCACGGATCAAAAAGTCCACTCAGGAACCTAGCAGCGACTTTGAGCCTGGAGATGATTCCGACGACGCTGAGATGTCCAAGTCTGAGACCGGCAAGGCTCAAGAGGATGACGACGACACGCCTACCCCGCGAGGTAGGCCCAATAGACGAAGTGGGCGCAACTCTCGCCGCGGTCCTGATTCCGGAGACGAAGACCACGAGTTTGACCTCGACGAGCTCAACGAGGAAGCTCGCGAGCTGCGCCAGTCCTCTCGACCACGCCGTCGGCCTAGGCGCGAGTCCCCCATTGTCTACCAGGAGCACACGAGACGGTCCCGGGCCAAGGTCAACTACTACATGCCACCGTTGACTGCGGTCAACATTGAAGAGGAGGAAGCCGAGGACCCGGCGCCGACCCCTTCCCGAAACCGCCGCGGACGAGGTGGGGGCGGCGGCGGCTGGGACCGAAATCTCAACACCACGTTCGGCCCCTTTGGCGGCGGCGGCGGATCGCTCCTGGCCGGGCCCTGGGGTACCGTGGCGGCCGGCGGGGCTGATTCAGACAGCAGCGACGACGAGATGGTGCACCGCTCAAGTGTCGCGGGCAATGTAGGCATGACGCCTACGTCTGCGGCACCTGGCGGCTTCTTGGGCACTGGGCATGGTGGCCTGACCGCCGAGACTGTTGGCGCCACGCCCAATGTCGGCAAGATCAAAGATCGCAAGGCTCTCGCTGATGCGGACCCCCTGGGTGTCGACATGAACGTCGACTTCAGCAAGGTTGGAGGCTTGCAAGGACACATTGACCAGCTGAAGGAGATGGTGCAGCTCCCGCTTCTCTACCCGGAACTGTTCACAAAGTTCCACGTCACGCCGCCCCGGGGCGTCTTGTTCCATGGTCCTCCCGGCACGGGCAAAACCCTTCTTGCTCGTGCCCTTGCCAACTCTGTCGGCTCGGGCGGGCGAAAGATTTCCTTTTACATGCGCAAGGGCGCCGATGCCCTGAGCAAGTGGGTTGGCGAGGCGGAGAAGCAGCTGCGGCTCCTCTTTGAGGAAGCCAGAAAGACTCAGCCGAGCATCATATTTTTTGACGAGATTGATGGGCTGGCCCCCGTCAGGTCCAGCAAGCAGGAGCAGATCCATGCCTCCATCGTCTCTACCCTGCTTGCCCTGATGGATGGAATGGATGGCCGCGGCCAAGTTATCGTCATTGGTGCCACCAACAGGCCGGACAATATTGACCCTGCCCTGCGCCGGCCTGGACGGTTCGACCGAGAGTTCTACTTTCCCCTGCCCGATATCGAAGGGCGTCGTGCCATCCTCGACATCCAGACCAAAGACTGGGGCCTGCCGGATACTTTCAAGGCCTCCCTTGCCGAGAAGACCAAAGGGTACGGAGGTGCCGACATCCGGGCGCTGTGCACTGAGGCGGCACTGAACTCGATACAGCGCACGTACCCCCAGATCTACTCGTCTCGAGAGAAGCTCGTGGTGGACCCGGACAAAATTGCGGTCCATGCCTCCGACTTTATGATGTCCATTAAGAGGCTGATTCCATCCTCGGAACGGTCTGCGACGTCGGGAGCTCAGCCTCTGCCCAAGTCTGTCGAGCCTCTGCTGCGTGCCCAGTTCAACGAGGCGAAGCGTGCCCTGGACGATCTACTGCCTCGCAAGAAGAAACTCACGGCGCTGGAGGAGGCCATGTATGAGCAGTTTGACGACGATGACTACGGGTTCGGCCGGGAGACAATGCATCAAGAGTTTGAACGGTCTCGGATCTTCCGACCCCGGTTCCTCATTTACGGCGTTGCCGGAATGGGCCAGAGCTACATTGCATCGGCGGTGCTACACCACTTTGAAGGAGTCCACGTGCAGAACTTTGATCTCCCCAGCCTGCTTGCTGATGGGCGGGTAAGTCTATGACTCGACTGCTTGTTCCCTTGAGGCGTGCCAGCTAACGCCGTTGCAGCCCATGGAGCAGGTCATTGTAGGCTTATTCACCGAAGTTCGACGTCACAAGCCCAGTGTCATCTATATTCCCAACATAGATGCCTGGTATGCGACATTGACGGGGACAGTTGCCCTGACCACCTTCCAGACAATGTTGAAGTCTATTGTTCCGACAGACCCAGTGCTTGTCCTTGCCACGGCGGAGTGTGACAAAGCGGGAATCCCCATCGACCTGGCCCGTGACTTTTTTGGGTTTTCTCGCAAGAATCGGATGGAGATTCCCCGACCGGAGAGGGTGAGTATCGCGGCTGCACCCTTTGCGCGACGTCGAAGCTGACTTTGTTTCCATTGCAGGCGAACCGGATGGAGTACTTTGAGGCAACGCTTGCGTACGTCAAGAAGAAGCCAGCCGAGTTCCCGGACCCGGAGAATCGCAAGAAGCGAGTGCTCGAAGAGCTCCCCGTTGCCCCCCCGATTGCGCCCAAGCCGCCGACCAAGGCGGAGAGGAAGGCGTTGCAAAAGAGGGATCACCAACTGTTGAATGCCCTGAAAATTCAGCTGCAGCCTATCATGGACCAGATCAACCGAAGGTACAAGAAATTTAGACAGCCAGTCATCCCCCAGGCACAGATCGACTACTTGTTCGCCGAGTCTGATCCGAACTATGTGCGCCCCGACATTCCCGGAAGCGAAGTTCGGCCGTTTGAAATTGTCAAGGACAAGCATGGCAACGACGTCCTGCGAGACACGGCCACAGGCAAGTGTTATTACAACCTGGAGACAACGACGATAGAAGAGCGCTTGTCGAATGGATTCTATGCACGGCCCAAGGACTTTTTGTTTGACATCAAGGCTCTCGCCAGGGACGCCAAGAATGCGGGAGACAAGGAGCGTACGCTCAAGGCAAACGAACTGCTGAGCAACGTCGAGGTTGATGTGGCTGGCATCGAGAACAGCACGGCGCACATGGAATGGGAGGGCCTCTATCAACGCCAGCTGCAGCGGGCAAAGGAGGCTGCGGAGAAGGAGCGGAAACGAAAGGCAATGCAGTCCATCACGGACCGTTTCCAGTCGGAGCAGGCAGGCGGCAACGAGAGCGACTCGCAGGGCCCCCTGACGCTGGGCGAGAGGGTTCCCGGGTCGCTGACGACGGCTCGCTTCCAACTGCGTAGTCCGCCGACGAATGGCCATGGAGAGAGGGAGCAGGGCCAAGAACATCAACGCCAGCAGACCATGAGCAACGGAGATGCGACGTCTTTCGAGACGCCCAAGGTCGCCGATGTGCGCATGAGTGGCGTCGATGAAGACGCCGAGGCCGCCCCTTCTTCGTCGGTCATGGGACCGCCGCCCAAGGCGGACGGCGATCAGCCGGTGTCCAAGAGCCAGGCTGGGATGACGCAGATATCGCAAAAGTCTGCTGTCACTCCCTTGCCGCACGGGGTGTCGCCGTCTGCCGTAATCAACGAGGCCGCATCGACCAAGACGTCTGATCCGTCGACGCATCGATCGTCGAACTGGAGCACGCAGCTGACCAACGGTAACCATGGAGAACATCGCGGCGGGGGCAACGACAGCGACGCGGATATACCCGACACGCTCCGTATCCAAACCCAGACAACGTCGAGCGACGAGGCGTGGCCTCACTCGCAGGCCCAAGGGATGGCCCGGCACGGTGCAGCTTCCAGAGCACTCCGGGCGGGCAGCCAGGCGTCCTCGCAGTCACAGGCACGACACGACGTCGGGGCATCGATGGGGCCGCAGGCGTCGCAGGAGCTACAAGAAGACTTGCACTCGATGCGCAACTCGGGCTCATCGGCTTCGCAGCCCCTGTCGGTGGAGGGTGCGGTGGCGAGTTTCCTGACCGAGGTGACAGACGGCACATCGGGGTGCACCATTGAGCAGCTGCAGCAGATCAACCGCGAGCTGATGGACGAGATCTGGCGACGCAGGCATGAGTGGAATCGTATCAAAGTGCTGGGCCACGTGACACAAGTGTTCAACGACACGATTGGCGAGATTGAGGTCTCCCAGGGCATGGGACCCCTCAGCCAATGAAGATGATGGAGAAGAGTACACGAAGGCAGGTAAAAGGAGAAAAAAAGGGGGGGGTGAGGGGCTGACGCGACAGAGCGTGGAAGCGCGCAGAGCGAGGCAGGCTTTTTGTAATATTCACACCGAGGACAAAGCGTGTGGGCGCGGGCACAAAGGGGAGAGGGTAGGAGTTGAGGGCTGTGACACCGGGACATGAGCAATTGCTAACAACTAGATGTACACTCTAGAGGAATCTATCTTTGATACGAGTCAAGGGACATGTACAGTTGGCACATGTGTATTTCGGTGGGTGAATACAGTCAGTATACAGCCAGTGCTTTCCCGACTGGCCCCATTCAACTCGTTGCTGCTGTCGTCACGGGCCACGACGACAGCCAGGTCACAGCTTGGCCCGCTTGGAGCTGTCGATGCGGCGTCCCTCGTCGGCCTGCTCCGCGACGGACAGGTCGGGCAGGAGCTGGGGCATGATGCGGCGGGGGACGGTTCCCGGGACGAGGCTGTACTTTGCAAAGTCGGAGACGCCGGCGTGGGCGCGGAGAAAGTCCTCGTCGAGGAGCAGCTGGCCGTTGACGAGGGCGGGGGGCGCGGCGAGGATGGCGAGGATGGCGTCGGAGAAGATGGTGGGCTTGCGGAGGTGGTCTCTCTCGGCCGGGCTGGCGGTTGTGAACTGCTGGGTGGCGGCGGATTCGATGGCCTAGAAGACTGTCAGGGGCTGCTGTGCCTTGTCTCGGCGTTTGTTGAACAGAGTCCGTACCACAGCCGGCCAGATGCTGGTGATGGCCAGGTCGGCGGCGCGGCCCTGCCGTTCAAAGTCCATGGCCAGGCCCTTTGTCAGAACGCTCATGGCGACCTTTCACATGGCGTAGGCCGTCTTGCCGCGGAAGAAGCGGCTGTAGATGGGCGGGCTGACGACGACGATGCGGCCGCCGCGACGGCCCAGATGCGGCAGGGCGGCCTGGACGACGGCGTAGAGGCCCTCCGGGTTGACGTGCTGCATGAGCTGGAAGCGGCGCAGCGGGGTGTCGGCGACCGAGGCCCAGAAGATGGCGCCCGGGTTGTAGATGAGGACATCGAGGCGGTGATACGTCTTGGGTGCCGGTTGTCCGTCGGTCAGTTCTTGCGGCGGAGGACGACGAGGGTTGGATGGATGCTTACGGAGATGGTCTTGGCGACGAGGTCGGCGACGCTCTGCTCGGAGCGCACGTCGACGGGGATGGCGGTTGCGTCGCCGCCGGCCGAAGCGATTTCGCGCGCGACGGTCGTGATTGTCGACGCGGGCGAGTTCGGGTCCGGGGCCGGGGCGGAGCCGGAGGCGGCGGTGGTGACGGACTTGGCGGCCACGACGACTGTGTGTTTCCCCACCGCTTTATTACTACTCTTCCTTTGCTCGCGCTTGACCAGCTTTTACTCTACCGCAGGGTGGGAAGAGACGGGAAGTCGGTCAATGTACCTGCGTAGTCGTTGCGGGCGAGGTCTAGGGCAATCTGGCGGCCGATGCCGCGGGAGGCGCCGACGACGAGGGCGACGGGCTTGGGGGAGGGCATGGCTCTTTTTCTCCTCCTCCTTCTTCTTTTTATATTAGTATTTTATTGTTTGAAAACGGTCCGGGGTGAATGGTATCTGGCAGGGGAGGCCGTGAGCCGTCTCTATTTATTCCTAGCAGATGATGGGCTTGTTTGTTGGCAGAGTACAGCGAGAGGGAGGAGTGGAGACGAGCCTCGGCAGACGCGGAGCTGCGGTGGGGCCGAAGCGGGATCCAAAACCGCCGAAAGCCGCGCATTACGAGAGTGCTGAGTCCTCAGGGGCGAGGGAGTTGTCAGCGCACGGCTCGGAACAATCTGGGGTCCTTGGCACGAACCGCCGTCCTTCTTGTCTCACCGCTGCTGCTGCTGCTGTCACCACGGCCGGGCCTCGGCTGTTTCTCTTCTCTGGTGGATGGATATTAAGCAATAAGCAGTCGACAGCGGCAACAAAGCCATCGTCAGCATCGTCCATTGTCGGCCACCTCGGGCAACAGGTAGACAGACGGGCAGACAGCCGGACAGCCGAGCACGACACGCCATGGGCCGCGGCCGCATCGACTGCTACCTGGACATCGGTGCGCGCTCCCTGTTTCCTGACCGCCGGAACGGCCCCCCCGACTCACTCCCCCTGGCAGCGTCCTTTTACAGCTACGTCGCCTTTGTCGACTTGCTCAACAACCTCGACAAGCTGGCTGCCAATGGGGTCCAGGTAGAGTCAGTGCCTCTTGTCGCTCCCTTCAAGAAGCCAAGACGCCGCTGATGCTCCGGCGAGCCAGGTTCCACCCCGTCTTCCTCGGCGGCATCATGCAGAGCACCGGTGCGGCCCTCGCTCCCCGTGCCCTCGCCGTCTCCGCAGCTCTGACCCCGTCCCAGGCAACAGGCCGCCGTGGATGGTCAAGGCCAAGGGCGCCTATCTCTCGTGGGACTCTGCCCGCGCCGCCCACGCCGTCGGCATCACGGACTGGGCCACGCCGCCGCGCCTGCTCGACATGGCCAAGACCATGTCGCCGCTACGCGCCCTGCTCTTCATCAAGGCAAACCACCCGCCGCCCGTGCTGCACGCCGCCCTGCTCGCCCTGTTCCGCCGCTTCTGGACCCCGCCGCACGTCTTCCTCGGCGACGACGACAACCTCGCCGCCGCCCTGGCCGACGCCGCCGGCTCGAGCGGCGGCCCGGGGAACGGGGAGCGCCTCTTCGCGCCCGACGAGGTGCGCCGCATCATGGCCGGCCGCGAGGCCTTCAGGGACGCCCTCAAGGCCGAGACGGACAGGGCGCTCGAGCTGGGCGCTTTTGGCGCGCCGTGGCTGTGGGTGACGGATGGCGCGGGCAAGGCTGAGCCCTTTTTCGGCAGTGACCGGTGAGTTTCTTCTCCGTGCGCACGAGAGAGGAAGGGTCCCTTGGCTGAGCAGAGGCGTAGATTCGCTCAGATATACCAGCACCTGGGCATCGCGCACCAGGACGCCAAGGTGTTGGCGCCCGAGTCTAAGCTGTGAGCCGAGGGCGAGGATTGAGGAGTAGGAGAGAAATGGGTGCCTTTTTCATGTATCAATTGAGGCAATGTACTCGTAGAGCTGTGAAGTCAATGTAAATTTACCAATTGCGAGGCGCCGAATTGTTAATGCGGCACGACACCAAGAAGTTAGAACCAGCGAGCCACGACCCATCAAACTCTACCTCTCATTTTCCTCCCCCAACCTCCATCCACACCCTTCGCTCTCCTCCACATCCAATCGCCAACACACACCGCAGTAATCGGCGTATCCCGTCTGCCAACAACGCCAGAATGCAACCCCCCGAACTGACGCTCATCGTCGCCGCCACGCGCAGCATGGGCATCGGCGCCCACGGCTCCATGCCCTGGACCGGCCTGCGCAAGGAGATGCGGTACTTTGCGCGCGTCACCTCGCGTCTGCCAGCCCAGGTGAGTCTCTGCGTGCTCCCCTGCAGCAGAATACTCGAGTTGGTGGACGGGAGAGGACAAGTGGTGACACAGAGTGAGAGAGGGAACAGGCACCTCCACAAGCCGTCAACGCCGTCATCATGGGCCGCAAGACGTGGGACTCGATTCCTGCAAAGTTCCGCCCTCTCAGGGGCAGACTCAACATTGTCATCACCCGCTCCGCTTCTCCCCCTCAGACTGCGACGGCACCATCAGCAGCAGTACCGTCGACATCGCCCATCCGCGTCCCCTCCCTCGACGACGCCCTCGAATACGCCCGCGCCCGCCAGGCCGACGGCGCCCTAGCCCGCGTCTTCGTCGTCGGCGGCGCCCAGGTCTACGCCGCCGCCCTCGCCCACCCGGCCACCCGCCGCGTGCTCCTCACGTCCATCGACCGCGACTTGCACTGCGACACCTTCTTCCCCCTCAACCTCGCCGACGGCTCTGACGCTGCGCGGGAGTGGGTGCGCCGTTCGTCGGACCAGCTGCGGCAGTGGACGGGCGAGACGCTCAACGACGTGCGCCACGAGGAGAATGGGACGTCGTACGAGTTTCAGATGTGGGAGAAAGAGGATTCGTGAGCGGGCTGGCTCATGACATGGCTAGACGAGGCTCACGCATAATGAAAGAAATGGAGAGAGCATCTCCAGTAAGTGCAGGCAGAGGAGATGAGGCGGCTCTATGTGCCTCTCTACAGATGTCTTAACCGTCTTCAGTCACCTTGCGCGCCTCGACTGTTTTTGGAATATGTCCCAGCCTTGCGCACACATGATTGCTCCGACTTCTTCGGAGTAGCCTTGCGTGACCGGCATCTTCATTGTAGAAAAGCATATAGTACAGGACAACCCCCTTGCGCCCTCCACCATGCATGGAATCCTCCCTTTTCTCTGCAGCCTTTTCGCCGAGAACTGATGCGGCAAATTGGTGGTACGACCGTTGCGCTCGCTTTCAGGCAGCGGCGGCGGGCTTTGGCGACGACGTCTGCACAGGAACGCGCTGAGGCTTTGTGGCAGCAGACTCGGCAGCGGCAGCACCCTGCTTAAACGGCTCCTCGAGCCTGGTCCAAAAGACGCCGACAGGCTTGGCGAGAATCTCCTCTGCGCGCTCGGCAAAGACCATGTCCGAGGTAGCCTCGAGCGCCGCCAGCGAGGCCCTCAGCCACCCAACAATGGCGAGCAGGGCGCGCGGGTCGACGGCGGGGGAGCCCTTGAAGAGGTTGCGCCAGACGGCGCTGGCGAGGACGGCGTCGCCCTTGATAAGCCCCTCGTCGTAGGCGAGCAGCAGGCCGCGCCACTGGACAAAGATGTCCTTGAGGTAGCGCTGGCGCAGGGCGCTCGACGTGATGTTGTGGTCGAGGTGCATCTTCTTCTCGCACTCGAAGAAGAAGTGGTCCACCAGCTGCTGCTGCCAGCTGCGGTAGGCCTCGCGCTCAAAGCACCGCGCGCGCGCGTTGAGCAGGTACAGGTGCAGCATGGTGACGTGTGACCAGGTGCTGAAGCTGGGGTGTAGTTGGAAGGCTGCGTGCCGAGCGCCAGGCCAGGTCAGTTCATGGTGCTTCTCCTCACCCAATCCGTGCCCGAAGGGTGTATGTAGTACGCACTCTTATGCCAGACGTTGTTCTTGTCGGCGGGCCGGCCCAGCTCCTCTCCATCCTCGAGCCGCTCCACCTCGTCCTTCTTGCGCGCCTCCTCGGTGATGTGGTAGTCGGCCGCCCGCGAGCACACCTTGTACAGCCGCTCCGACGCACCCAGGACGCGGTACGACTCGGCCAAGGAGCCTCCCATGCCGAGGATCCTCTTCTCAGCCGTGCCGCTGAACCATCTGTGCTGGTGCTGTTGGGCCCATGATGACGGGGTTCGAGGAGACAGGAGGGCATGGTGCTTGGTCGTGGTCGGCGCACTCGTCCTCGTAGTCAACGTCGTCGTCGTCGTCGTCCTCGTGGCAGCGGCTCTGGCAGTGCTGGCGACCTGGACGAGGCTCCGGACCTGCCATCTGCACCTCTCGCAGGCCATTGCAGCTACCGCCAAGACGGGGAGGAGGAGAAGGAGAGCAAGAAGGAGGAGAATGGCAGGCTTGGAGCTTTATCGAGACGTGAATAAGGAGGCGGCGGCAACGGCGGCGGTGGCGTGGGCAACGGTTGTAGAGGGTGGCGCCCTCTGTCACTCGCCTTCTTTTTTCTCCCAAGCATCCATGACGCCGACGATTTTATCCATTTATCCAGGGCCCCAGAGGAAAATGCGCTCCACCGCTCCGGCCCCTTTATGCTTAGGTAAACGACACTAACCCCACCAAAAATCCCAAACTTGGATTCCAGTGAAGTATAATAGCAAGTATATTAAAAGCTGTCTCATTCGAAAGAGAATCAAGCATATCACTTGCTTCTGGGTCTTTTGATTACGCGACCCAGCCGGGTGGTGCGTCCAGAAGGCTAAGGTAAATGCGCAATTTTTCCGCAGGTGAGCTTTGTTGGTGGGGGTCGGGCGGCCGACAGCGCTTAGATGATGCCATCTCATTGGCCAGTCAGCCAGCTTGCCGCGCGTGTGCGTACAGCCGCACCCGCACACCAACCACCATCTGAAAGCTGTTGGTCGTCATACGAAAGGCGTCGATGCACGAGCAACGACATCCCCTCATGTCGATGTGGTGATGACTCGCATAATGGAGGCCACTGGGTATTCTCAGCATTACCTACCAACCTAGGTCTCAAGCGCAGCTGGTATTCATTCTTTTACGCATATAACCGTCGTCTCCCTGTCGAGCCCAACATGGCGACCCCCATCTCACCAAGACGCGATCCCAAGGCTCCAGGGCAGGGCATTTGCGGGCCACTGGAACAGGGCAGTATCAGTACGTATATCGTCTACGGTGTGCTAGGTCTGCTCGGGTGCCTAGATGGTAATGCACCACTATATATTCCCCTCGACGCAGCCGGACTCCAAGCCTCGGCAAAAACATGAGATTCTCCCAAGTTTCACCACACGCACGGCCGAAAAAGCGCGACAACTTGGCGGAGGTCAATCCCCCCAGACCGACGCGGGTCCGATCAAGATCCCAACGAGCTCCTGACGAATCCCCCCAGAAGCGCCGACGGCCATCGCCTGGATGTCCTCTCTCTGGAGGTACTGCTACTGGAGATGGCAAGCGATAATACTCAGAGTCCGGCAAACCCTCTTCGTTTCTGGACCCAACGAGGACAGTGGCCGTCAGAATACTTCGACTCTGGGAATACAGTGTGACTCTCGCTTGCGAGGGAGAAGTCACCGGCCTCCCTTGGCCGCAAGCGGTCTGAACAAAGCGCCAACAGCTCCCAAACTCTGGGTGATCGGAAGCCGAGATAAAACAAGAGTGCACCCTAGAGAAACTCGCATTACAAGACTCTACTGGCGACCAAGGGCAGTTTTATAGACGACTCGGAGTCGGATATATATCACGGCTTATTAAGCTCGGAACGGACGATTCCAACGGACTTTCTTTTTGCGATGCCCCCCTCAAACAGGCGTGCCGCAGAGCAGAGGATGGAAATGAGACGAGAGTCGCTCGAGATATCATGCCATTGATCGTTCCCTCGGCCGAGATTTGCGACATTCGGTGCGACTAAGCTTGCGTTCTTGATTGAGAGTATCAATGAAGAATGCAATAATTCCATCTCCCTGACCGAGACTCGCCTATAGCCGGACTACTCTGTAGGATTCAAGCATGAGGCTTCGCAGGAAAACCAACTTGATAAGCTCTCACCATTCATCGGCAATTGGATATCTGGCGATTTGTCCATTTTCATGGCGACGTATCACTTGTACTTTCCATTTCTGACGTGCGAGGTCAAGCGTGGCGGTACTGGATCTCTCGGACCGTCAGAATGCATTCAATGACAGTCTTATGGCGCGCGCCGTGGTCGAGCTTTTCCGCCCGGGAAAGCGCGACAACGAGCTCCACCGTCAGATCATTACCTTCTCGGCCTCTCACGACTACCGGACGGTTCGGATCTACGGCTACTACCCGGTGATCGTAGAGAAGAAGGATATGCAATACTACCGTCACCCGATCCATGAGTTCAACTTCACGGCATCGGAAGGCAACGAGAACTGGACGGCGTATCGGTTTACCAAAGATATCTATGACCTCTGGATGCCAGCGCATCTTTAGAGAATATGCTCAGCCATTAACCAATTGCCATCCGACTTGGACTTTGATGTCCCGCCGCTCCCCGGAACCGGACTGTCTCAAGACATCGAGAGCCGTCGTTTCTCGCAGCCGGACGCTGGGTCCCCTGCGGTGTCCAAGGAACATGTCAGTCAATCGAGTATCCGCCAGGTGGTCACCCCGGATAGCTCATGCACGGCACCTGGGGCCGCGAAGAGACAGGGTGAGGTCGGACGGTGCCAAGTAGATGAATGACACACTGATACAAAAATCAGGCCGTCTCTGCCTCGGAATGGCGCATCGTTGCTGGAGTGCAGTGCTGATGACCCTCTGTCCATGACCGGTCCGTGTCTACAACTCCCATGGCTTCACTGGGCGCTTGAAAAGACCAGACTGCTGTTGGTCCCCCCAAACCCAAAGCTGTTGGACACGGCCACCTTGACCTGCTTTTGTTGCGGCACGAGCGGCACGAGATTGAAGCTCGTCCCGACGTCTGGCTTTGTTAGGTTTAGCGTCGCGGGCACGACTCCCTGTGCATTCACGTCAGTCAAAGGGGTCAGGTAACAAGAAAGGACGCGAGAGCAGAGTGAGAGAGGGTTGGGAATGGGAAGCAAATGGTGACGGTGACGTCTGCTTTGCATACCTCGTGTATGGTCAGAATGGCAAAGAGCGCTTCAATGGCCCCGGCTGCTCCCAGCAGATGCCCAATGGCCGCCTTTGTGCTGCTCACCGTCACCTGCGACTCGCACGATACGCCCTCGTCGCCGAGCATGAGCCGTCCTATGGCAGCCGCCTCGGCCGCGTCCCCGACGCGCGTGCCCGTAGCGTGCGCGTTGATGTAGTCCACCTCAGCCGGCCTCACCCGCCCGTTGCGCAGCGCCCTCGCCATGGCCAGGTAAGCCCCGTTGCCATCCCCGCGCGGCGCCGTCATGTGGTGGGCGTCTCCGCTGCAGCCGTAGCCGCGCACCTCGGCGTAGATGTGCGCGCCCCTCGCCCGCGCGTGCTCGCGCTCCTCGAGCACGCACACGGCGGCGCCCTCAGAGACGACGAAGCCGTCGCGGCCGGCGTCAAAGGGTCGGCAGCTGCGGCGCGGGTCGTCGTTGTAGGCCGTCGAGAGCGAGCGCGCGCGCCCGAAGCCGGCAAAGGTGAGCGGGTGGATGCACGACTCGGAGCCGCCTGCGACCATGACGTCTGCGTCGCCGTGGGCGATGAAGCGCGATGCGTCGCCGATGGAGTGTGCGCCCGTTGTGCAAGCAGTCGTGGCTGCGTGGTTGGGCCCCTGGAAGCCGTACCTGATGGCGACGTGTCCGGCTGCCATGTTGATTAATATCTTGGGCACGAACAGGGGCGAGACTTTTTTGTAGCCCTGGTCAGTCCTTGCCCGTGTCAGCGGCTTCTTCATTTCTGCAACATGAGAATATGCCAGCCAGCTCAACTCACCTCGTCGTGGTGGGCCAGGCTGGTCTCGTAAATGTCGTCGAGGTTCCCGATGCCGCTGCCCAGACAGACACCAGTTGCTTCGCGGTCCTCTGCGCTGGTCGGCTCCCAGCCGGCATCCTTGAGGGCCATGTCGCTGGCGGCGACGGCATATTGGGCAAAGGCGGACATGCGGCGCTGCTCGGGCGCAGAGAGCCAGTCTGCGGCGCGCCACTGGCCCTCGGCATCGCCACGGGGCACGATGCCAGCGACGGTGCTCGTCAGCTCCCGCCAGCGTTCCCGGGGCTCCCGAGAGGCGACGCTGGTGATGCCACAGTCGCCGGCCAGGAGGCGAGACCAGGTGCGCCGGATGCCGACGCCCAGCGGCGTGATGGCGCCCAGGCCCGTCACCACGACTCGGCGCATGGTGCTCCGCCGGCGATGGGCGAGTGATGGGTTCGGCGCCTCGGCTTGCCGCGCTCTCTCATCTGAGGGCTGGTGGGTGGTGAGACGGATAGAGGCGAGGCTATGTGTAGTTTGTGCTTGCAAGGTGGGTGAGTCGACGGCGGCAGAGAGGTCGACTGGTACCTCTGCCAGTTAATACGGGAGCACTCGGGCGCAGTTATGACAAGGAAGGAAGAGGAAAGATGGTGAGCTGAGGCTCGTCGGTGGAATGAGGCTCGAATCTGCGGCGTCAAAGGATCGTGTACATATGTACATTGACAAAGTACATGCCCTCCCATTCTTCCATGTCAGCAGGCTCCAGCACTCGGAGCACTGTAATGCCGCGAAACACAGGCTCACTGGAGGGAGGGCTGAAGCTCCTTTTCGCCTCGCCCACGGGACATTGGACGAGTAACTATAGATATTAACCCGGAGTTCAGATGAAGACCGTTTCAAGCCAGCTCATGAGCAATTTCCACTAGCACGGCTTGCGCGTACCAAAAGCATCTTGGGTACCTCGCATTGATAACGGCTGAAGTATCCTCCACGCCGTCCTGTGCCGGGCAGGTACCTCAGATGATGGCCATGTATGTACACAAGCCACCGGGCCGACGGACAGCAACGGCCGACGTCTGCTCACGACCCAAATCTCACCGGCAAAGACGTTTCACGTCTCACCAACCACGAATCCAAAGAACTTGCTCACTCAATTGCTTCCATCTTCACCTCACGCCTCCGGCTCTCATCTCTGACCCCTGCTCGCAAACCCGCCCGTCTTCTCAGCCACCGTCCTGATCCTCGCCCTCTCTCCTCGGCGCGAGCTCGACACCAGAGCCACATGGCCTCGGCAAGGCCCTTGCTTGCGCCCGAGACCCCATTGACCTGTCCGGGCTCGAAAAGCCTCTCGACGCCGACATGGCAGCGTCCGGCCGCGTCGGCGCAGAGGCCTCGGGCATAGACGCCGCCGCCGGCCCCGGCGCAAGGCCATCCATGTCTCGTCGGCGGTCCGACTCCATCGACGGGCTCTCGCCGACCTGGGCGCGCACCAGCGGCGATGGCGAGCTTGAGAACGAGCCCCTCATGGACCCTAACCTGCCGGATGACGAGTTCGAGCTCATGGACCGCTCACGCCCCGACGAGGACGGCCTGCTCGCCGACGACGAGCTCAAGGTGCCCGGGCAGGATGCCGAGCTATCTGGCCAGCAAGAGGACTCGCCCTACCCCGAGGTCCGCGCCGCCATCCGCAACTACGATGAGGACCTCGCCTGCAACACGGTCCGCGCCTGGGTCATTGGCCTGTCCCTCGTCGTCGTCGGCGCCTCCATGAACACCCTCTTCTCCCTCCGCCAGCCCTCCATCTCCATCGGCTCACTCGTCGGTCAGATCATCGCCTGGCCCCTCGGCCACGCCTGGGCACGCTTCCTGCCCGACGCCCGCTTCAACACCCTCGGCCTGCGCTGGCGCCTCAACCCGGGTCCCTTTACCGTCAAGGAGCACAGCGTCATCGGCGTCATGGCCAGCGTCTCCTTTTCCGTCGCCTACTCCACCGACATTATCCTCGCCCAGCTCGTCTTTTACAAGCAAAATTTTGGCCTCCCCTTTCAGCTCCTCCTCACCATCTCGACGCAGTCCATCGGCTACGGCATTGCCGGTGTCATGCGCAAATTCCTAGGTTGGCCTTGTCCCCTTTTGCTTCCCTGTCCACCCTGAGCTGACTCGTTCTCCACGGACAAGTGTATCCGGCATCCATGATTTGGCCCGGCATCCTTGTCGCCGTCACGCTCATGAATGCCATGTATGAGCAAAACGACCTGCCCAACCCGTCCATCGTCGGAGGCTCCATGCCCCGGTTCCGCTGGTTCCTCGTCGTCACCGTCGCCTCCTTCTTCTACTACTTCATCCCCGGCTTCCTAGCCCAGTGCCTGAGCGTCTTTGCCTTTGCCACCTGGATCGCCCCGCAGAGCGCCGTCGTCAACCAGCTCTTTGGCGGCACCACTGGCCTGTCGCTCGTGCCCATCACCTTTGACTGGACCCAGATCGCTGGCTGGGTCGGCTCGCCTCTGATCCCTCCTTGGTAAGACGCCCCCTTTTGCCTCCTCGATTCCCGGCTCGTTTCTTACAGCGCCAGGTACGCCATTGCCAACGTCTTGATCGGCGTCGCCCTCTTCTACGTCGTCGGCTCATCGGTACTGCACTACTCGGGCGCGTGGTACGCCCAGTTCCTGCCCATGAGCGACGCCAACACGTACGACAACACGGGCCAGCCATACAACACCACGCGCGTCCTCAACCCCGACTTCACCCTCAACGAGCAGGCGTACAAGGACTATTCCCCGCTCTTCATCAGGTACGCCGGCTCTCCAGGAGGCGTAGCCCTTGGCTGACCGAAACAGCACGACTTTTGCCATTGCATACGGACTCGCGTTTGCGTCCATCTCGTCGCTTATCGTCCATACCTTTCTGCACTACCGCAAGCAGATCTGGAGGCAATACAAAAACAGCACCGGCGAGAAGCCCGACATCCACATGAAGCTCATGAGCAAGTATGACGAGGCCCCGACCTGGTGGTACATGTCTCTCTTTGCCACCGTTGGTCGCCCTCCTGAAACCACGTTCATGTCATGGGGGCTGGCGGCTAACTTTTGTGCAGATGCTCGTGTTGGGGCTTTACACCGTCCTGGCGTATCCCACCCAGCTCTCCTGGTGGGCGTTTCTGCTGGCCGTGGCCATCTCCTACGGGTTCGCCTTGCCCATCGGCATCATCGAGGCCGTGACCAACAACCAGATCGGCCTGAATGTCCTCACCGAGTTTGTCTACGGCTACATCCAGCCGGGCAGGCCGTTGGCCCTGATGATGCAAGTCGCCCCGTTCCGTCCTTTCCGTGCCGATTCAGAGCCAGGATTCCGATAGAATAAGAAGAGAGGACTGACTTGGCAGGAACAGTTTCAAAACCTTTGGTTTCATCACAATGTACGTGTCTTCCTGCCTGCTGCTCTTACAATAGGAAATAATAGGCCGTGCCGCTGACTTCCCCAAAGGTCGCAAGCGCTGCGGTTCATCTCGGACCTCAAGTTTGGTCACTACATGAAGATTCCACCGAGGACCATGTTTTGGGCTCAAGTTGTCGCCACGACGCTGTCGTGCTTTGTCCAGGTCGCCGTACTTAACCTGGCCATTGGCGGCATAGACAACATCTGCGACACCCAGCAGCGGGACCGCTTCACCTGTCCCGGCGGCCGCGTCTTCTTTTCCGGTAATCCTCTTTCCCAATTCCCCCCTCCTCCCTCACCCCAACACACGCACATATATGGTCACTGACACACCCCCCAGCATCCGTCATCTGGGGCCTCATCGGCCCCGACCGCATGTTCTCCCCCGGACGCATCTACTCGGGCCTCTTCATCTTCTTCATCCTCGGCGCCGTCACCCCCGTCGCCATCTACTACGCCGCCAAGCGGTATCCCAGGTTGCCGCTGCGGTACCTCATGGCACCGCTCATCTTTGGCGGCGCCGGCGCCATCCCGCCCGCCACGCCGCTCAACTTCTTCTCGTGGGGGCTCGTTGGCTTCATCTTCCAGTACTGGATCAAGAACCGCCACGCTGCGTGGTGGAGCCGCCTCAACTTCCTCACCTCGTGCGGCCTCGACCTCGGCCTTGCCATTGGTACCTTGTTCGTCTTCTTCGCCTTTTCCATGCATGGCGTCGAGCCGCCTCAGTGGTGGGGGAACACCATCGTCGCCACCACCATGGACGTCCAGGGCACAGCGGTGAGGGCAAAGGTGGAGGCAGGCCAGCATTTTGGCCCCGAGTTGTGGTAGCAGAGGCTTGCCTGACCACTGGGGTAACCTCGTTTGTGGGCGTGCGTTGGGAAAAAAGCGGCCATTGTAGGCCAGGCATTTAGATGCAGCACCGATGCATTTTGGACAAACGGCGTTTGGATACGTGATGGAGAGATGCCTCCATTAGTCTAATATCGTATAGTTACAGGAGACTCAAGGAGAGGGCTGTTGAGAAGAAGATTAAGAAGGCTCAGCGTCACAGGACCAGCCGCCCAGGTTCCTCTTCCAGAATCAACTTGCACCGCTCCAGGAATACTTGGGCCCTCTGCTCCTCCTCCTTGGGCACAACAAGCGTGAAGACGTTGGCGCCGCTCGACAGCCCCGGGACATGGGGGGCGGCAGGTTTCTTGGGCGCAGACTTGCGGCTGCTGGGGCCGGCCAGCTCATCGATGATATCGACGGCCTTCCTAGACCGGGGTTGCGGCGGAGGAGCGAGCATCGACGCGTGGGGGATGGCAGATATTTGGGGCAGGTAGACGCCGCGGGAGCCTGCCGCCTTGACTTTGTCGAGTCCGAGGATCTGAACGAAAAGCTCGGCGGAGGACGGCTTGCGGGAGATGAGGGGAAGGTCGTCGTTGGCGACCTCGGCGGCCCTGCTGATAAAGGTCGAGAGCGGCAGGAAGACGCCGAGCGTTTCCTGGATCTTCCTCTGCACCTCGACGGCCTTGGCGAGCGACACGGGGACATTGATGCGCAGAGGCTGCGGCGCAGCGACTTCCCGCGACCCGGCACCCTTGGCGGGGGCGGGCTTCAACGGGGCGACCTTGATGTTGCTCAGGTCGAGATGGGACAGCTTCTCGAGGCGGGACGAGACGGTCGACGGGGCTTCGGCGTTGATAGTGCCGACAAAGGCCAGCACGTCGCCCTTGAGCAGCCGTCCACCGGGCCCGGTTGGGGCGATGGTGGCGACGTCGTCGGGGCCGAGGCCGTGTTGCTTGACGAGGTGCTCGACGGCGGGCATGAGGGGGTACTTTTGCTCGTGCTTCTTGTCGCTGCTCGACGATGTACGACTCGCCGCCCGGGCGGGCTCCGATTCGCTCCGGTTCGTCGTCGTGGGCGGGGCCGAGGACTGTTGCTCGGGAGCGGCCTGCTGCTGCTTGGGCGATTCGTCGGCGGGCATCTCCAGGGCGGAAACGTCGTCGCCCGCGTCGGCGACGACGGCGATGCGCGAGCCGACCTGGACCGACTTGCTGCCGTCGTGGGAGAGAATCTTCATCATGACGCCGTCGTCCTGGGCCTCGACGTCCATGGTGGCCTTGTCCGTCTCAATCTCGAGCAGCACGTCGCCGGCGCTGAAGGGCTGGCCGTCCTTGACCTTCCAGGCGGCAATGTTGCCCTCGGTCATGGTGGGCGAGAGGGCGGGCATGGTGAAGTTGTGCGCGGCGAGGCATCGTGCCGAGGTGGCGAGCCCTGCAGGAAAGTCGACCGGAGTCTTGCGTCAGCAAACGGGTGGTAGCAAGCATTCGCCTCTCGCGTCTCTCGCAATTGTCCAAACATACCACGCGTGGCGGCGGCTCGACGGCTGGCGACGCGGGCCGAAGCACGGCACACGGCCGAGAGCGACGAGGCCATTTGGAAGAGGCTCGATTGGGCGGGCAAGAGGCGGCGCAGATGAGTCGGGGTGCGTTGCGACCGTCGAGGCCCCAAGAGGTGACGTTGAGGATTGCATCGTGTGCAAAAGAGCGTCTGGAGCAATGTTGGGACAGCGGGCGCCGATGCTGGGCGGACGGGGCTACGAGGTACCGGTACCTGCGTTGGCGGATGAAGAAACTACTGCTCAGCACTTACGGCAGAGAAGCTGGCTTAAACTGCTCCGTCCGGCACATTGGATAGGTCTCAGTACATACCGAGCCCGGCACCGCATCATCCCTGTCTAGCGCGTCGGCCAGGTCCCTGGCAGCCTCGACTTTTTTTTCTTCCACGCATCGGAACAACCACCGGGCTGGCCTCGACCGTCCTCGCGACCAAGCCTTTGATGGCCGCAGGCTCATGACGACATCCTGCAAGCTGAACCCCCCAGTGGCCCCCGTCCGTCGTCTCTACCGAGCACCCGTCGTCGTCGGCAATGGCTAGCTTGGCGAGGCGCCTCCTGTTCCCCTGCGGCAGGCAGAGCTTCCTCCGACCCCGGCCCCGGCTCCAGGCCGCCGTCGAACCGCAAGCCACGAGCGCGACCCGTTTCTTCACCACGTCCCTCCGCCTCCGAGCCGCCGCGCCCAAGTCTGCGAAGCCTCTGCCACGCGTCTCGAAAGCCAAGGCGCCGGCGGCATCACCTGCTCCGGCCGCCGCGCAGCAGGCCACGACCCTCGCGCCGAGCCGATATGCTTTCATCAAGCACCTCGCGACCAAGCCGACACCTACTCTCCTCTACGAGGCGCCGTCGCACTTTTGGTTCTACTTTGGCTGCTGGACCAGCGGGCTGACGCTGATATCCTGGACCGTGTTTACGGGCCCGACCGTCGTCAACCAGCCCGAGGGCGTGCCCAAATGGGTCGGCGTCGTCTACGGCGTGGCCTACGTCCTCCTCGGCTGCATGGGCTTCTACCTCATCAGTAAGACGCCCAACATTGTCGGCTCCATCCGCGTGCTGCCCGCCGCCTCCGGGGCCGCCAGCGGCCCGGTCCTCGAGGTCAGCGTCAAGCGCATGATGCCGCTGCTGGCCCCCAAGGTGATGACGGCGAGCCTGGACAAGGTGGCGCTCAAGTCGCGCTTCTCGCTGCCGGACGAGTACGTTCCGGAGCTGAAGCGCCTCGAGCACCAGCGCACGGAGAAGGCGCGGCGCGCGGAGCTGCGCAGGATCGACGTGGCCAACCTCCTGACAATGCCGTTCCGCCGGATGGGCCGCGGGCTTGTCAACATGTTTCGGGGCGTCAAAGCGGCGTGGACGGACCTGGGGCTCGGGCTCATACGGGTGGACGGCAAGGAGTTCAAGGTGGACGTGATGCGGGGGTTTTCGCACGACGGGTTCCGCACGCTGGAGCGCCTCGTCAAGATAGGGTGGAAATGACGCGGTTGCTTTGCCGGTGGTCGATGCATGTATCACTCGGAGCCAACGGCCTCGGTCCTGGAGCGGCTGGAAGGGAGTGCGCGGCCGAGTGTCGCTCGGATATGCGAGGCCCGAGTCGGGCGACGAGGAGCATACCAGGTACGACTAGAGGAAAAGAAGGGAAGCACATATACCTAGACAGAGCAGCCAATGCGTACCCACGATGCTACCCACGTGTCTGCACACCTTTTATCACCGGAGCAGGCTGCATGACGCAGCATCCAGAGGGGAACACACCGCTGGAGCCTCCCACTCAGCCACGGTGGCAGTTGGCAAGGTGGTTGAGGAAATGTGATATGCTTGGCACAGCATGTGACTCGGCGATGCTGTAGGCAACAGAGCGAGGCGGAGCAATTGGCGAGTGGCGAGGGAGGGGGGGAGACAAAGGCGGCGGGCGCACAGAGCCACGGCGTGGTGGATGGTGGTGGAGACGATGCATGCACGCGAGGAGCGTCGAGGATAGGCATTCGCATGTAAAGTTTTTTTTTATTTTTTTAAAAAGGGCCTATATTCGGATTGGGGCCGGAAATGCGCGGTCGTCGGTGCTTGGCAGATTGCGAATCCAACGGCTCAAGGGGGTGCGGCGCTTACAGCTCGGACATGGGTCTTCAAGATGCAGCATGGGATTGACTGCTACCGTGGCTGCTGGTGGAGAGACGCGGCCATGATGCCACATGCACGCACTGTAAGGGATAGAGAGAGATAGGTATCCGTATACATACTTGTTGGTATAGTCGCGCAAACGCGGGGCCTTGCTCAGACGGGGGATGCAAAAGCAAAAGAGATATTTGTATCCGTACGTACACACAGCACAGAGTGCAACTCGACCCGAATGCCATGACGCACTTTTTTCCCACACCGGCATCGTGACGTGTTGGGGGAGGAAAGTGGGCTAGGAAGGTGGGCGAGGAAGGTGGGCGAGCAAAGATGCCGAGGCGGTCTAGAGACAGAGACAGAGACAGAGACAGCCGCAGGTGGCGCGTGGGGTGGGGGGGCAGCGAAGGAGAAGCAGCAGAAGCTGATAAATGACGACGATGACGAAGCTCGCGAGGTTCCTTCTCACACACCGGTACTTCGCTGTACGTTGGTTGGCATATATACAGTATTACAGTATATCTGCATGGACATGGAGTCTGGTGATGGCTGGAATGTGCGGTGCGGCGGAGAAGAAAGAACATGGTGCATCTACGGGATGGGGATGTGCTCTCTCTGCATTGGGCCTCTGCCGAATCGCATCCGCTTCTCCTGCCCCCCCTCCCCTCCCCCCTTTGCCCGGCGCCGGCGGCTATCGGCCTCGCAAGCAGGGACCCTTATGAGCTGACGAAACGACGTCTCATTCATTACTAAGATGCATATGGCTTGTTTAGAGATTAGGGGATGGACGAGAGAGAGCGTCGAGGCACACCGCCGAAACTCTAGACCCACGCAACGCGCGCGCGCACACACACACGCGCACACTCGCACGCAACTGGCACTTTGACACTCACACACACACACACACACACACGCATGCACGATTTTTGCTGATCCCCTAGTCATCCATCCATCCATCCATCCATCCAAGCCACCCCGGCCGTCGTTTGTTTTCCCGTTTGAGGAGCAACTCCTTCATCGCAAGAGGTGGATCATCGCCCCCGATCATCAACGACTTACACGTCAAGCGCGCCCCCTCGGATTATTACTCGTGCAGCCAGCCATGTAACTTGCAATACAAAATACAATCCTTGAAGAGCCTTGTCGCCGCCACTGATCAGCCACCCTCTTCTCCCTTATTCGTCGTCGTCGCAGCCAAAGCTCCCCCCACCGCTCCTCCAACACGGTCCGTCGTGGCGTTTCCCCGTCCCCATTCGCCCCCCTTCCCTCACGGGATGACGATGCAATTCTGCTTCGGGGCTTCCCCATACGGGCGGGCCATCTAGACGGTCCCGGGGGCTACTGCATCTACAGCTGTTGGTTTCCGTGCACAAGCCTCTCCCAATGCGCCTCTCGGTACGGAGTAGGCTGGACATGCATGCCGAGGAGGCACCGTTGCTGTTGTCATGTTGTCTTGGCTGATTATACGCCGTACCCGTGTGTATGTAGCTTGCAGAGTTTTCAGCAGGTATGTAAGTTATGGGCAGCTCGGCCGCCTCGGTGCAGACGCCCGGTATTCGCCGCAAGGCTCTCGTCCGTGGAGCTGCGTCGGATCGCAGCCCGAAGGGCCAGGCTGGGAAAGAAAGAGTCTCGAGGGCAAGCGCCCAGAGCTGCAAGCAAATCAATCAGTCGCATCCAGGGCGCAGAGACGTGGTATGCACAGCACGGAAAGTATTTCTAGCAGATTGGCCTGCAAGCATCCAATGCATCGCCGACTCTTTCTGGAAGACGCGGGGCGCCATGCGTTGGCTTGGGCTGCCGGGTAGTTATCCAGGGTTAATTACAGGAGAGGTACTCCCCCACCCCCAGAACGAAAAGCCTTGTCGTGTAATTACTGTAATGCACCGTGGGTGCGGCCAATAGACTGCATAGTCATGGCCTCGTCGGTCGATGCGCGCGAATCGAGAGCAGGCTCCCCCAGACAGGGGCCAACCCGGTCGACGCCAAGTTTCCCGGACACTGACGCCCAGGGGAGGGGGCGGAAGCACAAACCACGAACGACTCGTTGGCGTGTTGCACAGGGCCAAAACGGTGCCGCGGGTTTGGACTGCCGTCGGCCGGGCGCGCACGCCTTTGTGAAACCGAGTTGCGTGGCGCTTGCTGATGCCAATCATGTCTGCGCGGCGCTCTGGATGGAGGCCTTGGGTCCTGTCCGATATACATTCTGCACTGTACAGTACCTACCTTACGGTGCAATGTCAGAGTTCGGGTGTCTGTCTTGTACTGTAGATACAGTTACAGTATGTACTGTACTCCGTACACAAGGCATGATCTGCGTCTTGGCGAACTGAGCCTCAACCGGCCCCGGGTGCCAAGACAGGCAAAAAGCGCCGATACCGTCCAGTCCAACTCACCGCGTCCTGCCCTGTTTATCCCCCATCATACCCGGGGGGGCACATAAACCCTGGTTGATGCGTGTGTGTGGGAACGAATAGAGCGGGCGACCATGGTTGGACAGCGGTTTCCCCGTTGCCGTGCAAGCTATTTCGTTTTTTTTAACGTTTCCTGCGAGTCGAGATGAGGATGCAAGTACCGGCGACTTGGCCAGCATCTGTCTCTGGTGTGCGGAGGGGTCGCAGGGGAGGGGGGAGGGGGGGGCCCTTGGCAGGCACAATGACATGTCAATGGGTCACCCTCCGCTGTTCTCATGGCGCGCCCCCCCTTTTCTTGTCCGGCCCGTGTCGACGACAGGTGGGGGAACCAGGAGCGCTGACCCCGGATTCCCGCGACTGATGATGCCCGCGACGGTGCCGTCGGTGAATGATCGCGTGAGCGGGTGGTGGTGAGCGCCGGGCGGGCCATTCGCGGCATCACCTGTCGCGCTAAGGGGCCATTTTGAGACCGGGCTGCTTGCCGCTGCTGTTGGGGCACGACTCGGCCGGGAAAGCGGGGGACCAGGGGGTCGGTCGCAAGGAAGCTCTCACGACGCTCTTGCTGGCGGCGACCGAGAAATGAGCGGCGCCTCGCGACCCTGACAAGGCGCTGTGCGACGTCGGCAGGCATGGAGCATACAGTACACTCACTCACTGTACGGACACTTAGTACCAAGTAAACTCGCAGCAAGCCGCCGGGCCGTGGCCGTTGGTTCGGCAAAGGTAGGTACAGACATGTTGGCGATTTGGCGGATTGCCGGTGTACGGCACACCCAGTATATAACCCAGTATATATAGATAAGCCGACAGTCCTCGATGGGTGCATTTTTCGGCACTAGCCGACGCTGCTGCGGGCAAGAGACCAAAGATGGTGGTCATGATGGGTGGCTGACATTTCTTTTTGGATCCAAGACCTCCCCGTGCCGGATTTATGCGTCCACATAATAGCCCACCATGATGCCTCGATACGGGCGAGTCGTCACGCCCGTTGCCGAGGGCTGCCCGCCTGCAGAGTACGTACAATATGTAGTCAATCAAAGCTGCGGCAAGCATCGGTGGTGTGGTTTGCGCTCCGTGGGCTGATGGAGGCGCGGAAGCTGCCACGACTTGCTTGTCCTTTTTCTTCCCGGCCTTGATCGGACTGGAGCGTGGGCCAAGAGAGAGAGGCCTTTTGCATATGGCACGCGGCCTTTTCCGTCTCTACCCCGACGTCACCTCCGGTCAAAGTACGCCGAGCCAAGTCCCTTATCCGGATACCTCCCCGGCGCACTCGACAAGGCCGACTCGAGAGGTCTCGACTCGGCAAATCATCAAGGTCGGTACCCGCTGCCCAGGTACCTCACCTCGCGTGTGGGGTAGCGTGAGAGGCGGGCACGAGACAGCGGGGGAGGCGTTTCGATGGCTCGCAGCATCGTCGACTGAGAATCATCTGGGTGCCCACGGACATCTGCCGTCAACTCGGGTCGCACAACCTTGCTTGGCACAGCGAGCCAGTCTTGGGTCTGGGCGGCCCCTCCTCTCCACCCGCGCCCCAAAGCCGGCGCCAAGGAGGAGCCGTCTGAAGCGCTGAAGAGGTCCCCCAATCCGAGCCTCTTGCACGCTACGACGGCCTTGGCGTGGACGGACCGGCCATTGTGCGCCGCGCGGCAGGGGTTGCTCCAACGTCCAACGCCCAACGCCGGCGAATGCGTCGTCGTTAAATCAGAGTGGCGACTCCACCGCCGTCGCCGTGCGCCTCCCGCGATGCCGCCATTTCCTTGTTCCTGTTGCCTTCTTGATTCCCATCAGCGGCTGGCCGCCGCCGTCGTCGCGATAGGACTGGAATTCTGCCGACGCGTTGGGCGCGCTCGATGAGCTCCCCGGGGACTTGTTGACGAGCCAAGACAGCCCCGGGGTCTCGAACGTGGCGTGCCTCTGCGAACACGATCCGCGACGCCACTGCGCGTCAAATATAGCCCGCGGTTCGCTGGTGAATCAGAAACAGAACAAAAAGTCGCACGCTTTGCCAAGTAATCCAGCGAAACGTGCTGGCAGACAGAGACATTGCGTCCGAGACAGGACGGGAAGGGAAAAAGAGACGATGGCCCACGGTCGTCAATTTGGAAAGCAATGTCATGGCAGAGACGTCGTCTGGCTGCAAGTGCTAATGCACGGGACCCTTGGCAGCCAAGATTGCCCACCCGATGATTCGCTGTTGGGTGGCTGGTGCGTGCAGTTCCAACTGATGAGGTGCTTGTCCATCCACCACCCGCCCAGGGCGGCAGTGGGTGCGCCGGCTCGCCTGACTGGCTGACCTCTTGCATTACTGCATTACAGGCAGAGGCACCGAGATAGGTACCGTACCCATTGCGGCGAGCACTGTAGATATCTCGAGTCCTCACCACTCTCGTGCACTCTCCACATCAAACCGTCGTGCCCGGGGCATGCATGCAAGGCGAGAGAGGTCGAGAGGGCGTAAACCCGTCGACCACGGTGCCCTCAAGTCATTTTCCTGCCTCGGTCAGCACTTCTGCTGCACTTTTGCTGCATCTGTTACATGCGGCACTCCTGGGCAAGGCCCGCATCCCCTGGACTTGCTCAAGTAGCCGGTACTTGTGGTCCCCAGGGCGCCCCCCCCTCCGTTGGGACCTGTGACTGCACGCAAGTCAGCAGGGCGCTGGGACCGAGCCCGAGGTGCCCGCCGGGGCGACCGGGGCCCTGGCTGTAATCCAGACTAGCGGCGTGCGAGCATGATACCTGTGCGAGTAAGGCTAAGGGCACCCTGCAAGTACCGCGCCATGTACTGTGCCCTACAGCGAGGTACATTAGCAGCCGAGGACCCCTCTCCTTCTGGACCCCGGCCTCTCCTCTCCTCGTCAACTTTCCTCTCTTCCACTTCTTCCCCCGTCCAACCGCTGCTTTTGCTGGCAACGGGCAGTGTAAAAAAAGGGACTCACGATACCGCCCTCTCTCGCCAGGCCCTCCTCGTGGCGCTTGCTCGCTGTCGGCCTCGGTCTCATGCGCTCTGCTCGCTGCTCTGCTCGCTGCTCAGCATTGCCGCCCTACTAGGCTCGGTGAGTGGTCGCTGTTGTTGCGCTGTTTTGTTCTCCGCCCATCCTTGTCACGGCTTTCCCACCTCGCAACCGCCCCCGTTTGTTTTTCTTGCTTGGCCCCATGTTGTTTTCTTCCCCTTTCCTCCTCTCGAGTTACCCTCTTCCTTCTCTCTCTTGGCCTGGTCGCTCTCAGCTGTGCTGCCTCGTTTGCCCGTGTTCTGCAACCCGCCCTTTTCCCCCTCGTCGACCCGCCGCGCGCGTTATCTCGAGGCCCGCCTCCCTCGCCCTGTTTGCCTGACCGCCAGCTGCCTCGTCCTCCCTCGTGTGCTCCGTGACAGTGCTGGCGACTCGGCCTTCACCAACGGTCGCAGCATACGTGAGATTTTCCCGCCCGGCATTGTGCAACGCCCGCATTACCCTTGCTAGCCATCGATCCCCTTTGTTGTCGCCTGGCCTGCGCTTGTTCAAAGCCGCACCATTCTTTTTTTATCCACCGCCGGCTTCCCCTCTCTCTCCAACCTGGCCAGCCCTTGTTTGCTCCCTTTTTCACACTTTCCCACTTCCTGCGACGTCGTTTTCGAGTGTAAATTGTCAAGCGCGCCCTCTCTCTTCGCTCCTTGGCTAACCAGGTTGGCGCTTGTCAGTCCACATCCACTCCCCACGCTGTGCCGCCCTGCGAGCTGGCTGTAAAGAGCATCTCCTGGCTCTCTCCTCGGCGCTTTACTCGCGATACCGACCGTCCCTGTCCGGACCGCTTTTCGATGCATAGCCAAACGTGAAAGGGGGCCACAGTCATGGATTCCGAAGACGGAGAGTACTTCACCAAGGTACGTGGGAATTTTGGGCGACTCGGGAGCGGAAATGCTGACGCCTTCCCAGCAATTGGCCGCCTTTGTGCGAACCCACGAAAAGGCCCTCGCCAATGCCCTGCAGTTCCAGCGCCGAGAGGTCCGTCACCGCGCCTCCCAGAGCACGAGCGCGGCCACTCTCACGCAGCCTCCTCCATTGCCCGAGCGACCCTCGACCTCCTCCTCGACCTCAAACTCTCTAGCTGCCGCCTTCTCCTTCGGCCCCATCAACTTTACCTCTCACAACGTCAAGTCGGCCAAGCTCGCCCTGACTCCCCACCACCTCTTCTATCTGCTTTCCCGCATCGAGGAGCTCGGCATCAATGTCGGGCCCATGAAGGTGCGCCTCGAGAATCTCCACGAGTCTTCCAACAACTATGTCTCGTTTCTCGGCAACACTGGGCGGTCCAGGAGCCGCAGCTCCGACGTTGGCTCCATTCACTCCGTTTCTAGCATGCGGAGCGTCATGTCGGGCATGTCGGCCCTGTGGGCGAGCTTCGGCATCGGAGCCAGCATCTCGGCGGCCCGGACGGAGCGCCACAAGGCCGCCGTCCAAGCTGATCTGAAATACCTCTACTCTGCCTTTACCAAGATACCTTGCCTGCGGCTGGCGCCCGACTGGCGGGCCCGCTTGATTCGTGGCTACGAGGAGTTTCCCTTTGACTCGGCCGTGCCCCTCTACGTGTTCAAGAACTTGCAGGCTCTCGAGGTCAATAGCATCGACTTCCGGCAATTCTTTGGCTGGGATCGGCTGGCGGACCAGCTCCGGTCCCTCAGCCTGCGACACGCCGGCATCGAAGACCCCGCCGACATCCTCATCGACATCGTCTTGGACGACATGGACAAGAGGCGCCGGAGGACGTCCAAGTCGCAGTCCTCCCCTACCGCGACCCTGGCCTCCAACAATAGCCCTCGGAGAAGCCCTACGATACCCCATCCCGACCTCATCCGAGCTGCCTCGGCCCCCGGGTCCCCGGACGCCCGAAGCGCTCTCGCCGAGCTGCGTGTCGGCTCCATGACGCCGAGCGAGCCAGCAGTGGAGGACACCGACGCCTCCGATGCCACGAGAACGTCGTTTGCCCGCGATGACACGGACGGGAACCCTCGATCCCCGACCAAGCGCTCGCGGCCGCGAAGCAGCTCCCCGACACGCCCCGCCAGTTCGAGGAACCACTCATCCAACGTGCGGACCTCGCAGCGCATCAAGCGTTCCGGCTCCGGAAGCTCGCATTCGAGCATGTCAGACTCTTGGCACCACCACGCCCGAGGGAGCTCCAGCAACCTTTTGGCCATGGGCATTTTGCCCGCGTCCAAGTGGCGCTTTCTGCGTCATCTCAGCCTCGCGGACAACGCCATCACCTCCATCCAGTCCACGAGCTTGGCGCCCCTCTCAAACACCCTCTTCTCGCTCGACCTGTCCTCGAACCTTTTCGGCCAGATCCCCGATAGCCTGGCAACCCTTACCGCGCTCCGAGCTCTGAATCTCTCGCATTGCATGATCGACTCTCTCCACTCCCTCACACGGAATCCACTGCCCGCCATCACTGCGCTAAACTTGCGCGCCAACAGGCTTCAGTCCCTCGCCGGTGTCGAGAAGCTGTACCCCTTGGAGAGGTTGGATCTGCGGGACAACAGACTGACCGATCCTCTCGAGCTAGCGAGGCTGACCGGAATCCCCGACCTTCGCGAAATCTGGGTCGAGGGCAATCCTTTTACACGGACGCACAAAGACTATCGGACGACCATATTCAACCTGTTTCGGGCAACCCCGGGGTACACCGTGGACATTGTCATTGACGGATGTGGCCCCAGCTATAGCGAGAGGCGTCTCCTGATCGAGCGGGCCCCCATTCCGGACTCGGTTCCCGTGGTCAAGCCCAAGTCCGCCGACGCGCCCGCCGCTGTCGAGGTCAGCAAGCCTACCATCGTCTACGGGGCGCCAAAAGAGCCCAGTGTCTTGCGCAAGGAGAGGCCAACGCCGAAGACGGTGACGAGTGAGATCAACACTGGTTCGGCGCGGCGCCGCAAGGCCTCAAAGAGACGCATCGTTGATTTGGCCAGGGGCGACGCCGTTGCGCCTCTACTGTCCGTTGACTTGCGAAATGAGGCGCCGCCAACGCCCGACATCAAGGTCGCGGCGATTTCGCCACCCGGCAACTATCGCATCTCTCGCCCCGCCGAGTCTGTCCTGCTGCCCCCCGTGATTACGTCGGAGAGCCGCAGCGGCCCGCCGGCTGTCAACCCCGACCTTCTCTCGCCAGACAAGGTCCTGGGGTTCGACACGAGCGGCGCCCTCGCCGCTGGCATGGAGTCGCAAGACTGGGACGTCGGTGGTGAGGTATACCGACGCAAGATTCAGACACTGCGCGACCGAGTCGGAAGCGGCTACCTCAGCGTCTTGAGCGAAGAGAGCTGGGACGGAACAAGCAGCTTCAACGCCGCGGGCTCCCCCTCCGTTCCACCGCTGCGGGCTGGGCACATGTCGAGTAATGCTCTGCCCACCCAGGCGGTTCACAGCGGCCGAACAGTGGGCTAGTTTGTACATTTTGTCTTTATCTTGTTTTTCTTTTTCGACTCCGTGGCACCCCGGCCTGGAGGTGACATGATACCCTGGATGATACCCCTCTACCCCTTGAACCCTGTTGTGTTGTTACAACTCTGCCCTTGGATTCGGGCATGCCGGCCCCACCCCGCCGGCTGTCAGACACTGGCTGGTCGATTCTCATGTTCGTTGGTTGTGTTGGCGACTGGTTGGTCGCAAGTACGAGTAACGGAATGGTATCACGGAGCATAGCGACGACGGCGTTTGGGCTCGACCGGAATGAGTGCGCTCAGCCCTCTATAACCCGCCACCAACTTTTCTCAGTGCGCCCGGTTATGTCTTTAGAGCTTTTCTTTCAGGTTCGCGACCGTTGAACACGCAGGATGCTTGCCAGAGAAGGACGGAAGTTGCTGTGAGATGCGGCTGTGCGAACTTGGCCCTTGGTTTCTCTTCTCTTTTCTTGTCAGAAGATGTGCTCTTATCGGCTGGGAATGGTGCCCGTGGGTTTCGCGGCTCTGATGACAGCCGATTGTGAGATTGGCTCGGAAATTTTGGGATTTGGCCGGGCACCGCGGGCTCGGGGCTTGCGAGCATCGGAGCAGGCTTGCTTTCTAAATGGCCAAGAAGTAGCGTAGACGGATCTAATGCACGTGGGCTCTGAGCTCTGCACTCAAGTGAATTTTTTCCAGTGCATCGTTGTAGCCACTCTTATTTTGGCCTGCTGACTTTTTGCCAATGTCTATGCTCCAGCTGCCTTGGGGAGTGAGAGTTTCTCGGGGGCCGAGTGAGACGACGCTGCCCAGGCAGTGATTGGACAAGCCGAGGCAGTGTTTGGGTGCAAATTAAGTTATGTCGTGTCCTTTGCCAGGTGTGTGCTCTGGACTTGGCAGTGAATGAGCCTGTGGGTTCTCCGAACAAACTTGTCGGCGACGGGCAGGGCGCAGGAATAACAGCGGCATAAAATTGCTCGGACTGAAGACTGCAGTGGCCCTGCACGAGCTCGGGGATGCAAGCTTCCCCGGTTGGCGCCACAGGGATCTGAATCTTATCTGAGATTTCGAAGGCGATCTAGACAGTCCCGATGACACGGCCCGACCAAGCATATGCATGTGCTGCAGAGCATGTAGAGAGGCACTCTCGATTTGAGCCACGCGACGGCCACGTAGTGGATCGGGCACTGCCGAGATGGGTCCCGAGATGGGTCCCGTGCCGGGGTTTCCCGTCGCACGGAGCCGCGGGCGGGAGACGGGTTTTTTTGCTGGGCGGCTACGAGAGCCATTGAGCTTGGGCCGGCTCGATGAAGATGGAGAGCATGTTACTTGCCATTGAGGACGAACTGGCGGGGAAGAAGGGGATCTGGAGAGGAGTCGAGGTAGCTTGGCAGGCGCCGGTAAGGGCATCGTGAGGCAGCCGGGATTGAGGCCCGGCTTCCCCGGACTCTGGCGACATTGGCCGGGGGCCCGCAGCTGGAGCGCGTCGGGAGGTGCTGACTCACCCTTTGTGGGATGCTTTGTACGGATACGGAGTACTCCATACATGGGTACGTACCCTTGCACCCTGCAGCTGCAGCTGCACCAGTCCCAAGGGTGGTCCGTGCACCAGCGCGTTGTCTGTTTTTCGCCCGCCTTCCGACGCCGAGCCGCAGCCGACGTCACGTCTCCTCCTGATGCCTCCTCCTGCCATCGACGGCGCGCCAACAGGGTCCCCTTACCGGTTCACGACTGCTTCGTGGGCAAATCTGAGCTCATCTTCCTCGTCGGCGGCTTTCAAATGATCGTCTACCCCGCCCCATCCCGTGACGAGTGCGCGCGCACCCCCTAGCAACCTCCGCTCTTACCTCGTCCTTGATTCAGCCCGTCCACATCGCTTCCATCGAAAAGTCCCCCCTCCTCCCGGCGCAACAAGGCGACGGCGGACCGCGCTGACACATATGGCTCCAACGTCGCCCACGCCTCGACGAACTCCCACGGGCCGCCGTCGAGGCCGTCCTCCCGGCACGACCAATGCTGCACGAGCCGCGAGACAGGCCTCCCTAGCGGCGGCGGCGGCTGCTGCTACTGCCACGACTGCGTCTCCGTCGTCAGAGCCACCTTCTAAAAGACGTCGCTATGTGCCAGGAGGACCTGGAGGCGGCGGACGCTTCCTCGAATCGGAAAACCCCGGCACCCCCCTCGCGGCCGGCCCTGCAACCGTATCGAGGGCCAGGACTGCCGGACACGACCTTGTCAACGGAGATACCCCGTCCGCCCTTCCCCGACGCGAGAGGAGCACGCGCACACGAGCCGCCGCGAGCGAAGACCTGGAGGAGATGCGGTGGGGCTCTGCTGCCGCCATGGCCGCCTCGGTGAAGCAGGCCGAGGACTACAAGCCTCGCGAGGAGCGGGGCTGGGAAGAGTTCCACCCCAACCTCGACATTGAGCAGCCCTTCATCGTCTTCACCGCCGAGGAGGTGGACGGCGCCCCGCACGTCGCGCCTAGCACACCGGCGATGCAGACACCGGGCACGCCCAGAGCCACCGCCTCGATGACGCCGTCGAGACAGGTAAAGCCTGCGTCCACGGGTAACACGCCTAATCCGCAGGACAAGCAGGACCCGAATCCCTTTGATGTGTCCAACGGGACCCCGTCGCGGCGCCCCCGGCGGCAGCATCGCGACGTGGTGAGCTTCTACGGGGCTCGCTCCGTCGACTTTGCCACCACCCCAAAGACGCCCAAGATACTACCCATACAGAACCAGACTCCGAAAGAGCGACTCGACCTGAAGCTGCCATCCTATCGCAAGACGAACCGCATCGAGCTCTTTGAGAGCAAGACGTTTGGCCAAGCGCGCTATGTCGACAAGTCGATGAGCAATGTTGGCTATCAAGAGAGTGATCACTTCATTCGCCCTGACGCGACCCTGATCAAGGCCATTGACGGCAATGCCGAGGACGAGGCGGACCAGTCGACGACGACTCCAAAGGCGGATGACCACGCCCCCCACTATAGACTTGGACGTGTCGAATACGACATGGACGAGCAAGACGACATGTGGCTGGAGCAATTCAACGCTCAGCGCAAGCAGAACGAGCTCGAGGCCATCACCAGAGAGGTGTTTGAGATTACCATGACCAAGATTGAAAAGGAGTGGCACGCCCTGGAGAAACGGATACCCAAGCCAAACCCCAAGCCCCCCCAGACGCACCGGCCACGGTCCAGCTCCGCTGCCGCCGTCAACGGCGAGACGCAGGCGGGCGACGAGCCAGACAGCAAGTGCGCGGTGTGCGACGACGGGGACTGCGAAAACACAAACGCCATCGTCTTTTGCGACGGCTGCAACCTGGCCGTCCACCAAGAGTGCTACGGCGTGCCCTTTATCCCCGAAGGCCAGTGGCTGTGTCGAAAGTGCCAGCTCTGCGGCCGCGGAGTGCCTGTGAGCTACACCGCCCACCCTGTCCCTGTCCCCGCATGCGCTAACCAAGGCCCTGACAGACGTGCATCTTCTGCCCCAACACCGACGGGGCCTTCAAGCAGACCAACTCGTCCAAGTGGGCTCACCTGCTCTGCGCCATGTGGATTCCCGAAATCTCGCTCGGCAACCACACCTTTATGGAGCCCGTCATGGATGTGGAAAAGGTGCCCAAGACGAGGTGGAAGCTTTCTTGCTACATTTGCCATCAGAGGATGGGAGCGTGCATCCAGTGCGGAAACAAGAATTGCTATCAGGCCTTTCATGTTACCTGCGCCAGGAGGGCTCGCCTCTTTCTTAAGATGAAGACGAGCCAGGGCGCGCTCGCGGTCCTGGACGGCGGCATGGTGCTCAAAGCGTTTTGCAATAAGCACTGCCCCCTCGACTACGCCCAGGAGAACAATGTTCATCAAGCCACCCGGGTGGCCAAGAAGTTCTACAAGCGGAACATGAGGGGCCGCATCTGGGCGGACAACTACGCCATTGCCAATGTCATTGCCGCCCAGCACCGCAATGCCATCACCGAGCACCCTCCAGACGAGTCCCAGATGACAGGGGCCAAGAACTCGGCCGTGCTTGGCGACAAGAAAAAGGGCGGTCAGCCCCCCAAGAACCTGTGGAAGCTACCGTCCGGGGCCCCCATCATCCCGCAGGCCGTCTTTGACGTGGTCGAGGCTTCCATCCAGCGCTTCCCCTTTAGGAAACGAAAGGATTTCCTGAGCGAAGCGTGTCGCTACTGGACCCTGAAGCGGGAGGCGCGGCGCGGCGCTGCCTTGCTCAAGCGCTTGCAGCTCCAGATGGAGACGTTTTCCTCCATGGAGCTGACGAGGCGGAACTTTGCCTCGATGGGTCCCGGCGGCAAGGCGCGGCTGGCACGACGCATCGAGTTTGGCCAGAGCATCATCCGAGACCTCGAGCAACTCAGGATGCTCTCCGAGGAGGTGGTGCAGCGCGAACAGATGAAGGTGGACGCGGCCGAGCTCGAGCAAGACTTTGTTGACGAATGCTACTTTCCCGTAGCGAAGCTCCTTGCGCCGGCGATTGAGAAGGCGACATCGTACGTGGCGCCCCTGCGACTGAAACACGAAGAGGAAAATGCTGACTGGGGATGATGCTCTCGTAGGCTGGACAAGAACCTCTTCGCCAAGGGCTTGGCTGGGGTGCAAACCCGCATAGAAAAGCGGTTCTACGTGACGGCGCTTTCTTTTGCTCAGGACCTCGGGGACATAATTGGCGAGGGCATTGCGACGGCGCCCAGGGTGGAGGAGGTTGCCGAGCAGCGCTTCGAAGCGGCAGACGCGGCGCCGCCCAAGAGCGCCTTCACGGACATTCGCGAACGCCGGAAGCTGGGGAAGCGGATCCTCAAGGCCGTGCAGCCGTATCTCGAGACGGCATTGCGGGTCGAGTCCGAGATTTCGAACAAGCCGTACGAGAACCTGCAAAAGGAGTTGGAGACGCTGGTGGACGCGAGTGTCGACGCGGCGCGGGCGTCTGCCGGCGGTGAGTTGAAGCGCGAGGGCGAAGAAGAGGAAGACACCATCATGGTGGACGCGCCCAACTCATCCGAGATTACGGTCAAGAGCGCGTTCCGCGGTACAGTCACCGCCGCCGCCGAGGCCGACGCCATGGACACGGCCGAAGATGGCGAGGGTCAGGATGGCGGCAACATCGAGGTCAACACGTCTGGGCTGGGCATCGTCAATCAAGGCGCCTCGGAAGCGATCGAGGTCTCGCTGCGCAAGAGCAAGAGAGGTTCGGCGAGCAACGGAGTCGACCCGTCCGAGACTCCGCCCGCGAGCCACGGGTTCCCAGCGTTGGCGCGCCCAGAGCAGCCGGGGCCGCCCACACCCCCCCAATCCAACGGCAGCTTTGGCAAGGAGCCCGGCGACTCGCTAGCCGAGGGGGGCATCCTCTGGTACCTCAAGACGATGAAGCCCGTTGGCACGTCCATCCTGAGCGAGCACTGGGCCGCGGGACGGGACGCGGTGCGGATGCTGAGCGAAGACCTGACGGACCTGGACGACGAGGAGCTCCGGGGCCTCGGGGCCGATGTGGACGAGGCCGTGGCAGCCGCGGCCATGGATACGGAGCCGACGGTGGACACTGTGGTGAGCACCAGCAAGAGCAAGGCGAGTAGCAAAGCCAGGAAGCGGCGGGCGTCGGGGAGAAGACGATGATGGCGAGGGAGGAAGCACGTGTACCATTACAGCCGTTGTGGCTTGGCTCTGGCCCCCTTTTTATTCTTTTCTTTTTTTTTTCCTCATGACTATATGCCGAGTGCGGAGCTACTAGGCTTTGGGCGTCGAGGGTTGGTCTGCAATCCGGAGGCATGGCACTTTTTCTTGTTCTTGTTTGCTGCTTACATTGGCGCTGGGAGGTTGCAAGCGGGAGCCCTTGGGCCGGGAGGCAGGGTTTTTTTTTTCGCAAGGCATTTGCCGAGAGGGGCGGGGTTATTATATGTGTATACACAAATGAGTACTTTGGAGCCCTTGTATGAGTAGAAGAGCATATCGATTCAGTGCCGACGAGGGTGACTTTGCGCGCGAGTTGGATGGCGGCCGTGAGCGTGCGTCTACGGGCACTTTTTACTTGCGGTGTGCTGTGACACTGCTAGCTCGAGGTGCGGTGGTGGTATGGATGGGACGAAGCGATGCAAGGGGCTAAAGGAGTTTTGCATGCACTACGACTCGTATAATAAATGTACGCGCATGTGCAGAGTATGTGAAGCGACGGGCCATGATTCATCTACATAGACGACCAAAGGCAAACTGGCCGACGGGATTCGAGAGGGTGGGACTGCGGGCGGCCATCGGGAGACGGCGATGATGCTGTAGGAGGACCATGGACGAAGTAAAGGTCATGGACGGTAGCCAGAAGGAGAAGGCGAGAGAGGGAGGCAGGCTGTGGATGGATCCTTTTTCGTTGATGCAAGTCGCCTCTTTTCTTCTTTTTTTCTCAAGGTCATTTTTGGGAGACAGTATGGTAGTATATGCTCAGTCACAGGTCTTCGGGGGAAGCGTCACGGCAGTGTCTCGGAGGGGAGTTGATGCTGGTTGTTGGCTGAGCCGAGGGACATGAGATGGAGTGAGGGAAGGACGGGTGAGTGGTGGACGCCATGCTGGGTCTGCAGGTTGGAAGCCCAAGGTCTTCCTTCTAACCACATACTTGCAAAGCGTCATCTGGACCTGTACACTCGGCATCGACTGCATGTCTGTGCGTGGCCCCGGGAGGGTCGGTGTGGTCGACGTGGATGAGAGTGAGCCTGGCGGACTCGAGGGAGGCAAAGCCAAGGCAGGGAAAAAGTAACTCTGGCACGCAGCACCACGGCGAGCGTCGTACCGGACGGACATTGCGCGACTGCCAAGCAAAGGGCGAGAGGTAAAAGGCCATGATGAGCGGTTCTGGAACAAGGAAGACAACGACAAGCGCCCGGGGCCTCTGGGCGAGCTACGACTTATTGGTGGACAAGTCGGCGTATACTTTGTAGTGAAGATGCTCTATTCCGCTTTCGCACCAGGTTGGCATGCAAATACGGCGCCCGATAGCACGCCGCTCTCACGAACAAAGACGCAGAGATGTCGGAGATGTCTCCCGGTTTCTCTTGCTGGCGACGAGGGGAAGAAGGATGATGTCGACGGGCGCACAGGGCGGGTGGGCATGGGCGCATGTTGGACTCCGAAGCACTGTAACTCCACTGCCTTACCGGGGAGGTGCAGCTGCTGGGTAACCGGGGCAGCAGCTCCAGCACGGGCGGGACTGGAAGCTACGGGGTGCCACCCTGTCGGCAGGCCCAGGGGGCTCCATGGGCACAGCACAGCACAGCACAGCACAGCACAGCGCTGGCCAGCCACAGGTAGGAGGCACTGGCGACAAGCAGGCACTGGGCGACAAGCAGGCACTGGCAACACTGTGCCTGCGCTGTGGCTCAGGTGTCTGTCTCCCCGGCCACGCCTCGCCAGACATTTCTCTTCCTTTCCTACACCCCCCCGAGCGAGACAGAAGATTAAGGGAAAGATTAAAAAAATAACACAGACGCACACGCGCATACATTTCTCTCTCGCGACGCTGCAACACTCTGCCTCGCCGAGAGCAAGAGAAAAGGCGTTCCGAGGCCCAACCAACCCGCACCAGTACAGCGCCGCAAAGCACCGCAACCGCACGGCTCGGCACAGCCAAGCCCACTCGGAAAAGCGAAGCGCCCCAACGCAATCCCTCGACGCTGCCCTCTGCGCCGCCCTCTGCGCTGCCCTCTGCGCTGCCCTCTGCGCCCCCTCTCCTCCTTCTCTTCCTCCTCCCTTGGCGGAGAGAAAAGCGGTTTTTTCCCCCTCACAACCACCTTCGAGCGAGCCCACTTCGACGAGCTCTTTCTGACGACTGCGAATATCGGCCATCGACTGTTCATTCAGCGACTCAAGATACTTTTTTTGTCATTCTTCCTCTCTTGGCCATCCCGCCTCTCCCATCTCGACGCGACGAGGCCACAACAGCCTTTTCCACTGCCGCCACTTGGTCATCGCTGCCCAGGCGAAAAAGACGACGACGACTACGACGACGACGCTCAGGTATCCCCTGAAGCTCTCCGCAGCCGACGAAGCCGACGAGGCCATCTCACCACGACCCCGCGACAGGCGCCCGCATCTGCTCCATCCACGCCTTGTGTGCAGCAGCTTTCGACATAGACGCTCGTTTCCCGCCTCGATATAGGGCCCTATTCAGAGCTGTCGCCTCCTTGTCCGTGAGTAGGTCCCCCTCTTTCTCCCGCCCCAGGTAGCCGCTTTTTTTTCCTGCCCTGGCGCCCTCTCTCGCTCTCGCCCCCTTCCGCGTGTCCCCGCGCGCGCCGGCCGACTGCTTGGACAGACGACCAAGAAAAATTCTCGTCACCTCATTTGCCGCTCGTCTTCCTTCGCACCCGACGCCCGCTTCGTCCACCTTGGCCCCCGCACCTCGATTGGCTGCTTCTTTTCGGTGCAGGCTGACGTCGGAAACGCAGATTGCCGCAGTGCATCGTACCCGGTCGCCCCTAGCCCTCTCTCGCTGGTTGCACCACAAGGCTCCCCCCCCAACCGCCGCTGCCGCCACGTCCCGCACGTCGGGTCTGCTCCTCGCCGCCTCGTCTCCCACGCGCAGCCGCCCATCCCCCCGGTCCGCCCAGGGAGCTCTCCACAATGGCAGACCAACATGAGGTCGATCTCGACTCCATAATCGACCGCCTGCTTGAGGTGCGAGGCAGCCGCCCCGGTAAGCAGGTCCAGCTGCTCGAGGCCGAGATCCGATATCTCTGCACTAAGGCGCGCGAGATCTTCATCTCCCAGCCCATCCTGCTCGAGCTCGAGGCTCCCATCAAGGTATGCTCCCCCGTCCCTCAGCCCATTGCTCGGCTGACGCGGCAACCCCTCCCAGATTTGCGGCGACATCCACGGGCAATACTACGACTTGTTGCGACTCTTCGAGTACGGCGGGTTTCCCCCCGAGGCCAACTACCTCTTCCTCGGCGACTATGTCGACCGCGGCAAGCAGTCGCTCGAGACAATCTGCCTCTTGCTCGCCTACAAGATCAAGTACCCGGAAAACTTCTTCATCCTGCGCGGCAACCACGAGTGCGCTTCCATCAACCGCATCTACGGCTTCTACGACGAGTGCAAGCGCCGCTACAACATCAAGCTTTGGAAGACATTTACGGACTGCTTCAACTGCCTCCCCATCGCCGCCATCATCGACGAGAAAATCTTCACCATGCACGGTGGTCTGAGCCCCGACCTCAACTCGATGGAGCAGATTCGCCGCGTCATGCGGCCCACGGACGTAAGTGCACTCGGCGCTCTTGCCTCTGACCATTATGTTTTGTCGCTTGACCACTCAGGCCGCATCTTCCGTCCTCTGGTCTTGTTCGTGTCCGCGGGGCTCGGGCTAACCTCGATCCCAGATTCCCGACTGCGGCCTGCTCTGCGACTTGCTCTGGTCCGACCCCGACAAGGACATTACTGGATGGAGCGAAAACGACCGTGGCGTCTCCTTCACCTTTGGCCCCGACGTGGTGTCGCGATTCCTGCAAAAGCATGACATGGATCTCATCTGCCGCGCCCACCAGGTCGTCGAAGACGGGTACGAGTTCTTCTCCAAGAGACAGCTCGTGACTCTGTTCAGCGCCCCCAACTACTGCGGAGAGTTTGACAACGCGGGTGCCATGATGAGCGTGGACGAGAGCCTGCTCTGCTCGTTCCAGGTCGGTCTATTCGCCTACCTCGTGTCGCCCGACGGTTGCTAACCCGTTTCCTCGACAGATCCTTAAGCCTGCTGAGAAGAAACAAAAGTACGTGTACGGTGGTCTTGGGAGCGGAAGCAAACGAGTCACTCCTAAAGCCAAATCCAAGAATTGAGCGCGTTTATACGAACTTGATGTTCTCCCTCTAGGTTCGGACGACGTTGAACAACCAGCGGCCCGGCTCGGCGGGCCATAGCGAAACGACTGTTGCCCCCTCGCCAGCGCTCTCCGTCTCTGGAACCTCACTCTCTCACTCTCTCGCACGCCCCGGGTCCGGCTGCGAGCATGTGTCGGGTTGGCCGCCTCCGAGGCATCGCGTGTCGAGGGCTTGTCTCGTCGATGTACCGTGTGCCCTTGTCAGCGGCGTGGCTCGGATTCGTCTCTAATGCTCATATGCGAACTTGATCGCGACCAAACGGCTGTTTCTTAGCTCACAGATACAATATACATCAAAAAAAAACTTTGACACCACGGTTGTGCCTCTCTGGTTTGTTGGTGGGCCAGCTCCAAGCGGTGGGAGCGAATTACTGCTGGCTACTTGGTTGGGTGAGGGGAAATCTGGGAGGGCAGGACAGCGCCAGAAACTCCTATATCCTGACGGCATGACGTCTCTCGAAGCAGTGCAAGGCTCCCATTTCGTGACGACATGACGTCCCTCGAGGCAGTGCAGAGCTCCCATTTCCTGATGGGCGTGACGTCCCTTGGAGGGAATGTGCTGCGATGCTCGCGCCCTACTCCAAGGCCTCGCCCAGATGGTATTTCCCACGGAGATGCGCACCAAAGCGTACCCGTGCCTGCTGCCATGCCGTACCGATTCACGGAGCACAATCCTCGCAGTTGTCTCCGCCTCCGCCCGTCCCCGACACGCCCTTGACCTCGGGGTTTCCCTCTTCGCCGCTACCCGTCGTCGTCGCCCCGTCGCGGGCGGGCTCGCCGGGGTGGTGCTGGCGATCGACGTGGCCGAGGTCGCGGGCGGGCTCGACGACGTCGCGGACCCTGCGCTTGAGCTCCTTTGTCTCGGGGAAGCCGCCGTCGACGCGGCGGTCCCAGAGGACCTTGTTCGTCGTCGTCGTCGCCGTCGAGGTCGCGACGACGGCTCCGGCCGGCTGCTGGGGCCGGTGCTGGATGGCGACAACAAAGGTCCCGCCCGTGGAGGGCTGGAGGGCGACTTCGCCGAGAGAGAGCGAAAAGGTGGAGAGGAGCTCCTGGGCGTACTGCCGGGGTGGTGGTTAGTACCAAGGTGCCCGGGCATCTTTTGTATTTTTGCTTGTCTTTCTTCGAGTTGATGGAGGGGAGGGGGGGGGCACAGTTTTGGTTTCTCAGGGAGAAAGGGTCGGGGAGGGGGCGTACGTAGGCGGCGCGCAGCATCCATTTGCACTGCGTGCAGAACTGGATCGTGATGCGGGGGAGGGCGGGCTCGGGAGGGCCGTTGGGCGTGGTGGTGGTGCTCATGCTGGCGGGTTGCTGCTGCTGCTGCTGCTGCTTTGTTTCTTCTCGTCTGCCCTCTGCTTTCTTGGTGTCCGGGAGAGGGGGGAGTGGCGGGGTGCGCGCGAGGCTGGAGGTTGGGAGGGGAGGGGGGGAAACGCGATGATGCCCTGCAGCGGGCGGTTGATTAGGTACCCCCCTCGTCTGGGGCCTCTCGGCGAGGCCCAGCACCGGGCTTCGAGCAGCTGTGCTTCAAACATGGTCGCGACAAAAGCCACACGAGAAAAGCCCTCGATAATGCGTGTCACAGAGACGAGCATAGGCGTAAATGGGGTGTGAAAGTAAACAAGGCCACCTCGTAAAAAAAAAGTAGAGGAAAATAGTTACAAGACGAACCCAGACAGAAACACGAGACTAGGAAACTTTCGTCCAAAACATAAGGAATTAGTACATGCTGGATTAGCCGGCCTCATTCTCCCAAGGCCGGCCATGTCGAAATTTTCTGTGTGCTTCCTTCTTGCCCTGGCCCTCGTCCCGCCATGCACCATCCAGGCGGGAGCAGCCGCGGGAGACGAGGGCTCCCGTCTCCCCAAGGCCAAGCAACACAACCTTTGTTCCTCGCCCATCCCAGACCCAACTGTCACGAGGTGCCGGTTCCGGGGTATCTCATTGCGCCTCCTCGCGTCCGGGTCCAGACTCGGTAGCTTGTCCCGTCCGCCCATCGGTTCGACCTGGTCGTGTTGCTTCCCGGTGGGCGGCGCGTGATTCAAGTCGCCAAGTCCATGGCATCATGCTCCTAGTCGCCAAATCATTATCGATGGTCTTCGTTTTGTTTTTTTGCTTCCACTGCGACAAGGGGTAACCGCTCGCCTCGCCTACATGACGACGCAGCAGCCGCCCGATTGTTGTGGCGCGTAGGGGTCGTCTCCCTTGGGCACCGCGCCCCATACTGACGGGACCATGTAATCCCTCGTGCCGTTGCAGTAGGCGATGATGCTGTTTTGCCACATCCTGTCAGCGGGAAACACTCACAGAGACGGGCATAAGCAGTCGCCGGTCTTACCTCTTGGCAGCTGTGCTGACGGGGATGCGCTCACGCTCGAGATCCTCGCGCAGGCGGTTGTTGAGCTCCGTTAGCCGTCGTAGTTTCAGGTCAGCCATCGACTGCTTGTTCTTCTTGATCTGCGACGGGTCGCCGACGTCGCGTGACGTGTATTGAGGCATGGCGGCGGGTGGTCGGGGGGGATCGGGTGGTGGGGAGGACCTCAGCGGGTGAGGTGAGGGGCGACGACGGCTTGCTGGAAAGCACCACGCGCGCGTTGCTCCGCGTTTTGTCGCAGAGGCGGCGGAGGGCGTGGCAGAGGAGGATTCGGAGGGTTGTGGGCGTGGGAACGGGCGGCGAAAAATCGAGATTGGTAGCTGTTTGATGGCTGCCTCGGTAACGGGTCAGCGATCTGTGGAGTAATTTTCGTTACAGCCGGGGGGGATGGTGGAGGAGAGACGTGTCTGCTGGCGACGGCGGCGGAGGAGGACAAGGAGGGCGCGATGTGGGCAGACAGGAAGCTGGGACGATGCGTCTGAATGTCGACGGCGTCGTGGGATATGCCTCCTTTTCAGAAGCCCGAGATGCTAACAGGCCCCCTTGTCGACGTCTCCTCTTTTGTCCTTCCCCTCCCCACAGCAGAGGCGTCGTGCAATTGAGAGACAAAGGGCAACCGGCGGCCCGGAGAGGGCAATTGAGGGGCGCCCGACTTACCGATCAACAATGGCCGGTACGATGGCGAAGCAGGTGAGCGAAAGATTGAAGGCGACGCACGCACCGGGGACGTGGAGGAGGAATGGATGGATGCGAGGGATCCTTTGGGGTCGGGGCGGACGGCGCTGGGCAACCTGGACTGGGGGGCTTGTGGCGGTTCTGCCGGTGAGTACCTTAGAGTACCTTAGCCGCAAGCTGTTTGTTTGCATGTAGCCGGCGGACCAGCCCAAGGTACTGCCTACTCGGGGCCTCTGCGCGCGCTAACGTCGCACACGCGCACACACGCCATTATCCGAGAGCCCCAGGCGGTGGTGTGAGGTATCCGCTACCTTGTCAGGGCTAGCCCGCTACACGCGGCCATCTCGCCCCGTCCCCCCTCCGCCCGTCAATCTGCTTCTGCTGGCTTTTGACTTGCTGGACGTGGTACCCACTGTGTAACGGTACCTTAGCGCGCCCGAAATAAACAGGCGTCTGAACCTTGGAAGTCGGCCAAGACGCTCCCGTTTGCAGCAAGACAAGGAACATACCTACGTGCACACTACGAGCGGTCCGGCGCTGCGACATTTGCGGCTGCCTGTGAGAGGTGGCCACTGGAAATTGGCGTGCGCTGTTGAAGCCAGTGCCTGTGGACAGAAGCCGCAAATGTCAAATGTCCCGCGCAGACGGGAGCCCATTTGCAACAAAAGACCGAGGGAGGACCCTAGGATCCCTGGTCGCTTGGTGGGCTCCTCCTCTCAAGCTTCGAGAGGCCCACCGGTACGGTGGAGGAGGTAAATAGCGCCGAGCCGAATGGGTGATGCCATTGCCATTCTCGGCACCTGCACACTGTCTGCTCTTCAGCAGATGATCGGCATCATCACCGACTAGACGGATTCCAGAGACACGCTCGATTCGGCGAACTGATGCCATCTATGCATTGGCCGCATCTCATCTCGAGTTCCATCGTAGCTACTTCCGGCTCCCTCAAGCTTTGCCCTTGCCATCCATGCCCGCAAACCCCCAGACCCCGTGCAGTCAACGTATCTCTGGGCTGCCGGGCCTTTGTCTTTGTGTTTTTCTTTTCTGTCAGGAAAAATTGCGTGCTGCCGTCAGAAAGAAGTCGAGTTGGCCTTGCTGTGCGGGGGGCTCTAGCAATCATACCCGGTTGGGCTTGTGAGGAATCAAGCCATGGTGTCGTTTTGGTTTCTCCTGCCCCGATCAAGTTGCATCGTTGCAAGCCCTTCTAGGATTTCCGTGGCCGGCCTGCAGCAAGGGCCGGCAGCCAACAGGCCACGAGCTGGACCGAGGGTCCAAGTTCACCTGGTTCACGGCGGACCAGATGAACGGGCATGCTCGCTCAGTCGCCGGTATCAAGCTCCAGGTCGAGCTGCACTCCGTTCGAGATTCCGTAGTCCTCCAAGCTCAGCTGGTCCTTGAACGGCCGCTCGCCCTGGCGACGCAGCATAATCTGGCTCGACTCTCGCCCGATGCGCGCCGCAACCATGAGCTTCAGCTGGCCGATGGTATCAGACGGCAGGCATGGGATGGCCGACTTTGTTCCCAGGCGATCGTTGACATGGACAATAATCATCTCTTGGCCTGCCGCCGCCGGGGCCACCGCCGCCTTCTTCTCCCTTTTGCCCTTGTCCTTGGATCCCGAGTCGTGAGGCCGTGGAGAGCGTAGGCGGCCTTCCCTGTCTGTGCCGCGGTCCCGTTCCCCATCCCGATCCCGTTCGCGGTCGCGGTCTCGCGGGCGCTGCCGATCTGGCGAGCGGTCGCGATAGTCTCGGCGTCGCCCAGGCTCACCGCGGCCGTGACTGTCTTCTTTGCCGCGGGCGCTGTCCTTCCACCGGAAGCCCTTGCTGCCTCGAGGCGCGCGCCGAGGCGGGGATCGCGAGCGCGATCTTCTCGAAGAGTTGTCGGCCATGGCGCTGGATGGATGCTTGCGGGTGCCAGGTGACAGCTCTTGATATGGGCCGCGGTCTCTTGAGTCGGAAACGGGGGAAGTTGGCAAGGTTCATTGAAGCTTCACCTTCGCTAGGTGTAGCCCGTGATGAGTCACGTGACTTTTGATCACAGTTGGGCCCGCCCTGTTGATCACGCTTGGGGAGAGCGCAAGTTGGACGAGGGTCGGCTAAACCTCATCTTCACTGGACAGACTCCTCGGTGGAGACAAGGCTTTTGACGAGTTCTGATACAAGTCCCTGGCAGTGCAGACCATGGATATGCCTGGAAACAAGGTCACGCCGCTCTTGGGCACCATGCCGAGGACCGTTCGCATTGCAGACTCTACTTAGAGAGAAGAAGAAATTGCAAGTTGAGCACCAGCAGAGAAAGCTGACCCTGGCGGCGGTTTCTTTACCGATAGAGTGTTCTCTCCGTTACGGCCTTGTCCTCGCAAGCCTCCAACGCCACCGTTGGGTCTCGCCTAGCTCGGTCTTGTACGGTACGCCTCGTTCAGCGTCAACTGCTCGGGGCCCGTTGACCGAGGGCCCCCTCGCAGCCTTCCGTTGCAGTTCCAAACCGGAGCAAACACAGTTGTGCAAGGCGCTTCTTCAATCACGATGCTCCAGCCTTACTAGTGCATCAATGACTGCATTCTGTCAGCGTGCTGACCTAATTGGCCCGGCACGTGACTCGCCCCGGATCGCTAGCCCCTCAGCGCTCGGATAGCGTCCACACACGAATTTGAAAAATTCCTCCTGCCGTGCTTCGCTTCACCACCACGAGTCCCAGCAAGTGCCCCATTCTGCTCGCACTCTGGCTTGTGACGGCTTCGCATAGCCGCCAAATCTCCTCGCCTCATCAAAACCCACTCTTAGAGGAGGTTGCCCAGCATGGTGCGTCTACCCAGAGTCGCGCGCGAGCCTCCCGGACCGTCCATCTGCTCTTACCCCTCCCCTCCTCACTCAACGCTGCCTCCCTCGGGCATTAGTGCTAACTGCCTACCGTCCATCAGCCTCCTCCGCCGCATCAAAAGCCCGAAAATGTCCTCAAGCGCGCCCACGAGCTCATCGGGGTCAACCAGGCCCCCGCGGCCTTGACCCTGCTCCATGAGCACATTACCAGCAAGCGCTCCCGAAATGTCCCCATCGCATCCCTGGAACCTGTCATGGTTCTGCTGGTCGAGTTGTCTGTCGAGCAGAAGAAGGGAAAGCTGGCCAAGGACGCCCTCTACCAGTACAAGAACATTTCGCAAAACACAAACATTGGAACCATTGAGGTCAGTCGCCAGGCATAGCTCCCATTACGAGGCGAACACGCTGCTGACGCTTGCAAACAGTTGGTTTTGAAACGCTTCATCGAGCTTGCCGTCGAAAAGGTCACGGCCGCTCAGCAAAAAGCCGACGAGGTCCAGTCCACTATCGAGGCCACCGCCGCCACGTCCAGCATTGACGACTTGGAAGCCAGCGAGACTCCTGAGTCGATTCTCCTCGCCACCGTCTCTGGCGAGCAGTCGCGTGATCGCACCGACCGAGCCATCGTCACCCCTTGGCTCAAGTTCCTCTGGGAGGCGTATCGCACCGTCCTCGACATCCTCCGCAACAATGCGCGACTGGAGATTCTCTACCAGAGCACGGCCATGCAGGCCTTTGACTTCTGTCTCAAGTACACCAGGAAGACCGAGTTTCGAAGACTCTGCGAGCTGCTTCGCAACCACGTTCAGACCGCGGCCAAGTACTCTTCCCAGATGCACGCCATCAACCTGAGCGACCCGGATACTCTCCAGCGTCACCTCGAGACCCGCTTCCAGCAGCTCAACGTCGCCGTGGAGCTTGAGCTGTGGCAGGAGGCCTTCCGCAGTGTCGAGGACATCCATACCCTACTCAACCTCAGCAAGCGGCCGCCAAAGAACATCATGATGGCCAACTACTATGAGAAGCTCACCCGCATCTTCCTGGTTGGCGAGAACTATCTCTTCCATGCCGCCGCCTGGTCAAGATACTACACGCTTCTCCGCCAGTCGGCCGCCCTCGTCGGCAGCGGGCAGGGAAAGAAGTCGGACAACCCACCTGCCTCGGATGCAGATCTCCAAAAGGCCGCATCCTTCGTTCTCCTGTCTGCCCTCGCCATCCCTGTCATCAGCACAACCCGATCTCGCGGTGCCATGGTGGACTTTGACGAGGCCAAGAAGAACAAGAACTCCCGGCTCACTCACCTCTTGAGCATGTCTCAGGCACCAACCCGCGCCCGGCTCTTCCGCGACGCCTTGTCCAAGTCTCTGCTCCAGCGCGCCCGCCCCGAGATTCGAGAACTCTATAACATCCTCGAAGTCGACTTCCATCCTCTGTCCATTTGCAAGAAGATCTCGCCCATCTTGACAAAGATTGGTGCCGACGCCGAGATGGAGCGGTACATTGTCCCTCTCCAGCAGGTCATTCTCACGAGGCTGTTCCAGCAGCTGTCTCAGGTCTACGAGACGGTTGATCTGAGCTTTGTCGAGGACCTTGCCCAATTCCCCGAGTCCTACCAGGTCACTCGCGGCACCATTGAGAAGTTCATCATGAATGGCAACAAGAAGGGTGATCTCGCCATTCGCATGGACCACGGCACCGGTGTCCTCAGCTTCGACAACGATGTATTCTCGTCGGCCAAGGCCGGACAGAGCGGCTCCGGGGCTGGTTCCGCCGAATCCGAGACGGGTACCGTTCAGCGCCTGCAGAGCACCCCCTCGGAGATTGTTCGATCGCAGCTCACGCGTCTAGTCCGGTCTCTGTACACGACTTGCCACTACATTGATCCCAGCTTCAACAAGGAACGCCTGGCCGCCCGCAACGCAGCGCTGGCTCGCGCAAAGGCTGGAGCCGAGAAGGAACACCTCGAGATCCTGGCACGCAAGGAAGTCATTCAGAAACGCAAGGAAGAGGCGTCCGAGATCCAGGCCAAGCGGGACAGGGAGAACGCCCGTCAGAAGCGGCTCCGAGAGCAGGCCCTGCAGGAGGCCGAGGACAAGCGACTGGCGGCGGAGCAAAAGGAGCGCGAGGCCAAGCGCCTGAAGGCGGAGCGCGACCGCGTCCGCAAGGACGAACTCAAGAAGCAGATTGCCGATCTCAAGATGAGTGACAAGGCTCTTGACATTGACCTAGATGACCTGGACAACCTGGATGCAAACCGCCTTCGTGCCATGAAGCTCGCTCAGCTGGAGCGCGAGAAGAACGACGTCAACGAGAAGCTCCGCGTCACCGGCAAGCGCATCGACCACTTGGAGCGAGCTCTCCGAAAGGAAGAGTCAAAGAAGATGAGCGAGGACTACGCGAAGCAGGTGGAGCAGGATCGTGCAATCTATGAAAGCCTCAAGGTCAAGACGCTCAAGGAGGCCGAAGAGAAGCACAAGGAGAGCGTCGAGCTCAAGCATCGACTCAGCCGCCTGGTTCCTCTGTACGAAGACTTTAGGCGCTCGCTGCACGAGCGACGCCGCGACGAGTTTGAGAAGCGCCGCAAGGATGCGGAGCGCGAACTGGAGAAGCAGATCGCCACTCGCAAGAAGGAGTTCCGTGACCGGAAACTGAGGGAGAAGCGAGAGCAGGAAGAGAGGGAGCGTCAGCTCCGCGAGGCCGAAGAGCGCGCAGCCCGCGAGAAGGAGGAGCAGCGCCTGCGCGAGGAAGCCAAAAAGGCGGAGCTCGCCAAGTTGAAGGAACAGCGGGAGAAGGAGCGACAGGAGATGCTGGAGAAGGCGGCACTGCAACAGCGGCGCGAGGAAGAGGCGCTGGCGCGTCGGAAGGCTGAGAAGGAGAAGGGATCGGTGCCGTCGAAGACGGATACCCCGGAAGCGCGGGGACCACCCGTCATCGCTGGCGCCAGCCGCTGGCGCGAGCGGGAAGCGTCCAAGGTGGCCGAGGGCCCCACGCCGTATCGGGCTGGACCGCCGATGGAGCGAACGGAGTCCAACGACCGCCCGTCGGGCCCTCCACGCCTGCAGCTGTCGGGCAACAAGCCGAGCTGGCGAGAGCGCGAGGCGGCCAAGGCTGTTGGGGGCGGTGGCGGAGGTGCGGACAGTGGACCACCGGCGCCAGCGGCCAGCAGGGGATTTGGATCAAGGGGCGAGGACATGGACCGCGGCGGGTCGGGCCGTGGGGAGAATGGGCGAACGGAATCTCCAGCCCCGGCGCCGGAGCCTCTGCAGTCGTCACGCGCTCCCGGCAAGTGGGTTCCTCCTCACCTGAGAAACAAGGCGTGAGGCGAGTGTAAGCGGCTGAGGTGAAATTTGCACTGGCGTTACGGGACGGAAAGGTTGCGCTTCATGTACTCTAGAGTTCGGTCTAATCTTGGTCCTCTTGAGGTACGAGCACAGCAGAATGAATGACAGAAGGTGTAGCAGCTGGTATTGCGGGTTGTGGATTGGTGACTGCATGCAGTCGACATTGTTCTCTTGCCGTTGACGGGTAATGAGCGGCAAGCCACCTGACGCCGTAGGCAAGCCGTGCAGATTTGTGAGCCTCCCAGTCTCGGCAAGGGATCTATCGAGGAGGCTTGGAGGAGTCCTCGGGAGGCAAGAAAAGGGCAAAGCGGCAGCCAAATTGGCTAACCAGTTAACTGGCTTGTCTCGGGTCGGGGAGGACAAGGCGTAGTCGACGGGTGCACGGGTAAGCGTTGTTTCTGACACTGGCAGGAGGACGAAGCCTTGGTGAATGTATGACGGCCGTCGACCCGGGCAAAACGGCCCAAGACAGCGTCTCCAACACGCGCAAGCCGTTCACGCCCACGGCATGGCTCCCTTGAACGGCTGAAAGGGTTGCGGGGCGTCTGGCTCGCTTACGAGGCATGTATGTATGCATATGTACGCTCGAGGCTCTACTTTTGCTGGGCTGCAGGGGCAAGGCGGCGTCGACTCTTTTGATGCCTTTTTCGCGTCTGTCCTTGGCCGTGCATACAGGAGTGGATGGAGAGCAACATATGCAATGCAGCCCCAGGCGGAAAGAATTCGATAGTTCAGGTGGGAGGTTCAGCAGCAAGATGAGAGAGGGAGAGACAAAGATGACCGGCTAAAGATTGCTTTTCGGCCCCCGATGAGCCCCCCATGCCTCTCTTTCCATTCTACCGGCGGGAGCCGAGGACAGCTGAAAGACAAGACAGAGGGGGCGTTTGCTTGAAGATTATGGTCCGGCTCAGTCCGTCGTGGCCGTGGCTCTCGGCTCCACGGCAGAGTCTCTGCAATGCCGTGTACTGCAGTTACGGACTTGACTCGACACGCCGTGCTCCCTCCTTGCGTTTATATGTACAGCTACCTGCACTCTGACCAGAAGCTCCGGCGCAGTCAAGCCGGGGGACACGCAGCGATGGGGCGTGAAACAAAGGTGTAATACCACCATGTAAGCTCACGAGAGAGAGAGGGCGGGCCGGGCCGAGACCACGCCGCAGAAAGCCGACTCCATGCTCCTCCTCCTCCCGGGGCTGGCGTCAAGAGACAGGATAGAAAAAATGAAAGACGGAGAAAACAGTGGCGGCCTGGCCCGTCGCGGAGCAGGCCGATGGGCGGGAACCCGGAGGGGGGCGAGCCCTTGCGTGTGTGTGCGCATGCAGACTGCCCGAGTGTGCTGTCCGTGTACGGCATCGAGTCTTATGCCTCCAGATACAACTGGGCAAGGATGGAGGGCGGGGGGGGGGAGAGTGTGTGTGCGGTGGACGGCGGAAAGAGGCTTGTCCGTGCGTATGCGTCGTGGTGGGCGTGGTGGTGGCAACGCGGTGCATGAGTTCAATTTACACGACGGATTTGGCGATATATCGATGGACGGAACGAGATGACTTCTTCCCCAGGAGAGAAATACGGTTATTAAACGCGAGCCACGCGGCAAAGACGCTCATTGGCTTGCAGCGTAGCAATGCATAGCTCTGGGTTGCAGCCGTAATGGGGTTTTTCATCCAGCAGCCTACCTGCTCGTCCGCTTCCTCTGTTATCCCCCCTCCCCTTTTCACCTCTCACCTCTCGCATGGGGATAGTAGTCCAATACATACAACATACTGTACTGTACAGTACATACATTCATCGCGCCTCCTTCGGCTCTTCCGCTCCCTGGCCCCATCCAACCGTGGAAGCTTGGCTACCCGGTTGCCTGCAGCACGCAAGGAACAAAAAAGGGCTGCTGCACTCCATCCCTGCCTGCATCGCAGGATCCTGATGCCAACCCGACGACACGCAGTCACATCGTGGCCTGGCTCCGCATCTCTTTCCCTCTCCATTGATCCCCCTCCATCTCTCTCTCTCGGTTTCCCTCACGGCACGTCGGACATGCTCCCGGGCTTCACGCCTCCGTCACCGGCCCCTGCGTCCGCACCGTAAGCCACCAAGTCATCGTCCCTCTTCGATGCTCCATCAAACTGTGAACCCTCCCTTTCCCACCGGTTGCCGGAACGGGCCCTCCTGGGAGTCGGGGGAGCCGTGCAGCCACCATGTAGCCTGCGCATCGTTCGCGTGGGTCATCTGTCTTTGAACCCGTCGCCGCCGGCATTCAGGGCCAGCCTGGCGACAGGGGCCCTCTCTCGGTGGATGAGTGTGGCATCGTCGTGCCTCGCTTCTCTGCTTCCCCAATCAGCCTCTGTCTCAGCTGACTGCCTTGGCTTTCCCGCTGACGAGTCGTCGATGACTGCCGTGCGCTGGGGAGGGGGTTCCGCGGCGAGAACGAGCCGATGGGGATATCCAACGGTATATAAACCTCGTCCTCCGGGCTCTCATCGTCTCGACTTTTCTGGCCTTCACCCTCCACTCTCACCTCTCCAGGACGGGCCACCTCCCGCATTTTATTCCACATCTCCTTCAGTCTTCGTCTCGTTCTCGTCTTCCTGAGCCCCCACCCCCCTGGCCGCACTCCACTGCCACCCTTTCTTTGAGTATGCGGTCTGCCTTGGCTGCCGCCCTGGGCCTGGCCCTCGTCCCGCTCTCACAGGCGTGGAACGTTGAGCTGCCGCCATGCTTGGACGACTTCAAGCCCTTTGTTAGCTCTGGCTGCTTTCGGGAAGGATCCGACCCGACCTTGATCTTCCGCTCCGGCCTGGACCAGCACAACATGACGGTCGAGAAGTGCGTCGCCGACTGCAAGGGTGCGTCTTCCTCAACTCCTCACCTTGACGTCGGGGGAAGCTCACTCTTGTCCCAGGCAACGGCTACCGCTACGCCGGCCTCGAGTATTACGGCGTCTGCTTCTGCGGCTCCACCGTCAACGGCCCGCAGGTCCCAGACTCGCAGTGCTCCCTCCCCTGCAGCGGCAACAAGTCGGAGACTTGCGGCGGCGACAAGGCTCTCTCTGTCTGGCAGGATCCCACCTTTCCCAAGACCCCCGAGGACGTCACCGTCGACGACTACAAGTCTCTGGGCTGCTTCACTGATGACTCCACCAAGGGCCGAACCCTGTCGTGGCCCGTCAAGGCGGACGCTTCCTCCTTTACCACAAAGAAGTGCTTGGCTGCCTGCGAAAAGGGGGGCTTCCCCTTTGCCGGTACCGAGTATGGAGGTGCGTCCACTTTCCCATCTTGCTCACTCATGTTCGGACCAGTCAATCTCGAGTGACGTGCGGAAGCTGACGGAAGTTGCTGGCAGGTGAGTGTTGGTGCGGCGTGGTTCTCGCCAACGACACAGCCAAGGTCCATGAGTCGGAGTGCAACATGCCCTGCAGGGGCGATGCCTCGGACAAGTGCGGCGGTCGCGCGCGCCTGAGCCTCTACGTCGCCAAGGACCTCGAGTCCCTGGAGCCGTGCGGCCAGCGCCCGGTAACGACTTCTTCTTCGATCGCCACCGCGACCAAGCCCTTGTACAAGTTTCCCAACACGACTACCCCTGCCCTGACCAAGCCGAGGGAGACAGCCTCGACGGTAGACCAGCCTAGCAATACCACGTCCCAACCCGGCGAGACCACCTCCAGCAAGCCGATTGAGACGGTCACCAGTGCGCCCGAGGAGACTGCTTCGACTCCTTCGCAGGGGGCCACGTTGACGAAGCCTCAGGAGACCACCTCCAACAGTCCTGGTGAGTCTACTGCCTCGACCAAGCCCGACGAGTCATCGACCAGCGCTGGGCAGACGCCGACGCCGAGTGAGACGACTGCCACGAGCCCTGAGGAGTCTTCGACAACCAAGCCTGGGGAGACGACCAAGGCCGATGAGACAACGACGAATCCTGGTGAGACGACCATGACTGGACCTGGAAAAACTCTCTCGTCCACCCCATATGGATCCACGTCCAACGAGCCGAGTGAGAGCACAGCGACTAGCACACCTGGCGAGACGACGCCCGCTTCGTCTAGTGAGCCTGGTAGCTCCACAGCGACCGCTCCCGGGAAGGAGACGACTGCCTCGTCCATCACGCCTAGCGAGTCGTCCAAGACTACAGAGCCGGTCGAGACGACTCCGGAGACTAAGGCACCGTCGAGCAGCCCCGGCGAGACGTCTACGCCAAGCTGGACGTCGGTTACCACTTCAGATAAAGAGACGGCCACTTCATCGAGCAACGCTGGCGAGCCGACCTCCTCAACCCAGTCTAGAGGAACAACTTCCACGATCGAATCAGGAGAGACGAGCACGCCCACTTCGGGCAACTCCGGAAAGACAACGGCCTCGTCGGGCAAGCCTGGCGAGTCGACTTCTCCCACCCAGGCCCCGACCACCACTACCAAAAACGAGGTGGCATCCACGACGGCCTTGCTTTGTACGGCCACGAGCATCGTCCCGTCAAGGTGCGAGTGGCAGCGCGGCAACTGGTGTGCCCCTCCTCTGCCCGACTGGAACTCCCGGCACGGCTGCGTGATTGCGGCCAAGACGTGCGCGCTGCAGGTCGTCTCGTGTTTCAAGTACGCCGGCTGGCCGCACACCATCGACTGCTTCGACTTCCAGCGCTGGTGCCGCAACGTGCAGCGGTACTGTGCCGGCAGCTGCAGGGGCCGCGGCCGGTGTGGCAAGGGTGACTGCTGGAGCAAGTACAAGCCCGGCTTCGGCAAGCCCCCAGCCACGACCACGTCCGTCTTCCCCTGTCTCCCGGCGTCGGCGACGGACAAGCCGACGCCTGCGCGGCCTGCCACGTCGTGCCCGCCGGCGCCCACCAACATCTGCAAGCAGCCTACCAACGACAGATGGGGCTACGGCCCCGGCAAGCCCGTGGGCGGCATCCCGCTGCCCGTCGTCGGGTGCAACGACATCAAGGACGACTGGCGGTCCAGGCCGTACAAGCTGTACACGGAGCCCGACAGCGTCAAGTCGCCGTCGTTCCGGTGGCCCGAGCGGCCCAATGTGTGCGTCGACTCGTGCAGGGAGCAGTACCAGCACTGCCGCGACACCTACGTCGACAGCTGCCGCCAGCTGGGTTGGAAGGGGGGCTTCCACAAGCGCCGCGAGGGCGAGACGGACGCCGAGTTTGCGCGCCGCGCGCAGCCGTGGTCGGGCACATGGGCCGTCGAGTCCGAGGCGGCCGATGCGAACAGCAGCAGCAACGACGGCTACTGTGCCGCGACTGAGGACCACTACTCGTGGGCCAGGCACGGCTCCGACTCGGTCAACTGCTGGGGTTGGGGCGGCAACACGCCCGACAAGGCCGAGCAGCGCTGCCGCGCCCAGTACAACGACTGTCTCGCCGTGAACAGCAGGGTCAATCCCGGCGACCAGTGCAAGACCTGGTGTCGCAATTACTAGGCGGTGCGAATCAAGGGGATGGATGACTGGCCTGGCGAATGCCTTGATATATAGACGTTTGTTTTTGCTTGGTGGTGCGGAACAAGAAGGCGGTGAAGCTGGACTGCCCTGTGGAGAGCACAACAGGGCTTGCCGGGTTGACCGTTGAAGGAATTGTCATTCTTTTATTCGCTTTTCTGAGACAGATGTGGAATTGACCTATTATTTCTTCGTGATGCAAGGTGTTGCGAGCAGCGTGAAGTGACGTGGCAGACGCCACGAAAAGGCGAGGTGCAGGGTAGCCAAGGCAAGGCTGGTGTGTGTCCCAGTTGCATCCAGGCGCCACGTCGCCTCAGATATTGAATAATACTCGACGTCTGATTAAACCGGGGCTTGGATCATCAAGGACGGGGCGTTGCATAAAGAGGCGGCGACATCTGCTCTCGTCGAGCAGCTTTCGTGATTCTATGGTTGTTGCTTTTCGGTCTCTTCTCTCATCATCGTCGTCGCCGTCAGTCCGCTGCTTCAACACCTTCCTCTCTCACACCCACCCAGGAAGAGAGGGCGAAAAGGCCGGGCACCAACATGCTCGACCAGCTCCTCGCCGCCGTGCCTCCCGCGCTATGCTGCCAGACCTTCTTCCTCGCGACCGCCGCCGCCGTTCTCGCGGTGCAGATCCTCCCGCGCCACCTCCGCGCCGCGCTGACCGAGTATGGGGCCAGGCGACCCGACGACGACAGCGACGAGAGCAGGAGTAGCAACGGGCACAGCAGTAGTAACAGCAACGCCGCTGCCCATCGCAAACCAGACGACAAGAAGCAGTCCGTCCAAAGCCGAGACTTGATTGCTTCGCTGGCCGACCTCATCCGTCGCTACGGACAGGTGCCTCACTCGTGGTTCTGGCACTATTACATCGTTTCCCTCTCCTGGACCGTCTTTTGGGCGTGGCAGTACCTGTTCAGAGGGTCCGCCATGGAAACCCTGGCCCGGGCCCAGACCCAGGCCGAGGCTGGTTCGGACGCTCCTTCGACCCACATGGGACGCGTCTTCCTGGCCTGGTCGATGCTCGCCTTGCAGGGTGCCAGGAGACTGTACGAGTGCTTCCGGGTCGTCAAGCCGGGACGAACACCAATGCTGCCTGCCCACTGGATCCTGGGTCTGGCCTTTTACACCGTCATGAACACGGCAGTCTGGATCCATGGCTCCGGTGCGTTGGCCGCTTCGCTGTCGTTTGCTCCACGACTGACACTCGTCCAGGCCCCATCATCGCGTCGTGGAAGTCGCGTGACCCCCCCGTCCTGCTGACGACGCGGGTGCCCTTGACTCTGGCCCTCTTCTTTACGGCTTGGTTCAAGCAATACGAGTGCCACAGGTACCTCGCCAGTCTCAAGAAATACACACTCCCAAGCGAGGGTTTGTTCAGCCATCTCGTCTGCCCTCACTACACTTGCGAGTGTTTCATCTACCTCGCCATTGCCTTGATGGCGGCACCGGCTGGTAGCCTTTTCAATGCTTCTCTGCTGTGCGGCTTGACCTTTGTAGCAGTCAACCTTGGCGTCACGGCGCATGGCACCAAGCAGTGGTACGTCGACAAGTTCGGTACGGAGCGAGTTGCTGGCAAGTGGAAGATGATTCCCTTCGTCTTCTAGGCTCGGTCGGGGCCATCACCGGTCTGGCTTCACCGCTTCTCAAAGAGGCCCAGTTTCCTCCCCACCATGGATACGCTGAGGACATCTCGGTATGTCAAGCTGGTGCGGGTCTCGCGCATATTACGACCACTGGCGTACTCTTGCGGGTTGCCAAGTAATGACCAGTTCACCACCCCTCCCTCTGCAGACAGGTCGACATCCTCATCGATGTCGGAGATGCCGTGGAAATGATCCGTGTAGAGGCTTTCGGTGGTGATGAGCAGACTACGGGGTTCTTGGAGGATTCGCCAGGTTGGAGTGGGGTTAAGAGCACCGCCATCCTTGCTGCGGTGCAGGTTCAGGCAAAGGCTGGACCCTAGACTGACAGTGCACACGACTGGCCAATACGCGGCGCCGTCCTAGGTTGGATGAGCAGTCTGAAGGCGACATCCCGACTATAAGAGCCAAGTACTTAACTTGTGAGGCATTATGCCAACGCCTGGGGGATATTCGTTGACGAGGACGTGGTTCGGGCGCGCGTGCGGGCTTTGTGCAAAGATGTGTTGCAAGTTGCCTTCCGACACTGGGAGAGAGAGTAGCCGGGTGACGACGGGGTCCTCCAGCCACGGGGGCAGCGGTGCATGGAGCAGCTTGTCCTGGACAAGGCCCGAGGGCCACGTCTGGAGTCTGCGATGGGTGAGTTGCTTCCAGTTGGGCCTGGGTGCTGCAGCAATCTATTTCAAGGAGGACGAGGATCAGGCCATAGTCAATTATCGGAGAGGCTCCTGTAGCATCGGGTGCGGTGAGAATAGCGCACCTTTCCAAGGATCCAGTCTTGCTCGTCTCGGGTGATGAAATCGGGAATGTAGTATGCTGCCAAGGGGAGGCCCTGGACCCTGGCGGCCTCGAGCGACGAGGGGAGGGAGGCGTCCATGATGCGTGGCCACGGCAGTTGTAACGGAGCTAGGGAAATTGGTGGGGAGCTTTATCGGGTGGCGCAGCGGGCTGCTGATCTGCTTGGGCGGGAGTCGAGTCGGGCGAGGGAGCGCATGTGCGTGTATGTAGGCTGCCGTCCCTGTTGACTTGACGCGGAGAGAGGCGTGAGACGAGGACGGATGAGCATGCTCGAGGGCCGCAACGGACCGCTCATAGCGTGGCTGACGTCGGTGTAACAGACGGAAACGCCAGTGGGCTCTTGCCGGCCGACGATGACGGGGACAGCGGAGGAAGGCACGCGGGATCTGAAGGCTATTGTTGACTTGACATATCGACGCGCCAAGCCAGCCAGGGCCTCAAAAATGGCGCGTCGTCGAACAAAGAGCCAGAGGAGACAAGAAAGGCGGGGGTTTGGTACAATATGTACATATAGAGGCTACCTCACCCGCTCTCCGCCCGCTCTCCCTTGGCCATGCGTTGTCTTTCCATTGTGGGCTGCGGCTGACCTGGGAGCGCGCACGGATCATTCGCGATACGTGCATACTGCATGTACACCTAGGTACATTGCAATGTCGAATTACCGGGGTATGGATTTCCGTACCACCAGCACCTTCCCCGAGGTACAACATGGAGACCAACATCGGGAGGGCAAGCAGGCGGGTTGGCTCGCCCTACATGGTACTCGGGCGGCGCACGAGAACGCGCACACTAACAGGCACCTGGTGCTATTTGTCGTCCGTGGCCGGTAGCGGAAGGCGTCGATGACTCCTACTGGACACCTGACTGAGCAAACTTGCTTGTACGGCATTACATCAGCGCGAGGTACATATGTGGTGTGGGGAGCGATCGCGGAGCTTAGGAAACCTGTGTCCTAGTGAGCTTACCTAAGGTGAGGCAGAGGCTGCTTGTACTGTGTGGGGTGTCTGCCAGCCAAGATACCTGCCATGCTGCCTACCTTAAGTACCCCAGGCCTCACTTCCTGGTTCAGTCGGCAAGGTGCATATCTACTGTGCGTATTGCACAGGCGGCCCCTCGTCTGCACTGTATCTGCCAAGATGCCTCGTACTTTCTGTCTGGCCTGGCCTGAGCAGGTACCCGAGGCAGGCGCTTCTGTACTGTGCCGTACGCTAATGCATGTACTGAGGTACTAGTCCCCGCCAGCCAGGGACCGGCACACTCTTCCTCTTCCAAGATGCTGCAACGACAGGCCACCGTAGGTCGAGGGAAGTGAAACCAGAGCAAACCCCGGCGAAGCAATGTAGCCGCGGCACACGCTCCGCGCGAGAGAGAGGTGTGGGGGGCCGGGAGGGGAAAAAGAATCGGTTCGCGTGATGGCTGGTCGGTGTTTCGGCCCAAAACTGCACCTCGAGAATCTTGTGGCCCGCCGTACTCGCCCCCTGCATGGGCCAATCAGCCGGTGGCGATCAGACTTTTGTCTCTGCATATCTTCGGGGTCCCGTTTTCAGTCGCTTGAGAGGGCCAAGGCAGGCTCGTTTTCTCGCTCCCTCCTTCTTGCAGCGCTCCGCCTTTCGCCTGCCCGCTTTGCTTACCTGACCTGACCTGCCCGCCCTGCTAGCACCCCCCAGCAAATGCGCCTAGTGCTCTCTAACCGAGCTACCTGGCGCTGAAATCTGGGCCGTGACTTTGACTTTTTGACTGACACTCTCATCTCATCCAACACCTCTCACCTTGTCCACCTACGTAAATCGACACTCCCGTGAATCGCCTCGAATCGCCCCCTCATTTATCGCGTACAGAGCTACCGCCCTGATACTTCACTCAATTTCGCCTCCTCCCAACCCGCCAAGCTCCAGCTCCGTTTCTCCTGCGGGAGGGGTTTCCGTTGTGGCGATTTCTCCATAGGGGCTGCTCGCTGCCAGAGTCTGGTCGGGTCGCCGGCTCCAACCTCGCGACCAGCCAAATCAACCGCCCGACTTCGTCCCCTCCGTATCCCCGGCGCGCCCGTCTCGCTTCTCACCTCCAGGATGGTGGCAGTCGCCGGTCTCTCCCTCCGATAAATGTCATGGATGCGCAGAATGCTGCCGAGTCGGACCAGACGAGGCCTGCTGACGCTCCTTCGCCTCTACGGCAGCCGGGCTGCGAGCTTGAGCGCAGGCCCAAGTCGCCGACGAGCCTCAGGGCATCGCCCCCCCCTAGGGACCAGAAGCCCAAGGCGAATGATGCCACCGCCGCCGCTGATGCATTTTTGACAGCCCGCCCCGGCGGCGACGTGCCCGGAGATCGCGACTCCGACGCCGAGACCATCGTGCTGCCGGGCAAAGATGGCCATTCTCCTTCCAAGGCTCGAAAGGTCAGACAGGAGGACAAGAGCGAAAGCGATGGCGAGGCAGGTAAGCCTAAGCTTAAGCCCAGGCCTGACGGGACCGATGAAAAAGGCGCGCCTGATCATGCAGGTGCACCTGGCAACCACCTGGGTGACGGTGCAGCAAAGAAGCGCGTCGCGGCCTCCGGATCCTTTGATAAGGACCGTCGCCCTCGCAACAAAGAGGGCGGTTCCAGCGGCTTGAGCTCAGCACCTGATTCCCCAACCCCAAACCAATCGCAGCAGCAGCAACAACAGCAGCAACAGCAGCAGCAAAATCATCCTCATCCTCATCAGCTTTCCCAACATCACCACAGACGTCGCTCCGACGCCGGCCTCTCGTCACCGTCCGACTCGGAGCAGCATAGCCACCATAAATTATCCTCTTCAAAGGCGCTGTTGCGTGACAAGCTCAAGTCGGGCGAGCGCTTACTGCCGCACAAACGAAAGGCCCCCAAAGTCGAGTCCGACGACGAAGTGGACTGCCGCAAGGCTCGGCGCCAACGCACCACGAGTGTGCAGCTGGACGGCCCACGACCGCCCAATGACACCAGGTCGACGCCTGTCAAGCCTCATGACTACCGAGCGCGCTCCATCTCCCCCCAGCCACGACAGCATCGGCGGAGCATTTCCACGCAGCTCCCTTCCCAGTCCTCCAACGGTCTCCACTTCAAGAAGAAGCGTCTGCCGCCGCCCCTGCAGTCCACCGATTACCACTCCGACGACTCGTCCGCCGGCGGGAGCCCCCACCCGCGCAGCTCCAAGCTGCGTAGCCTCGCGACCCCAGTGACGGCGGACTCCAACATATCCCCGGCCAAGATGGCTCCACACAAGAAACATCTCGACGCTCACGGACAGACTCTTCTGGCACGTGCATGTGCCCGGGGTGAATACGAGACTGCCAAGCAGCGGCTGGGGGAGCGACCCGAGGACCTGAACGTGGCCGACTACGCAGGCAACACACCTCTGCAAATTGCGGCAATTAATGGTTGCGAGGACATCGTCAAGCTCTTGATCGAGGCTGGGTGCAATCTGGACTGTGTCAATTACGACAAGGACACTCCACTGCTCGACGCCGTCGACAACGGCCACCTCGGGGTCGTCAAGCTTCTCTTGGATGCTGGGGTCAACCCCCGCAAAGCCAATGTCAATGGCGAGGAGCCCCTCGACCGCGTTAGCGAGGATACAGACAACGCCGACGACATTCGCGCCGCGCTCATGGCCGCCCGAAAACGCGCGGGGGAACGCCGACGGACCTCGGAAGACCGCACCTCTCACCACGACTACCATGACTCGCACGCCCCGGACAGCCCTCGTCGTTCACCAGCAGCCCTGGCGTCGGCTTCGACGGGGCGGAGGAGCGGGACTGTCCGCTCGACCAAGACGAGGAACGATCTGCTGTACATGCCTCTCGACGATAAGACCCTGCGTCAGGCTGCCGGTCGAGGCGACGAGGAAACCGTGGCGCGCATCCTGCAGGTCAAAGAGGGGTACGATGACCCGGAATCCATGGTCGCCGCGGCCCGAGGTGGGCACGACCTCGTGATTCAGTTACTGTTGGGCCTGGGAGGCGCCAACGCGGACCCCGGCCCGGCCCCATCCTTGCCATCCGAGTTTGCAACGCCTGTACTCGCTGCCATAGGCCAAGAGAACATCAAGGTCATCGAGCTACTCTTGGAGCAGCAGGGCTTCGACCCCACCCGGAGATTCAAGGGAGAAACCTACTACGAGATTGCCAGACGTCGCCAGGGTACGAACTGGAAAGAAGAAGAACAGATGCTGAAGAACGCCTACGATGAATACAAACGCTCCCACAAGGAGGCTCTCACGACCAAATCCCCGGGAGGACGACGGGAGCGCGAAAGGGACAGAGAAGACAAACTTGCGCGACGCGACGATTCCAAGGAACTGTCCAGGATTCACAAGCGCAATCACTCGAGCCCGTCACGGGAAGGCGAACCCAGGAAGAAGGGCACTGTGCCCAAGATCAGCAGTCCCCGCGAAAAGAAGCGAATTGATTCACTCGTGAACCGAGGCGAAGACGATTCACACAAGCGAGCCACCGGACGGGCCAAGAAAGATGCCTCTCACGTCTCGGACCGCGAGGTTTCGCCTGCAGTTCCTCACAAGCCTCAGAAGGCCAAGCGCACCGAGTCAGACGTCACAGGCATGTCCTCTGAAGGGGAGACCGCTAAGCCTAGGAGGAAGCTGGTATCCAAGGGGGAACTGAGCAGAGAGCGGGACAGGCAAAAACGCGCAATCAAGGAGCCTGCAAGCCCCCGCGATTCGAGGACTGACGAGGGCACGGACAAGTCCAAGCTATCGGAAAAGTACCACAACAGAACCAAGGCCTTGAAGCGCGATGAATCGAGGGACCATTCCCCCGGGGAAGGGGCGACGAAGAGACACCGGTCCAGCGTGACGCCCGATCGGCCTAGCGACGGCGACAAGGACCATGTCGACGGAGCAGTGAAGCGACGGCGACTGGACGGTGAGAACCAGGCAGAAAGGCGGCCGAACCGTCCCGTCTCCGTTGATGGGCGACCCCGCAAGACAGTATCGTCTCGTGACATCTCAGCGAAACCGTCCGTGACGGGGAGTAGAAAGGAGCGTGATGATGGTTCAAAGGACGGTCATGATCAGCGAGGCCCTTCACACTATGGGTCTGGGCGAATAAATAACATCGGGGTCGAGAAGTCGATCCACGTTAAGTCCGAGGATGTCGACGTGCCCATGCTGGACATAGACCGACCGGAGGCCAACGACAAAGCAAACACTTCCCGGATTGAGAGCGACGAAGACGAGCTGGCGAAGAAGAGGGAGCTGGCGGAACAGGAAGCGAAGAAGGAAGAAGAGCGGAAGCGACTCGAAGCCGAGGAGAAGAAGAGGAAACTCGAGGAAGAAGAGGCTCGAAAGTGTGAAGAAGAGGCTCGAAAGCGTGAAGAAGAGGCTCGGAAGCGTGAAGAAGAGGAGAGAACACGCAAAGCCGAGGAGGAAAGGAAGAAACAGGAAGAAGAGGAAGCTCGGAAACGCCAGGAGCAGGCAGAGCGCGAACGACGTGAGGCCGAGGAGGCTGCCCGATTACAAGAAGAAGAGAAGAAGCGGCGGGAGGAGGAGAGGAGAATGAAGGAAGAGGAAGAACGCAAGCGGCGCGAGGAGGAAGAGCGATTGCGCAAGGAACAAGTCGAACGCGAGGCTGCCGAAGAAGCCCGTCGACTACGCGAAGAGGAGGAGCGCAAAGAACGAGAGCGCCGGGAGCGTGCCCATCGCGAGGAAGTCGAGAGAAAACGAGCAGCGCGGGAAGCAGAACAGAGGCGCATCCGTGAGGAGCAGGAGCGCATCCGACTCGACAAACTGCCCCCTCTGCTGCGATGGCTCGACATGTGTGCAAACCCCAAAACGACTGTTGTTGCTGAGCAATTCAAACGCATGCTGGGCGCGCGATACGACACGATCCGCCAGGAAGCAAACGGCACTCCCGCAGGCCGCGAGCTGTGGGTTCTCAACACGCACGTGGCATTGCTTTTAGGCGAGAAGGACCTCGATCTTTCCAGATGTAAGGCGCTCGCGAACCCCCAACCTTTGCAGGCGTTGAGGCTAACGTCATCTTTTACAGACACAGCATGGGAGCGAGCACCCGTCTCATCTCTTGCGAAGCTCACGATCTGGAGAACCGAGTGGACCCGCTACGCTCTCATCTCGGACAAGCTTTGGGATCTTGGACGGCAACTTCCAGGCTACTATGGCGACGAAGACCCATCCGCCATGAACTTCGATACAAAGGAGCGGCTTAAAAATGCAGCGTGGGAGAGATTCCTCGCCATGGACATGTTCTTTGTGAAGGTATGCATCGACCCCGGCAGGAATACCGACTGGTCGGTCTGGTACGCTGACAACGACGCCCCTAGGTGTCCGATCTCCTGTACACGGTGCCGCACATACCGCATCTACGAAACGTCAAGCTCGCCGTAGAATATCGAGAGCTTTTGGAAAGTGAAGAGCAGGCCATTGGATGGAAGAGCGCGCAGAAGTGGAAGCAAGATCCCGGCGCCGAGCGGTTTTATGGCTTCGCGCCTCGCAACAAGTACTACGTCAACGGAGAAATGGTTGGAGAGGATGTCCCGGCCCGCCACCAGACCAGCAAAACGCCGTTTCCAGAAGCCCGCGTTCCACGACGAGGCCTGGTGCAGGTGTTTCCCGACGACCCAGACTATGAGCGTATCTGCCTAGACCAGGGCCTGGATCACCTAATCAAGGGGCCTCACACCCCTCCCGTGGTGAACGGAGTCCACTCGTCGCCCAGCAGTCAGACGACGACTCCGGCCAAGCCCGTGGTGAACGGCGCAAACGGGCACCCGACACACGAATCGACAAACGGCCCCACAGCCACGAATGGGGTGACTTCGAACGGCGTCAACGGCTCCTAAGCACGGAAGTCCGAAACTGAGTTGCGACGAGGCGACTGGACTCGTTGGTCCTTTGTCATTATAATGTTGATATTTTGTGCTCCAAGACTTTTTGTGTGCCAAGCGTTGCTAGCAATCAGAGCGGACGGCCAGCCTTGACGTTGGACTCGGGCCGTGGAGCATGTTCATACTGCGATGCATAAGGACTGGGGGCTGGGATAGCCCGATGATTCCCGGGTTGCGGCGGCATCTTTCCTACTGTGTTGAGATGTCTGCTTTGCAGTGGCAAGGCGATTGCATGAGCTGGGCGTTTTGATGTCTTGAGTTTGTCGAGATACCTGTCGGCCGTTGCCGAGCCCGAACGGGACAGAGAGACGCCACATGAAGCGATGTTTCCGATGAATTTGTGTGATCGATTCTTGTGATGTGCCCAACTTTGATGCTTCATGATGTGTGAGGTCTTGCCTCAAATGCCGATCAGAAGAGGCACGACGAGTGGCAGATGGGCTTAGTAAGCAACTGTTAGCGTTCGCGCTGGAGGCTTACATCACTGGCTGCTGCCGAGCCCCCGATCAAATTATTTACCCCACCAGCTCAACTACCACAGCGGCGGCACCTTGATCTCTCTCACGAGCAGGACCAGGCGCAGCGACTGGAAGGGCATCGCGGAGCCGCGAGGGAAAAACGAAACACACACCAGAGCATAACACTCGGTAGCGGCTTGCCATCATGTCGACCACGGTGGAAAAGGCATGCTCCCCAACCCCAAGAGTCCGTCTGCACGATACTGACCGTTGCAAACCGCATACAGATCAAGGAGATCGAGTCCGAGGTGAGAAACCACGAACAAGCTCGTCAGCCCGATTATTCCTTTCCTAACGCGCCCCGTCTCCGGCGGCACACAGATGGCCCGGACGCAAAAGAACAAGGCCACGTCCTTCCACCTGGGTCAGCTCAAGGCCAAGCTGGCCAAGCTGAAGCGAGAGCTGCTGACCCCGAGTAGCGGCAGCGGCGGCGGTGGCGGCTCGGGATTCGATGTTGCGAGGACTGGCGTTGCTAGTGTTGGCTTCATCGGTTTCCCGTCAGTGGGCAAGAGTACGTTGATGAGTAGGTTGACGGGCCAGCATTCCGAAGCGGCGGCGTACGAGTTTACGACTTTGACGAGTGTGCCGGGGCAAGTCATTTACAATGGTGAGTGTCTCGCACCAAGGACCGGGCGCTATGGCAGCCACCTCTCCGCTGACGGTTCCATATCGACAGGTGCCCCCTTGCAGATGATCGACCTGCCTGGGATCATCGAGGGTGCCAAAGACGGCCGAGGACGAGGTCGTCAGGTCATTGCGGTCGCCAAGACGTGTCATCTCATCTTCATAGTTCTTGACGTGAATAAGCCGCTGACAGACAAACGCGTCATCGAAGCGGAGCTGGAGGGCTTCGGCATCAGAATCAATAAGGAACCGCCCAACATCACATTCAAGAAGAAGGACAAGGGCGGGCTCAACATTACGAGTACCGTTCCCCTCTCGCACATCGACCAGGATGAGATCAAGGCCGTCATGAGCGAGTACCGCATCAATTCAGCAGACATCACCATTCGCTGCGACGCGACAGTCGATGACCTGATTGACGTGCTCGAAGCCAAGAGCCGCAGGTGAGGCGCCAACCCGACGATGCCCGCGGCCCAGGACGCAGGACGCGTGACTGACATGCCGAAACCAGTTATATACCCGTTGTGTACTGTCTCAACAAGATTGACTCAATCAGTATCGAAGAGCTCGATCTCCTCTATCGGATCCCCAACGCAGTTCCCATCAGCTCCGAGCACGGCTGGAACGTTGATGAGCTCATGGAGTCCATGTGGGAGAAGCTCAGCTTGAAACGCGTCTACACCAAGCCCAAAGGCAAACAACCAGACTATTCGGCCCCCGTCGTGCTTCGTGCCTCCAAGTGCACCATGGAAGATTTTGTAAGACGAGTGCAACACTCGTGGCGGTGTGTCTTGTGGCTGACCCTTGGCTTTGCTGCGCAGTGCAACGCGATCCATCGCAGTATTGTGGAGCAGTTCAAGACAGCCATTGTCTACGGCAAGTCGGTCAAGCATCAACCGCAAAGGGTCGGGTTGGCTCATGAGCTGGAGGATGAGGATGTCGGTGAGTGCCTTTTGCTGCCCCCACACGTGAAGGCCGCGCAATTGGAAGCGCCGGGAAAGCATGAACCGAGAGCCTCGTGCGTCACGGAAGCGGCGTAGTGCATTAGACGTTTGTCGCGCGCGCGCCGTCCAGACAGACCGCTCTGCCCCCTTGTTCAGCTCGTTGAGTCCCCCTTTGGACGCGGCGGCGCTAATCAGCAGTAGTGACCATTGTCAAGCGATGATGGGCAACGGGCTATACAGGGTATACAGGGTGGGGGGCCTCGTCGGGCTATTGGGCGAGCGCAAGCGGCATCTCGATTCACGCTCCATTTGCGGCGCCTCGTGCACCCAGTGCTGGGTGCGCATGGAAGCCCGACGGTTGGCCGTGCCCGACAAACCCTGTCACCGATGTCGATCTCACCCTGACGGAACGGCGTCCCGGTCAAACTGGTGCGGGAAGGCTGCGGTCGAATTCGGCAAGTTTGCAGGGCTGACGGCAGCAGCATGTCGCCGATGGTAAAGGCGGGAGACCGGGAAGGGGAAAAGAGCTGAGGAATGGCATTACGATAATTGACGATGGACGGCAGAGATGCCGTCATAAAAGAGGCGGGCCCGGGACCAGGGTAATAGAGGCCTGGCAAGATGGGCTACGCGCGAGCGGAGTAGCAAGGATGGGGGCAAGCGGGATGAGGAGAATGCGGGACGGCCGAGAAGCAGCATGCACTTTAGAGGCGATAGCCATGGGAATAAGCGAAGCAGGCATATGCGGGGGCGCCACCATCTACGATACGTTGTTGTGCATAGCCGAGGATTGGACGATCTGCGGCCTCACGAGAAGAAGAGAGGAAACGTGGGCTCAGCAACGACGGGACAGTGTAGACAGCACATACGTGTGCGTGCATGTACCGTAGGTGAGCGAGCCGTGCACACTCACCCATCTGCTCACGAACATGGGTAGGATGTGTAGGATGTGTAGGATGTGTAGGATGTGCCAGGCATGCAGAGGTCAGGCGGGCTTTGTCTCGCATGCAGGGCGCTTATGCGGACGGGTCTTGGGTTGGAGATGAGACGATTCGACGATTGTGCTGGCTGGCGGTTACCGCATCCTGGATCGACGTTCCCTCCTTCTCTCGGTGGGTGTGTTGGCTGGCCATGGGCCTTTCAGGGAGCTCCTGTTGCCGCCGGGGCGGGAAGAGGACGGTATGGACTCGTCCAATTGACGAGATTCCGGCTCTTGCGCGCGCCTCCGGGTGGGTAGGAATTGCGACGATGGCGAAGAGGGGAGGAGGGAGGGAGCTCAAAGTTGAGGCGGCACGGTTCCAGTGTCTGGATGATGGGTTGTGTACGCCGTACATAAGTTATATGTAAGTATGTATCAAGAGAGAGCGCGTGCGGACTCGACGACACGAGGTGTCGGGGGCTGGCTGCTTTTGGCCATTGTGTGATACAGCATGAGGCGAGGCGGACGAGCTGGGCTGATGGGTGAAACAAAGGGATTGATATCTCGCCTTTGGTACGTTGGCTCAATAATATTAGAATACCATGTATCCAATGCGTATAAGGGACAGAAAGCAGAGACAGACATGTCGAAAAGATGAGCGGAGCATTTGGCGCGGCTGGCAGACGGAGAAGGGCAACAGGCAACCTGCCTATAGCGGCAACGAGGAGGCTATAAGCTAACATGTGTGTATCTCCTCGAACGCATGCTTGAGCCCGATTAGGCAAGTAACTGGGGTTGTTGCATGGACGCACGTTAGCATGTCGTGTCGTTGCTCGTCGTTTGGGGGGAATCACGTTGTTTTGCATCCCATGGGACAGACAACTGGCACAAGGCGGCCTCGTATGCGGCCCAGACGCAGGTCCGGTGTCTGTTCCTCGCAGCAGTCGCAGCCGGCAAGAAAAAGCTTCGACGCGACCTTGCTTGGTCATGCGTCGCCGAAGGCGTGGGCTCGTACGACAGACTACCGACGTAGATTATTTATTACTGTATGTGTTTATATGGTAATTGACTAATTATAGCACCGCCGTAATTACCACCTTACCGCCTACTTACTGTGTGTACATAGAAATGCCTGCATACATACGCACGGCCTGGTGGCCTCGATGAGGCAAGACAGAACGGATATCGACTATCGACTATGTGCAGTATAGCAAGTTTGCCTGACTGATGGCATGTTTCTCCCCTCGACCGCCGCGGATAATGACCAAGGCCAAGTGTCTGCTGCTTTTCTTGCGTCACATCAATTTGGTCCTGGCCGGGCTCGCCATTGGCCGTCTCTCGTTCTCTTTCCCTTGGGCCACCACCACGGCGTTATAGGCGGCGGCGGCGGCGGCGGCGCAGATGGGATATATCATCATCCTTGGGGGTTCCAGTCGTCGAGGCGTCGACCAGGCTTGACTCGACCTTCTGGCGTGGCATCCAACATGAGCAGGAACCGAGGCGTGCCCTGTGTCTGAGCGCCTCGAGTTGAAGTATTGCCAAGGCCTCGTGTCGCCCCTGTCTTCCTCGCCGACGACGAATCTTGGATGAAATGCCTGGCCTGGGCTCCGAGACACGGACGATAACGCAGTGGAATGGAAGAGATAGATGACGGCTCCTGTGCGACTACAGACAGCCAACCAGTCAGTCACTTCTCCCGCCCCCCACACAGAAAAATGATGGGACGGTAGGCAGGTACCTAGACGGCGGCACCGGCAGGGGGTCTGGACGGGGACGGGCCAACTGGAACCCCAGCCGGCGAGCGGTGGACGGACTTTGGAGAGAGCCTCTGCTGCTGCGGCTGCTAATTACGACCTTGCCCTGCGTGCGTGTTTGTGTGTGCGTGTGTGTACGCCTGTGTGTGTGTGTGTGTGTGTGTGTGTGGGCAAGGTGCTAATAATCCTCGTCCGAAGCAGCCGACTCGATTCAAAGGGGAAGGGAGAGCAGTCTTTCATTCTCTCAGACTGAAATGATGGATTGCTGCCCAACGGTTCGTGTCCGTCCCGCAGCCGGAGATTATCGCGAAACAGGGAGATAAAAAAACGCTGCTGCTGCTGCTGTCACCGGCGGCGGCTGATAGGCTCCCGAGGGACCCCTTTCTTAGCACTATTTTCCTGCTCTGCCCCTCGTGGACCATGGAGCAAGTACGGAGACGGCAAAGATCGATAGCCCAGTAGCTTAATTCGTCTGATGGGAGAAAGGGGCAAGCCCAGAGGCTGAAGCTGAGCATCTCAGGCTGAAGTCGAGGACCAGGGAAAAGGAGGAAAGAGTATCCTGTCAAGACACACGCCCTCAGGTCTCCATCAAATTGCAGCTTCTTGGCCCGTGCGCGCGGGGAGAGTGTCCAATGCTCTTTCATCCACCTACATGGCGAATACTTTGCCGCCTTGTACTCGGCATGCGCCGTCTCTCCACATGCTGTAGGCCGGGTCCGTTTTGCCGGGGCGAGCCTCGAGACATGTCGACAATCGACATGTACAGTATCTACTAGTCGGCCAAGCACGATACAAGTCTATCGGCAGCCGTCCTCTTCATTGGGCGCAAGCCCCTGCCATCCTCGCGCTTTCGAGATCAACCGCCTTGGCCTCGGGCTCCTCAGCCCCGAAACCATCTCGCCGACTTACTTGCCCCCCCAGAGCTTGCAGGCTTCTTGTCAGACTTGAGCCGTCTCGCTCAATCGCGGCCAGCGTCCTTATGGCGTCTCGTCCGGGCGCCCTCAACTTGGTGTCGCACTCTCCGGCGTCCTTGTGATGAATCTCGGCGCTTCCACCGGGCCCAAAGGCATCATCCGTCCCCGGTACTTTCCTGTTCCGCTTCATGTCCTTGACAAGCCCCCCGACCAGCTGGTAATACTCATTGTCGACACTGTCCTACACGTACCAGGTACACTGGGGCCATAGGTGAAGTCGTCACTCTGCTCTGACATCGGCTTGTCGTCGTCGGCTTCCCGCGGTGCTCTTGACTACTTCTTCTTCGGAACATAGACCTGGCTCCGAGTGGTCCGACACTGAAAAGACGGAAAGCAACGGCCGGAGTCGGTATGGTTGGATTCGAACCAAGTTGACATCGGACGATGGTTGCTCAGTGAGAAATCAATGCTGAGACGGGAGAGCCGAGGATCTAATGACTATAATGCTCTTTTAACGCGCGACCTCTATAATAATCTGTCGAGACGTGTCACGCTCGCGCCCTTCTGTCATGATGTTACCGAAATGTGAATCATTGTTAAGTTATGGTGTGCTCAATGGATTTCGCCACGTAAATCACTACAAAGCTTACCTTCTCAGGGCATATATCACCGAAGCATTTCACCAATGGGCCCGTGATCCCATGCCTGACGAGACAAGGAATCCAACTGGCGATGCCATGCAATGGCAATCTTATTTCTCTCTGCTTGCACTCATGCGATATTCGAGGGTAGCTACCTATGTGCACCTGTATACCCATCGGAGCACTCATAAACTCGTATAAACAGCCAGTGTCTTTGATGAAGGCCTCACTCGCACATTGACCCGCAGCTTTGTGTTGTTCGCTTCTTACTGGTAAGGGACAGATGGCTCTCTTGTCGGCGGTGGCCACGCAGCCAGCTCCGCGTCAAGAGATGGCTCACGATGACAGCCCAAGGATCGGAAGTTGCGACGGCTTAGGCTACCAGTGCCATCGCTCAATGGCTTAGAATGACACCCACTCACGATTCATCTATGTCACGGGCTGTGCCCGGCTGGTGGACCCGGTTGTACCGGGTCCGGTGGGTCGTGCTCCGGTGGCAACACCGGCCCCGCTCCGCGGACCCAGAAGCTGCGAGAACATTCCGAGAAGGGTAATATAAGCTCGCACTCGAGGCTACGCCTCGAGTTCAGCTTCTTTTCCTCCTTAGCTCTAGATAGACAACACCTAGGCACCTGCTTGTTGAATAAACTCCGGGCCAGCCTTTCACATATCTAGAGCTCCTTCTAAATACCGCAAGCTGCAGACTGCTCGTCAGGATGGACCAGCAGAGTGAGCCCAAGTCTCCAGCAGCAATGGATTGACCAACGCATTCAAGAAGCGGTCAATGCGACTCTCAGCCCTCTACAGGACCAACTTTCCTTGCTGATGGAGCAACTCGGGCGAGCGCAGCCGCAGAGCGCCGACTTGCAATCGCCGCCAGTGGCACGAGGATTGGGCGAGAGCACGCCTGGCTTGGGCACGCCCTCCCAAAACCTGCGGTACTGGAATGCGGAAACCGTTGCCCAACCCACCCAAGTATGACGGCTCACGGAAGAGCTACTCCGCCTGGGCCAGGCAGATGCGAGACAAGCTGGACCTTGATGCACACTACTACAGTGGAAATCGCGAACTTTGGTACCTCATCAACTCATGTTTGGACGAGCGACCACAGCAAGTGGTCGCTACCTTTACGCCGCGGGAGGCCCTGGGGTAGCTACGACCCCAAGAGTTCATGCGATACCTCGACCGAACCTACCAGGACAGCAACATCCAATCCCGCGCTGCTGCCACGCTGAGAACTATGCGGCAGCGCGAAGACCAACCTCTCGCGTCCTTCCTTCCCCGATTCGAACAGGCATTAGCTGAAGCCGGGGGAGCAGACTGGCCGGACAGTGCAAAGATCGTATTTCTAGAGAACGCAATAAATGCACGCCTCCAAGAGAGTTTGGTCACAGCCGTACCGACGACTACCAGGGATGGCTTGCGAGAGTTCAGGAAATTGCGGGCAGATTGGAGAGACTGAAACCCGGTAGGCAGCCGACGTCGACTGAGCGGACGCCTCAACAGCTACCAAGGCAACGACCCAGGAGGAACCGGAGGACCCCGACGGAGATGTTAAGATGACGGACATCAACCGTATTGGCCACGAGTCGAAGGGTCGTCGACATGTCGATAAGAAGCCGAAGGATGAGCGCCGCTGCTATCGCTGTGGTCGGACGGATCATCTTATCGTGGACTGCCCAGCCCAGGTGGTCTTTCCTGGCGAAGGAAGCAACAGCGACCTAAAGCTGCGCGCATGAAGAAGCCCGATGCCGCAGATGATTCGGAATCAACCGCAGCATCCAGTGAGGACGAGTCGGCGGGAAAAGACTAGCCCCGGGGCGAAAGCGGGCGCCGGGGCCTGCAAAGGCAGACATCCGGGACTGGGAAGCGTTCAAGCCACGAATGAATAGTCGGACTGTATTAGTCAACGCGCGGGTAAACCGAGGCTATCGAATACGCGCCCTTGTCGACTGTGGATGTGACTGCTATGCCGTGATCGACGAAGCCCTTGTTCGGAAGCTGCGGATACCCTTCGTCGACTCGAAACCACGAGAAATTGGGGGATTCTCAGAGTCAGCGAAGAGTGTCATATCCCCAGGGTCGTGGCTGTTGTGGTCGAGACAGCTGGATTTGACGAACGTGTCTTTGCATACGTGATCCCAAGCCTGGGCCAGGACATGTTCCTCGGCCGGCCTTGGATGGAGAGAAATCACGTCGTGTACGATGCTGCCAAGCAGCGAATGTACCATGGGAGGGCAGGTGTGACGATACGCCTCATTGGGCAGGAAGAGCCCGCCAAGATACGCGCGATTCGAAGCGCAAGACTCGTGTCGGCAGCCGTATTCACGGCGGAATGTCGACGCGCAAAGAGACGCAAGAAGTGCAACGCGATCTCGATTCATGCAATCAGTTTGTCGGATATAGAGAGGCGCTTCAGCCGAAGCCGCCAGTCGATCCGAGCGAGAAGGTCCCGGCAGAAGTGCTGAAAGAATTCCGCGACCTATTCTCACCAGGAGAGGCAATGAAGCTGCCGCCACATCGACCGGGTGTGGATCATGAAGTCAACCTGCAGCCTGACAAGAACGGCAACGAGCCACCCCTTCCGTGGGGCCCACTCTACAACATGTCACGAGAAGAGCTGTTGGTCTTGCGAAAGACCCTGAAAGACCTGCTGGACAGAGGATTCATCCGAGCGAGTAGCTCAGCGGCTGCCGCGCCGGTGCTGTTCGTGCGGAAGCCGAATGGAGGGCTGCGATTTTGTTGCGACTACCGAGCGCTGAATGCAATCACCAAGCGCGACCGATACCCACTGCCCCTCATCGCGGAGACCCTGCAGAATCTGGCCAAGGCTAAGTGGTTCACCAAGTTGGACGTGGTGGCCGCTTTCCATAAGATCCGCATGGCTCCGGGACAAGAGGAAAGACTGCATTTCGCACGAGGTTTGGGCTCTACAGTGGCTCGTGTGCCCTTTCGGCCTGAGCGGCGCCCCGGCATCATTCCAACGATACATGAACAGTGTATTGCGCGAATGGCTGGACGACTTTGTCACAGCGTACCTGGATGATGTACTGATCTACTCGAGCGGTTCGAAGGCGGATCATGAGGCTAAGGTGCGACGAGTTCTCCAAGCACTCGCCGACGCTGGGCTGCACCTAGACCCAGCGAAGTGCGAGTTTTCGGTACAAGAGGTCAAATACCTTGGGTTCATCGTCAACGCAGGAAAGGAATCGCCTGCGACCCCGAAAAGCAGCGCGCCATCCGCGAATGGGAGGCCCCGACCACGGTGAAGGGTGTCAGAAGCTTTCTGGGCTTCGCCAACTATTACCGGATCTTCATCCCCGACTATGCCAAGATCACGCAGTCTCTGGATGCCCTGCTTAAGAAAGGAACTGCCTTTCATTGGGGACGAGCGGAGAACGAGGCGTTTCAGGAGCTGAAGCGACGATTTTGCGAGTCACCGGTGCTCAAGCAGTGGGACCCGAGCCTCCCGACCTTTTTGGAGACGGATTGCTCAGGCTACGCATTGGGAGGCGTCCTGTCGCAGGAAGGCCCAGATGGACGTCGACACGCATGCGCCTTCTTCTCGAAGCGACTTTCGCCAGCGGAGTACAACTATCCCATTCACGACAAGGAGATGCTTGCCATCATGAGATGTCTCGACAACTGGAACGCCGAACTTAGGAGCTGCGGCCCATTTACAATCCTTACCGATCACCGCAACCTGGAGTATTTCATGACACGCCAGAAGCTCACGGAACGGCAGAGCCGTTGGGCAGCCAATTGTCCCAGTTCGACTTCAAGCTCGAGTATCGACCGGGAAGCGAGGCTGTCGTGCCTGATGCGTTGTCCGCCGTGAACAAGACAAGCCACAGGGCATTGACGACGAGCGGGAACAAGGAAGAATGATACAGTTGATACCGGATAGTGCCATTCCATCATCGACAAGAGCATGTATCAACGCGATGAGTTCTGACTGTTCAGAGGCATCCACCCTGCCGAAGATGAAGGTCTTCGAGGTAGCGGACCTGCAGCAACTCTGGGACGAAACGGTGGCGAAGGACTCGATATTCCGGGCAGCCTATAAGGCAGTCCGCGATCGCGAGCGTGCCTTCCCGCCCTCGCTGGGCCTGAAGATCCAGATTTCAGAATGTGCGATCGACGCAGGCAAAGGCTGACATTCAGAGACCGTATTTGGGTGCCGGGTGGATCCGGAGAGGAGGGTAACCAGGAGGAAGCTGAGAAAGACCAGTTGAGAACCCGCATTGTGCAGCAGTCGCATGACTCTGTTGCGACCGGTCATCCCGGCAGGGAAGGTACGCTGGCTATTGTGGCTCGGCGATTCTACTGGCCTGGGCAGTCCCAGCTGGTTCGCCGGTACGTAGCCAATTGCGACACCTGCGGCAGAGCACACATCTGGCGCCAGTCGAAAAGGGGATTTCTCAAGCCTCTGCCGATTCCAGATCGACCCCGAAGCCATTTGTCCATGGACTTCATCACAGATCTGCCGCCTACTGGACCGAGCAAGGCAAGGTACCTGTGGGTGATTGTGGACAGACTGACAAAGGCTGTGACCCTCGAGGTGATGGACAACATGGAAGCTGAGCAGTGTGCAAACCGTTTTCTCCAGTGTCATTACCGATTTCACGGAATGCCACGGTCCATCGTCAGCGACCGCGGGAGCAACTGGCTAAGTAGGTTCTGGAAGAGGTTCTGCCGTCTTGCAGGTGTCACGCAGAAATTGAGCACGGCCTATCATCCTCAGACGGACGGAGGCCAGAGAGAATGAACCAGGAGATCGAGGCCTACCTGAGAGCCTACGTGTCGTACGTGCAGGACGACTGGGAGAACTGCTCCCTGCCGCGCAGCTGGCACTCAACAATCGTGAATCCGCAGCGACCAAGATCAGCCCCTTTTCGCTGAGCATGGTTACCACGTCGATCCCATCAGCGTCGAGGAATCGGAAGAGCCACCGAGGCATAGAGAGGAAAGCAGAGCTGATAGCCTACTCAGTCGCCTGCAGGAGGTCAATGAGTACATGCAAGCAGTGATGGCCTCCTCACAGCAACAACAAGAAGAGGCTGCCAACGCAAAGCGACAGCCTGCGGAGCGATTTGAAGTTGGTGACAAGGTGTGGCTCTCGATGGCAAACTACAGATCGCCACGACCGTGCAAGAAGCTCGACTGGCTGCATCACAAGTACACAGTCACGAAGGTAATTAGTTCGCACGTTGTTGAGCTCGATGTTCGTGGCTCAATTTACCCGCGATTTCATGTTGACCTTTGCGGCGGGCGCATCAAGATCCGGCTCCTGGCCAAAGGTAGATGACGCACAGCCACCACCGGTACAAGATGAGTCCGGCACGAATCTGTGGGATGTCGACGAGATTCTCTGCGCGAGATGGAAGAAGCGGGGACGAGGGGAATTCAGGCAAGCACTAGTGCGATGGACGGGCTACGCAGAGCCGACTTGGGAGCCAGTTGAGTGGTTGCAAGGAACAATTGCGATGAAGGCATTCGAGGACAAGTACGGGCCAATCAAGACCAATGATGGCCCTAGGGAGAGGTACGAGACGCTGGCAGGAACGCAAGAACCCCAGACGCCGACCTGGTCGGAGGACAAGGGGTAATGTCACGGGCTGTGCCCGGCTGGTGAACCCGGTTGTACCGGGTCCGGTGGGTCGTGCTCCGGTGGCAACACCGGCCCGCGGACCCAGAAGCTGCGAGAACATTCCGAGAAGGGCAATATAAGCTCGCACTCGAGGCTACGCCTCGAGTTCAGCTTCTTTTCCTCCTTAGCTCTAGATAGACAACACCTAGGCACCTGCTTGTTGAATAAACTCCGGGCCAGCCTTTCACAATCTATATGGAGCACCGAATTGTGAGAAGTCAGGTTTGTATTGTTAGAGTGTTCTGAGTAGATATGTTTCTTAATCTACACTCGTCAGCAAAACTAGACGCTTTGGGGCGAAATCGAGTGTTGAGAAACTTTGAGGAACTTGGCGGGCTTTTCCTGTTCCAAAACCTCAAGAGACTATTCACTGGGCCACTAGGACATTAACATCGAGATATTTCGACAAAGGTCGAGAGAAGTCGCTTGGATATAAACGTGCTTGTGGACGTGTTGATATTGTGTTGGAGAAGACAGCAATGTCCGTTATGAAAATGGAGCAGTGTGCTCCGGGTTGAGTGGTGGGATGAACGGAGGGGCCCAAGTCTAGGACCAGAGAGCAAGTAGGAAGTATAAGAGCCAACATGCCTTTTTGCCCTTTACACACCTCTTCAACTCCTAGAGATGGACGCCTTGCTTTTCATCGAGGTCAGCTCTCGGCACCAACTGTGCTGCATGAGACAGTGGCTGCACTAAGCAAGGCCGGAGTTGATATCCGCCCCCCTGGATTGGAGCCGGGCTGAAGCGATTTGGATCGAAGTGCTCTCGGAAGCGGGCCGCTGCATACATGCTGTTTTTTTATTTACTTTTGTGTTATTTATTTACTTTACTTCTTCAGCTGATTGTTTAGTGTTGTTGACGAGCCACCCTTGGTGAGACGGACGAGAGAACAATGGCTACATGCTTTTGTACCAATTGTTGTCTGGTGAAGACGTTGGGATATCATTGCTGTCCAGCTGGTGCGAGGAATGGGATATGATGGCATTTGATGGCGTTTGATGACCATGTCGCCTGCGCTCCGAGACAAGCCTAACAAAGCATATCTGGCTGGACAGGTGCAGCTCTGGCGAGGCAAAAGTACCGTTCCAGTGCGCGCCAAGTACAGTGCCTGCGGTACATGTACTTTGTAATCAGCTGACCGTCATGGCAAGAGGCTACATGCAGTACTTGCTCTCTCTCATCTTCAGCCTGCTCGCGGCGGTCCCTCGCTTGCGCAACGACGAGGAAACGAATCGGCCTTGCTGGCGACAGAGTTCAACGACGGTCACGGCCACGGCTCCCGCCCCCGTGGTCCAGCCGCTTCGCAGAAAGCGGCCTCGCCGGGGCTTGTCTGTCTTGTCTCGGACCAGGCAACAAGAGGCCGCGGTCCGGGCCTCTCCCCGGTGAAGAAGACTCTGCCAAGCGGCAAGAAAAAGAAAGCGAGGGCCAAGGAGCGCTTTGAGACGTCGCCGGCAACATGATGCTCGACCAGCAAGGGAAGGAAGAAAAACTCTGCCCTCTCCATCTGGACAAGCACCCCTTGTCCGTCGCAAAGGAGGCGTTGTGACCTTGCATCGGCGGACCGCAGCAAACAAATAGCCTCCCGGGACCAGCAGCCTAATATTCAGCCACCCCAATAACTTGTCCATGATGGGGCATTACATGGATAGTGTCCAAAAGCCACATCCACGGCTCTTGATTCGGCAGAGCAACAAGCCTTTGCTTCTCCGTGTGCATCCCTCGCGCGCTCTCAAAGTCAAAGACATTCCCATCTCTCCTTCTCCTCGGCCGCCTCCATCGCCGTGGTTCCAAGCCATGCATCGATTCGAAGTCGGGGATCCCTAGGGGATCTCTAGGGGACCCCTAGGGGCCAGCCGCTCCTGCCAAGAGCCCAAGGCGGGATTCTTTGGAGCCCAAAAGGATAAACAACAAGCCAAGGGATGGGGACCTGGTCGAACTGAGACCGGGGTCTCTCCCTCCATTCCTTGCCCATTACGGCATCCGTCATCCGTCCCCGGATTTCCCGTTGCACATGGCGGCGTCGAGCCATGTACACAGTAAACTTTTCCCTCTGTCCTCCCCTTGCCCTCTCCCCGACGCGCCATCGTCCTCGTACTGTGTGTGCGGCTAACTAGCGTCGTTGGTACAGGCAATGATGGTCGTTGAAAAACGAGCCACCATCATATTAGTCGACCCCCTCCTCCAGATGCTGTGTTACCGAGGCATATCGTCGTCGTTGGGCACCCGTCTCATCAACCTTTGACTAGGGTTGCACCACAATGCTTCTATTCTCCAAGGCACAGAGTCCATGTCAGGTCAGCATGGCCACGAGCACATCAGATGCACCCCAGCTGCGACTGATGGACGAATAAATGGCTTGCTGTACCGAGTACATGCTTGCTGCCTGTACTCACTCGTACATACATACATGCTTGTCGTCCCTGTCCTGTCTCGTCATACCCCCCATCCGCTCCCGTCTCTACATCTCCGTCTCTCTCCCACCCTCTTCACGCTGTCCCTCTCTTGTCACTCCTCTGTCCCCCCTTTCTCTCTCTCTCTTACCGCAGAGAACGCCTCATACAAATACATATATACATAGACAACTGCAAGGCACTGGTCATCCATCCATTCATCTATCCTTATACAAAATCCTCACCAGGAAAAAACACAGCCCCAAATCCATACATCCATCCATCCTCGTCCATTTTCCCCTTTAGATTCAATCCCACCCACCCCTAGACTCTTTGTTGCATCGAGTACATACGAAGCGGTTCAGGTACTGGTTGTACTTGTATATGTATGCACGCTCACACATTGACACTCGCATACGCATTCGTCCACCACCACTGAGACGGCTGCTGCTACCGCTGCCTCCTCCATTGCATCTCCCTTGGGGGGAGGAAGAAGGCTCGTCTCTCGCCCTCCCCGTTGGACGCGGCACTGCACTGGTGCATGTGCGCTTTGCAACCACATACAAACATACATATGTGTGCGGGCAACATCCGCCACCGTTGTTTCCCCTACATACATCGTGTACGTAGCCATCATCCTCAGTAGCCGGCTTTGGCATCTCGACTCAACTCTGCACCCTAGCTTGACCATTCTTCTGTCTTGATTGCGACGGCCCTTCATTTCCGCACCTCTCTCTTTGCCTTTGCCTCTTTAACGCTTGGAGAGCTGGCCCCAACTCTGTTGGCACCACCGCGGCTAATACTTTCACACGGTCTCCCTTGGTGGCGCTGACCTTTCTCCGCCATCCGCGTTCCAGCTACAGCAGACCGTCTCGGATCTCCAAGCAGCCACTAGGCTCCGAATTGCACGCTCTCTGCCTGTCTCACACTCATCCCTTTCTTCATCGACAACGGGTTGTGGACAGATCTATTCTCGGCACACCAGGGCCCCCTCCTCCCTCTCTCTCCTTCTCGGCCTTTCTCCTGCCAGCGTCGAATCGACAGAAACCGAGCACTAAATCCACACACGGCGCCGCCGGGATCCGGGCATTCGGGCTTGAGACGGCCCTGCGTGGGCTTCGGCACCCGGGGCGAGCGGCCCCTGAAGCCCTGCCTCGTCGGCCCAATCCTGCCCACACAACCGGCTCGGACAATGTATTTCTTCGGCCTTGTCTGTTTGAGGTTGGTCGTCCCCAGTCTTCGCGCCGCAGAAAGCCTTCTCCATGTCACTCTTGTCTTCCGTCACTCTTTCAGTCTCTGGCGGCAATGGGGCGAACCGAGACGGATGAGGATGCGAGCCCCCCGAATGCAGACTAACGAAAGGCTCTCACGACAACACAGACTCTAGCCACCACATCCCACCCCAGTGGACAGCCAACTGGACGAGTACATGTAAAATGCTGCACGCCGACATCGACGGCTCAGCAGCCGCCATGGAGCAGGACTCGGCCATGGCGCAGTGTTACGGGTACGGCGGCGACTCTTGGGTCAGCATCAGCCCCTACAACCACAGTCCCTATGACGATAGCCCCATGAACGAGTGTGCCGGGTTCACGCAGTTCATGTCCCATCATCTGCCTGAATCTACCAACGGGATGCCTCCGCCGTCCGTACAACCGCACTCGAGTCAGCCTCAGCAGCAGCTTCACCACCACCCCGATCCTCAGCGCCACCACCTCCAACTGATACAGCCCGCTCCGCCGGCCATGTGCCATCACCAGCTGCCCATGCTGAACACGGCCTGGCCGAGCCAGCTGACGAACCCGACCCCTACCTCGTCGGCCGGTAGCTACTCGGCGCCCCCGCTGCCTATGACGCCGGCATCCAGCGGACCGCCCTCGAACCCTGCGCCACCCCCGTCCGCCGCGACTCCGGGCAAGGGAACAAGCACCTCGCAGGTTCCCGATGTCGTCAAGCAGCCGGGCCAGCCTGACAAGATACCGAGGAAGACGCTTAGTGCGGAGCAGAAACGGGCCATGTGCCAGTATCACGATGAGAACCCGGGCACAAGACAGGCAGATATTGGAGCCAAATTTGGTGTAGAAAGAAGGTGAGCCCAGCCAACCGACGGCGGTTCTGACTTGTACCGTTCACGGGTCTAACAAGTGCCCTCGGGGGGACGTAGCACTGTTTCCAAGGTGCTTAGGCACAGAGACCAGTATCTGAAGCGCGAGCAAGACGCAGACTTCGCCTTTAAACGCGCCAAAGGCAAGCATCCCGACTTTGACAGGACGCTCAGCAACTATGTCCGACGACAGCAGCAGAGGGGCTTCGACATCGAGGACGACGAGATCATGGAGCAGGCCAAGTTGTTTGCCCGCGCGAGCGGCAACCAGGAAGGTCTCCTGAGCACACTGACCGGCAGCTGGCTCCTCAAGTTCAAGCAGAAGCACGGCATCGGCTCGGGCCGGCTGATGCGGCGGGCGTCTGAGACCAACATTCCTGACAGCGCGAGAATGTCCACGGCCCTTGCGGCCCTCCAGAAAGTGACGACAGCGATGACGCCGATGCCGAGGAGCGCCGCAATTTCGCCCACGTCGCCCACACCACCGTTGCTATCGCCCTTGTCCTGGAGCAGGAGTGACGAAGACCTACATAGGGAGACGCTCGACTTCGAGCTGACGTATCGGGCCCAGGGTTCTCAGCGGGACACGTCGATGGCCAGCGACGAAGCTCCTCGGGGCAATGGCGCCTCGACTCTCTCGGCCTGCGACACCATCAGCCCAGCCGCCTCGTACAACTTCTCCCCTGATCCCAGCAGCGCCGGAGCTTTCCCCTTGGAACACCAAACCGTGCCGGCGAATAAAGTAGGGGACGCGCCGGGTCTGCACTACCAACGCGGCAAGCGCAGCAAGACCTTTCCATCCATCGACGTCAGCTTTGTCCATCACGAGACGGTGGCAACGGAAGCGCTGGCCGAGCCCACGACACCACGACATCATCCACCCGTTTCCTCCCCCTCCTCGTCTGTCCAATCTCCTGCTAGCGACCTCCGAGCCGCAGCGTTTGCCGTTAATACGTCCCTCACGTCCCCGCCCTCTCTGCACCGCACTAGCAGCAACTCCAGCTTGACGGGCCGGTCGTCTGGTACCCCCGTCACCGGTAGTACCGTTGCTGGCACCATGTTTGACTCGTCTTCTCCCGATTCCCCTACACTGGAGGAGGCCCGGCAAGCTGCCAACATACTACTCAGCTACATTCGGCGGATGAGCCCCATCGGGCAGTTTGACCAGAGCGAATTTCTCGCCGTTGTCCAGCTGACGAACAAGCTACAGCTACAGCTACAGCAGCATCAAAGCTCGCGTCCCTCCATCGGCGGGCTGTCGAGAATTCCAGAGGGAGATCACGAAATGCCACTGTCTGTGGACGCGGCCACGGAAGTGAGGTGACGAGAGGCCTGGAGAGGAGCGGCAACAACCGCCCTATTTCTTGTGTCGTCTCGTCTCGCCTGTTCCTGTTGGGCACGACAGTTATTTTCCCCTCATCGGCGTTCTTCCCTTACCCTTTCTGGCATGTTGATGAAGGACACAGACTGCTTCGGAGCTTCGTCTGGCGAGATGGCATGTGAGCACGAGAAAAATCGAAAAGAATGGAGGCGACTCTGTATACTCTGGCAACAGATTTAGCGGCGACGGCATTGTCGTGAGCACGTTTTATTGTGGACACACGCTTCTCTTTTTCTTCCTCCTTTTTCTTTTACTTCTCCTTTTTTCTCTTTGCTTTCCAGTTGTTAATACCCCTTGCGATGATCCCTTCCTTCCTTCGCGGCTTCGAGATCCCGAAACGTGGGGCCTTTGAAAACGTCATTCATTGGCCCAGTACATATTTATACCCTACAAGCACAAACCACTTTTCTTCCTCTTCTTTGGCCTTGCCATTCTTCTCGGCAGCAAGGGTGGAGGCAGACGCTGGCCCCCCTTTCCAAGCGGGGGAACGTACGGACTTGATGCTTTTGGGAGACGGCTGTCCAGCATAGAACAATGATGTATGCAAGCCCCTTGGTCCTTCAAATCCATATGGCGCCTACCTGGCCACGGACACATTTGTGAGTCCGGGACCATGACCTATGGTACTCCTTGTTCTACTTATTTTTTGTCTCTTGCTGTGGTTCGTGTCACGAGCTGATGATGGGTTGTGCTAATGGTGTGAATGGGTGGAAAGTGGAAGGGGCGTGGGGAGGTGGGTGAGCCACGGCGGACGAAGCGTGACCCGTGGACCTGGGCAGGCAGGTCCATATCTCGACCATGGCCATGTACTTTGTAGACAGGCCGACGGAAATACGAGGTGGCTAGCATCTATGTGTGTGGAAACGAACTCTCGCGCAGCCCGTGGTGCTCCTCCGCTACGTTTTATGAGAAAGTGACCAAGTGCTGTGTTGCTTGACATGAGAGATGGAGCAGGGGGAGGAGATTGGCGTGGAAAAACATCAACGTCGTTAAATTTGCAAGCATGAGACACGGGGTGGGTATCTTTCTCTCCGACTCCTCGCAACGCCCGGACTGTCCATCAGCCGAGCCTCTCGTCCCAGAGCTCCAAGACCCCCTTTTCGCTCAGCTCGGGGATGAGCCTGACAAGCAGGAGCTCGAGCAGCCCGTACACGAGATGCTTATTGCAGTACTCGTCCCCGAGCACCATCAATAGGTCCTCGATATCGTCCAGCACCCTGTCCTCCTCCTCCTTGGCAGTCCCGGGGCGCCGCTGCCACGGGCTGCCAGCACCGAAATACACGCGGGCCACCCCGCTCGGCAACATGCCCCAAATCGCGCTAGCGGCTCTGCGTCGGAGAGCGCGTAGCTCGGCCTCGGAGCATGGGGGGCACAGGGAAGACGAGCCGGGGGCGTTGTTGGGGAAGACGACGCCGCGGATGGTGCGGAGGGCGGCTGACAGACGGGCAGGCGAGAGGAGGGCTTTGATGCGGTGGGAAAGCAGCCTATCAGTGGTTAGCAAGCGACGACAGCGGCCAGCAATGTCTCTGGGAGGGGAAAGGGGGGATTCATGGACGGACGGCACACGCAAGGGATCTTCAATTCAGCGTGGCGCGAGCCAACGATGCCCGAGTCCAAACCGCTTGGCGAGGACCCCTGCGGCCACTCAACAGGTGCGGGGAGACAGGGCCGAGGCCGTGACCTGTCCCGTGCAGGTAGATCGTCTTATCAGGGCAGGATGAGACGCTGAGTAGACGAGGTGTGTGGCATGACATTGCCCGGACCACGAGCTTGGGGAGGCAACGGAGCTGGATAGGGGCGCGCAGTCCAAGATGGGGCGTCCGTGACCACGACACGCGTGACAGTCGATCCAAGCCCGGACGCTGCCGCTTCATAATTGCAGCATCCCATTTGGAGCTTCGGGTGGCGCGGCAGAGAGCGGGAGAGAGGATGGAGAAGCAGGACGCGACCCGCTTTCAAGCACCTACAGGCCCCTGGTCGACGTCGGCGCGTAAAATGGCCAGGCTGGTGGGATGACTGGCCCCGGACAACAAGGTGCTGCAGCCAGGGGCGGGCAAGCTGTTGCATGACACGTCAATTGGCCACGAGGGGCTGCAGAATCGGCAGCGCTTATGGACCAAAGCCCGATAGGCTCTGCTCAGAGAAGTCGGGTGATGAGAAGAAGCGGAAACGGCATCCTGGCCCCGAGATAGGCCGGGACTCCATTGCGAAGTTCGCTTGAGCTGCGCATGTCTGGTGACTGGTCCGCTATGCGCGGTGACGAGGGGCAAGAAAGGATAGCTCTCAAGGAGAAACACGAGACCAACGAAAGGACTTCTGTCGCTCACCCACCTGTCAAGTGTGCGGTCCAAGCCAGCGACGCGGCCCGGACCATGAACCGCGCCAAATTGCAGTAGTGACAGGAAGCCGCCGAGCCAGGGCATCCTGGAACTCATCTCTATCAGGTTGCCCGCGCAGCGCCATGCAGCAAAATCCAAAACAGGGACTTTGGCCGGGTGGGGTGGTCCTGGGCTCTGACCGGGCTTTCGCTCCCTGTCAGTCCCACGTGTAGCCCGTGGCGGCAGAGATGACGACATGGCCAGCGATTCGACCAGAAGCCAAATCGAGGACAGCACGGTGAATGCTAACAGCACGGTCGACCAGATGAATCTTTGGAATGACCGCATGCGCCCGTTGGTCACAGAGGCTCCCGAGTTGGGAGGTTGGGCGTCGGAAGCTGCGGTCGTCTTCTTTCCCTCGAGAGACCGTGCCAGCATGCATATACCCTCGAAGACGAGCCACGGTTGAGCTGCTTTGTTGACAAGGACGCCGGCGATGATGAGCTCGGAAAATATCTGCCCAACGAGGGCCGTTAGACATGGATTCTCGAGATCCTCGGTCGGGAGCAGCACGGCCAGCACAGCCTGGACCAGCAGCTGGCGGTAGGCGGCCTCGTTTTCTCGTTGCTCGGCTGCCGTTACCGCATCTCCAGGATCGGGCACCGGCGAAAGGAGCGGGAGCGGCCAGAGAGAGTGGTATGCTTGGTGAGGATCGATGGCCAGGGGGGGCTGCGCGGCGGGCCGATGAGCTGCGCGGTACGCTTTTCGAGTCTGAGCAGATACTTCATGGCAGGATTCTACAGGGAGCCATGCCGATTCCACCCACCTGCTACGTGCTGATCAAGCACCTCGGGTAACTCGTCGAAGACCAAGCTCTCCAAGTCCAGCTTGCGGAGCCTTTGCTCCAGGGCGCGCGAGCAGTGAGCAACGATGTGCACTATCTCGGCAACAAAGGACTCGTCGGCCGTGATGTTGCCATACCAGCTTTGCACAAAGTCGCGCAGGATGATGGCGAGAAAGGCATATAGCTCGAGATCGACGTCGTTTCGGCTCGTCAGGGGCGGGAGCAGGTCGTGGATGGGCGGCGGGGCATCGCGTCCCTTGTCGCGCGACTGCTGGGGGCAGAGCGTCCGCCGGATGAGGGCTTGGGTCGCTCGATCAGAGAGCGGATCCGTCGTCGGCGGCCGACTGGTCCGACGATTCGCAGGCAAAGGGCGAGGGTCGAGAGGGGCCGAGGCCGAAGGCTTGAGACGCGGCGTGCCGGCTCGGGAGGGTACAGCCGACGACGCGTCGACCGTCATGGCCGACTTGCTGGGCAGACGGTGCAGGGCGAGACCATGGCACGGCGAGGTCTGGTAGGACTGGGGTAGGGAGAAGGCAGCTGTGGCTGTCTGTCGTTGAGCTAAGGTTGGGTCCGTGAGGTGAGGAGTGCAGTCGGCCGCCCGTTGGGCCGCAGGTGGCAGCTGCAGGCCGCTCTCGTGCTGTACAGTACATGCGCGGTGGGGCGGGTACATTTTCTGGACCGTGCACTGTGGACTCGCACAAGCATCGTCGCAGAGTACCTACTTGTCAGATTCCCCTCTCCCAGCATGTCTTTTTTATTCCTACAATATTGACACTCGGGGCCAAAGGTCACCAAGAATCAGACTTGCATCACACAAGAGTACAGGTCAATTGGCTTGCCCCCTTGTGAGCATGCCTCACCATGCACATAGGCACTGACATGTATCCTACACAAGCCCTTCACGAACTGTTTCTTGTGCATGACAGCGCACTTTACGTGTCTTTCGTCGTCGTCTCGTACCTGAACAAGCCCGTCAGCATTGCATCGTCATAAAGGGTCCGCGTTTAGCACATACCTCTTGCCGCGGAAAGCCCATACCCCCCAGTTGCCGCAGCTAATGTCCTGAGGATCCATGTCGTTCAAATCCCACCTGAGGCTTCGGAACTTATTCTCCCCAGGCTCCAACAGCACATCAAACTCGCCCTTTGACCGTTTCTGCACCCACTCCACATCCCGTTCCAGGTCAAATTGAGTGTATCCGGTGCTGATGATGGGCACCTTGGTCTCCAGCAGCAGCGGCAACGTCTCTTCCCACTCATGGCTACTCGCCGGGTGCCCGAGACCGGGGTGGAACAAGACGAAGCAGTCAAAGTACGGATCGTGCGGTGCAAAGTACCCCGTCCTGTGGATGGTGTGATAATAATCGACAATGGTGCTGATCTTCATCTGATACCATACGCGATCTTCCACCACGGCCCCAAACGGGTTCGACGCGGTGCGCTCGGGCAAGGGAAACTCGTCGTCTCGGTTGGCCATGCTCTCGGGCCCAATGAATACCAGATGCAGCCTCGCCTGCGGGAACAGGTGGGCGAGTTGCACCCATGCCGCTCGCGGTAGCGACGACTCGGCGCGCGCGCCCAGGATAAAGAGCCGCACAGGCGGTGGCTCCGGACGCAACTGGTTGATGCCGACTCCGTGTCCGGCCTTTGGGGGGTGCAGGTTGTACCTCAGGGCTATGAAGTGTGAGCCAATATCCCGCCGTAGCCACCTCGTATACACTCACCACTTAAGCTCTTCAGCCCCTCGACGGTGAGCCTCTCCCCGGACTTGATGCTGTATGGACTCAGCTCGTGCAGCACGCTCCCAATGGTTATTGGATAGGTGAGAAGGCGTGTAATTTGTCTCATTGAGCGGTCAGAGTTGATGGCCTCGAACTCTCTTGTGTACATAAAGGTGTCCCAGTTTGTCATGTTGACAGCCGCCTCGTCAAGCTGTAGGTCTGGCAGGTTCGCCTCGTGAAAGACTCGGCCAGACCGGAGATCATGGTCGTCTTCGTTGATTTGGCGTAGAGTATCGCAGACCTCTAGATGCTTATCGTAGTGGTCCATCCAGTGCTCCTTGCTGCAATAGACAGGGATTCCACAGTCTGGACACTCGAAATTCACATGCGCCGGTGCCATCTCTCCACCCGCTTCAGAAACGGTGTCCTGCCTCGGTGCCGTGGTCGGCAGCCTTGTCGGCTTATGATCTGGGTGTGGACAATAGGCATATTGTCTCATAAACGCTGCCCGGCGTCTGAAGTCGGGAACCGGAGACGAGGAAAAGGGATGAAACAAGTCATCTGAGCCAAGTCTCAAGGACGACGGCTGAAGCAGCTTCTCGGGAGCCGCAGCCTCGGACTTCGATTTCGCACTTGTTGTGAAAGCCCTGGCTCTCGAGAGCGGTGCCGAGGCCCATGTATGCTGTTTCGTGCAAAGTGATCTCGAGGAATCAGCCGTCTTCAGAGTTGTCTCGGTCCATGGCTTCGCAGGGTTCTTTGCGGCAGTCTGTCTGCGCAAAACTGCAGAGCAACGGCCGCACAAGCTCGAGGCTGCTTTGCGCAGTGTTTGCTCCATTCTTGAGCGGGGAGACGTCGTCGCAGAGCCCCTTGGAAGTTTGGAGAATGTGCTGCAGACTCGAGGCGAGGTGGGCAGATTATCTCAGCCAGGCCGCATCAATAGTTATTCCATCTCGCCGACACCGCGCCAAAACTTTTTAGCTACCACAGCAGGCCGACCAAAATAGAGCTCCTCCCTGCTGCACCACAACAAAACTCACGAGATTTTTCGCCAACCATCTGGACTTGCCGGCACACCCAAACCCTTGAAGCCGCGCAGGCTTGTCTGCGCCCAGCAGGGATCATGGCGACCACTTCAAACATGTTCCTTTACTCGCTGACGATCCAGCCCCCAAGCCATGTCGTCCAAGCAGTTCTGGGCCAGTTTGGGAATACCAAAGAGCAGCTGATAGTCACGGCCGCCGGCTCCCAGCTGACCCTGCTACGGCCGGATCCGACTGTGGGAAAAGTTCACACTGTCCTGACCCACGATGTTTTCGGCATCGTCCGGTCGCTGGCAGCCTGTCGCGTCACTGGGAGCAGCAAGGGTGAGTTTGTACCTGAACCTACGATCGCACAGGTTGTCCGCGTCAATCGTCGCTTGATGCCACGCGCGTCCCGATGGTCATGACTGCCAATTCTGACTGCAGTGGCTAAATCGGAGTGCTAGATTTCCTCGTCGTTGCGTCCGACTCGGGGCGCGCCACCATCGTTGAATATTTGACTGAGCAGAACCGCTTCTGTCGTGTGCACATGGAGACATATGGCAAGTCCGGTATACGAAGAGTCATTCCTGGAGAGTATCTCGTCTGCGACCCAAGGGGAAGGGCGTTCTTGGTGGCCTCGGTCGAGAAGAACAAGCTCGTCTACGTTCTGAACCGCATCGCGGGAGCTTCTGGCGAGGGCAACTTGGCAGCCGAACTCACGATATCGTCCCCTCTCGAAGCCCACAAGCCGGGCGTAATGGTCATAGCCATGGTGGCTCTGGATGTGGCGTACTTGAACCCCGTTTTTGCCGCCCTAGAGGTTGACTGCTCCGAGGTCGACCAAGACGCCACGGGACAGGCCATGGAGGAAGTGCAGACTCAGCTGGTATATTACGAGCTGGATCTCGGGTTGAATCACGTCGTTCGCAAGTGGTCGGAGACCGTGGACCCAACCGCATCGATGCTCTTCCAAGTTCCCGGCGGCAGCGATGGCCCCAGCGGGGTGCTCGTCTGCGGGCAAGAGAGCATCACGTTCATGCACAGCAATCAAAACCCTTTGCGCGTTCCGATTCCCCGGCGGAGAGGCGCCACAGAGGATCCTAATCGGAAACGGTTCATCGTCGCGGGCATCATGCACAAGCTCAAAGGAAGCAGCGGCGCCTTCTTCTTCCTCCTGCAGACCGAGGATGGCGATCTCTTCAAAGTCTCCATGGAGATAATCAACGACCACCGAGGGAAACCTACTGCGGACGTCAAACAGATAATCATCAAATACTTCGACACTCTCCCCGTGGCATCGAGCTTTTGCATCTTGAAGAGCGGATATCTCTATGTCGCGAGCCAATATGGCGACGCTGGCTTCTACCAGTTTGAGAAGCTTGCCGACGACGATGACGAACTGGAGTTTAGCAGCGACAATTTCCCCGCGGATCCCCAGGCATCATACGAGCCCGTTTACTTCCACCCTCGGCCAGCGGTCAATCTCACCATGGTTCAAAGGATCCCCTCTATGAACCCGCTCATCGACTGCAAGGTCGCCAACTTAACCGGGGAAGACGCGCCTCAAGTCTACACCGTCTGTGGGACTGGGGCACGCAGTACGTTTCGCGTGCTCAAGCACGGGCTGGACGTCACCCACATCGTCGGATCCGAGCTCCCTGGCGCGCCGGTGGCGGTCTGGACACTCAAGTTGAACCGCAACGACAAGTACGACGCTTACATTGTTCTTTCCTTTGGCAACGGATCCCTCATTCTCAGTATTGGAGAAACGGTGGAAGAAGTGAGCGACTCTGGGTTTCTCACCGATGTGCCCACCCTAGCTGCGCAGCTGCTGGGCGACGGCGGCCTGCTTCAAGTTCACCCCAAGGGTATACGGGTCATTCGCAATGGCAAGCCGCCTGACGACTGGGAGGCGCCCCTGCATCGCTCAATCGTCGCTGCCGCTACGAATGCCCAGCAAGTCGCCATCGCGTTAAGCTCTGGCGAGATCATTTACTTCGAGGCGGACGATGAGGGCAACTTGAACGAGTTCGAGGACAAGAAGGCTATGTCTGGAACGGTCACGTGCCTGAGCCTGGGTGAAGTGCCCGAGGGAAGACTCCGCAGCTCGTTCCTGGCCGTCGGCTGTGATGACTGCACCGTGCGCATCCTTAGTTTGGATCACGGCGCCACGCTTGACAACAAGTCGGTTCAGGCCTTGACGGCAGCTCCCACATCCTTGGCCATCATCGCCATGGATGACTCCTCGTCCGGCGGCTCAACGCTTTATCTGCACATTGGGCTGCACTCGGGCGTCTATCTACGCACGGTGGTCGACGAGGTATCCGGCGAGCTGACAGACACCCGCCAAAGATTCCTGGGACCAAAGCAAGTCAAGCTGTTTCAGCTCACAGTGGAGGGCAAGACATGCGTTCTCGCTCTCAGCTCTCGACCTTGGCTTGGGTACCCGGATCCGATCACCAAAACCTACATGATGGCACCATTGAACTACCCAGAGCTTCAATGGGGCTGGAACTTCACGAGCGAGCAATGCGAAGAGGGCCTTGTCACGATTCATGGACAAGACTTGAGGTTAGTGCGCGGCAAACTTTACCCTCACCTCTCAACTGTTTTGCATGATGACACAATGGACCCGATGCCCCATGGGCTATGAGGCATTATTACGCTTTATTCCAATTGTTCCTACTGACGAGCAAACGCTGTCTCCGCTCTCATTTTGCTGCATGACCTACACGAGTCCGATCATTCGCTGACCTGATCAAAAGCATCATTTCGATAGACCGTTTGGGAGTCACTCTCACCCAGAGATCGGTCCCGTTGAGCTACACCCCGAGGAAGCTTATCAAGCATCCAGACCAGCCCGTCTTTTATAGCATTGAATCCGATAACAACACACTGCCCCCGAAACTCCGATCTCAGCTGCTGGCCGACCCCGCTGCGGTTAATGGCGACGCAAAGGTGCTCCCGCCAGAGATCTTCGGTCACCCAAGGGGCAACCGTCATTGGGCATCATGCATCAGCGTCATCGACCCGGTGTCCGAAGAGCCGGAGGTGCTGCAAACTCTTCATTTGGACGAGAACGAGTCTGCTGTCAGCGCTACCATCGTTCCGTTTTCCAGCCAAGACGGCGAAAGCTTTCTCGTGGTCGGTACCGGCAAAGATGTCGTGGTGAATCCTCGAAGCTTCTCCGAGGCGTTCATTCATGTCTACCGTCTCAACGAAGGCGGCCGCCAGATCGAATTTGTGCACAAAACGGCGGTCGAAGAGCCACCCTTGGCTCTGATACCTTTTCAAGGGAAGGTCTTGGCTGGAATCGGCAAGGTATTGCGGGCGTATGATCTCGGCATGCGGCAGCTGCTGCGAAAGGCCCAGGCCGAAGCCGGTCCCCAGCAAATCGTGTCGCTGAACACCCAGGGCAACCGGATCGTCGTCGGCGATGTCCAATATGGCATCACGTATGTGGTCTACAAGCCGGCAACAAACAAGCTCATCCCCTTTGTGGATGACACCGCCGCTAGGTGGACGACTTGCACGGCCATGGTGGACTACGAATCGGTTGCCGGCGGCGACAAATTCGGCAATGTATGGGTTGTACGATGTCCCCCCAAGGCGAGCGAAGAAGCAGACGAGGAGGATTCCGGCATTCACTTGACCAACGCCAGGAGCTATCTCCACGGAACCTCTCGCCGCCTCGACCTCATGTGCCACTTCTACACCCAAGATATCCCCACCAGCGTCACCAAGACAAGCCTCATTGTGGGAGGGCAGGACGTTTTGCTGTGGAGCGGACTCATGGGGACCATTGGCGTCCTTATCCCGCTCGTGAGTCGCGAAGACGCCGATTTCTTTCAGAGTCTTGAACAACATCTCCGAAGTGACGACGCACCGTTGGTGGGGCGAGACCACTTGATGTACCGCAGTTATTACGCGCCCGTCAAGGGCGTCATTGACGGCGATCTCTGCGAGAGATACAATCTGCTCTCCAACGACAAGAAGATGACGATTGCCGGGGAGCTGGATCGCTCGGTGCGGGAGATTGAGAGGAAGATTTCGGTAACGACCCCAACCGCTGACGGCGCTTGCTCGAGTTGATGCTAACCATGCCGTCAGGACATTCGAACGCGATCTGCCTTTTAAACCAGCCAAGAGACGAGCCCGTTGCGAAAGCAGCGCGATATATAAAATGTATGAACATGTGAAAGCCCACAGTAGCTGGGGCCTGCGGTGTCGGCGTACTGTACAAAACGTCCCATCTGGACGGAAGCATTTAAGCACAGCTCTTGAAGTATGGATTTCCAACACACCACACTTGCGAGCACCATTGACTAAGCGTGATTCGCTTACAGACCTCGCCAAAAAAGGCTACGGCGCTGGTGGCCTCTTCCGTATGCGGAGCTGCACGCTTCCTCTGACGTGGCCACTTTTTCAACGACGCTGGTCCATGTCTGCCCTGTTTGCTACCAAGTCTCGACAGGCTTTTCGGCGAGAGGAGTGATGGGGCGTATCCGCGGTCAAAATTTACGTCTTAGAGGCTGTTTCGATTGAGAGCTTTCCAGTTCCGTGTCCCAGACCAGGAGCTCATAGATGACCGCCATGATGAAACGGATAATGGGGTTTCATGCACGACATCACTTGACCTTGCCATCTTTCTCACCGGGTACTGCCCTGGGAGGCATGAGGATGAAGCTGGTCGAGCCATCCACGATCGCGCATAGCTGGGAACGCAGGCATCAAGGTCACGGCGGTCGAGACATTGGGAAACGAGGCCTGAAAGACCGACATGCAAGCCACCACCAAAAGCCAACCTGGTCGGAACCTTGGCAGTGTGCAAGGAGCAATCGAGCTCATCAGGAACGTTTACTAAGTCCGGCTTCACGAACAGCCCACGAAGTAGATGTTGCTCTTAAAGTGTAACTGGTGAACAACAAAGATTACCCAAGTCAATTACGCACCAGCTCGCTTAGCCTCACGTTACTTGTGCTCGACATTAGGAATATGCTAGCCATCCATGCCAAGGATTCGTCCGTCGCTCCTCCTCAGTTGCGGAGACGTAAGGAGAATCATCAAGCTTCTTTTGAAGCTGTTTAAACTTTGGTGCCGGAGCCTTGAGCTCAAAGAGGATGTCTAGTTCGAGGTAGGAAAGCTTCTTGGTCTCGGGCAATCGAAAGTAGCACCATACGAGGCAAAGCAGAGCGGTGGTTGCGTACACGAAACAGGCTTTACCGCCGAGGTTCCACGCAGTCGGATTGAGCATTTTGGGGGCTAGGATATTGTTGATGATGGTGACTAGGTTGTACGCGATTCTGGCAAGCGCCACCGTTTTGAGCCGAAGTCGCGTTGCAGGGACCTCGGCCACGAGGACATAGCACACCGGACCGATGGTGAGGTTGTAAGACAAGGTCGTCGCCACGATCAGGCCACCCAGGGCCCAGCTGGGACCCTCATTCCCGGTCAAGACCACAGAAATGATGCCTCCAGTGGTTAGGAGCACAACTGCTGAGGACAAGCCGGCGAGGTAAAGCGTTCGTCGGCCTGCGTATGGAATAAAAGCCCAGGATAGTATAGCCCCGAGAACTGCGACGCCGTACATGATGGTCGAAAACGTAAAGGAAGTCGAAAAATTGAATCCAGCCTGCTCGAAGAAGTACGGCCCGTAACTGGTCAGCGTGGCGCCGGAGAGGGCTTGGCACACCCATGCCATGCATGCTATCTCAGTCCTGCGGCGGTTCGTGCCTTTGAACAAGTCGAAATATGTAGTTCCGTCGTACTGTAGTGCTTTCTCGACGGTGTTTGTGTGCGCCATGAGGGCTATGGCGTTGTCAATGTCGAGTTCGTCTTGGTCGGAAAGGCGCCTGAGGGCATGACGGGCATATTCTGGCTTATCGTGGCGTATGAACCACCCTAACGATTCGTCTCAGTACGGTATATACGCTGCACGAGACTTGGGAGCTTACATGGACTTTCGGGAGCAAAGTAGACGCCGACGAGCAGCGGCAAGGCCCAAGCCCACTGCAACGCGAATGGAAAGCGAAACGACCACTCTGTCGTCTCACGGCTGGAAACGCGGAGGATCCCGGTGCCGATGAGCTGCCCGATGAGCCAGCAGGTGTTTGTATTGCTCAAGACGAAGGCGCGTAGAAGCGAGGGTACAACTTCGGCGGCATACGTTGCCGCCAGAGTCTGTATGACACCCCATGGGATCCCTGGAGGTTGATGAGAGATTAGGCCAAGAATACACCAAGACGTTCAAGAATGGTGCCTACCCAACAAGACCTGAGACGCCAGCAGAGTTTCGAGATTGTCGGCGAACACGGCAGGGAATACCGCAAGACAGATCCAAGCAAGGCATATAAACATGATGGGCCGGTAACCGGTAATGGAGGCAACGAATCCGAATGCGAACAATCCCACTATTTCGGCAAGAATGGATGCATTTTGGAGGGCCATTTGCCATGTCGGTGAGATTTCGGATTCGATAGCTGTGCCGGACGACTGTAAAGGGTCTCCATATTTCCGGGTAAAGGTTGGCAAGGCAAAGAGGCCCGTGATGAGCAACTTGTCGTATGCCTCCATGATGACTGTCGCGATTAGTAGCAGCGACCAGCCCACGGCCTTGGGATAACAACGGAGGCAATCGAAAAAGGTCATTCGTTTTTCCGTCGTCATGCCGCTCCTTGCGCGCTCCTGGGCCTTGACTGAGCTGGCCGACTGTTGCGAGAGCCATATTGAGTCTTGGATGGCCTTGAACCTAGCGGCGGACGAATGCTGCCCGGCCCCTGGCGACTCCGTGGTCGTTGAGAAGTCCGACATGGATTTGGCATCGTAATCGTCAACGACGACGTTGAAGTGAGCTTCAGCTTTGGGGTCTGATGAGGCCATGGCGATGTCATCCTACTCACCGCTCATTTTGCTTGCGAGGAGGTGAGTGAAAAGGATGAAGTGCACATATATTATCAGTCGCCGTCGCGAGGAGAGTCCGGAACCCCGCTGCCGAAGAAACAAGATCGTAGCGTTTAGGCTTCAGGCTCCAGCCACCAGGTTGTCAAAGTCCTTCCGAATGGGGCTCAAGCCATGTTTCTATTACTCAGGGCCTGGCCACGGCTACGGCCTAAACAGGTGTAGACGGAGAGCCATTTAGGACATGTTAATAAGCTCGCAAGTGTTTCAATTTTTTCTTCTTCCGAGTGCCAGATTCAGGACAGTTTCCGGCGGCAAGCTTTATATCTGACACGACAATTGTCACAGGCCGATACATTGTGACTAACAGACAGACCGCATGATTTGGATGGCATGAGTCGATTTGACTGTTCTATCAACGCGATTGGTCCATTCTGCCTTGGTTGACATGTCCTGTCCTTTGTCAAGTGGAGCGGCGACTTCTTCCATCTCTGCCGGCCCCTTATCGATCATGGCCCACTCTGCAAGCCGCCTTTTCCCGACCCGGGCGGCTTGTTTCGCCCCACGCCATTGTCCATCTCTGCCGCGTCGATTACAGGGGTTTGAAAGCATAGTGAAAGCAGGGAAAGAGGGGCCACACGAAAGGGAAACCAGGAATGCCTGTTTCTTTCTAGCAAGGGGGCCATGGGAGTATCACCCATAGGTATGGATATTCCTTGCAGGCCTAAACTCGTTGTATAACAATGGAGAGCTTGCGGTCCGATACCTGGTTTATACTTTTCATGCGTCTCTATAGAATGGGTACAACTCCAAGGGAAACAGGGGGCTTGCGGACTCGTACGCTGACCCCAAGACTCAGCTTAGTCGCGGCTTTGGCTAGTGATTATCGTCTTAAAAGTCTTTACGGCCTTACAGTCAAAGTCTCGTGAAGCACACCTCGAGCGGCATTGGCGAGCTTGGCATTCGCTAGCTAGGAGGGGATGGCAAGGAGACAAAGTCACAAAGGTTTCGAGGCCGAGGGGGAATGGCGGGCATCCGCTGCTTGGGAACTACCTGAATGTTTATGGCCATGCCGTGGATGCTGGGCAGGAGGCTGGAGCTTCGACACGAGAGAGTTAGCGGACAAGAACTTTTCCGTGTATCGGGAGTCTGCGACTACTTCACGAGGCTCTGGCAATGAAACTCCCTCCGAAAGCAAGACGCTCATCCGGGGACCTATTCTATAAGAAACATGTTCTACTCCTTCCGAAACCCGTCTGCTCCCTTCATGAAAGAAATCAGTTTTCCTTAACTCGCTAGCCGGAGAAGGATCAGGGCATAAGCTAAAAAGCCTCCAGCTCTTCTATGCACCCGCATATAGAAAAGAGAAGCTCGTAATTTTGCAGGATGGCGACTGCTCTTGTAACACCTCCATCTCCCGCTCGCGGGACTCGGCCGCCTCGGCAGGTTCGTTTTCGCACATCCACCATCCCGAGTACGGTTGAATGGCCCTGAGGGCTGAAGGACCCTCCGAATATGAGCGGCTCTCGCCCGAAGCCTCTCCCGACCCCCCCTCCGACGCGACCCCGGGGGCAGATGGGCGAGCTAGGATGCCGACGGAACCCGCTATCAAGGTGCTGTCGTAGACTTCGCCGTGGTCATTGACATTGACCGGCACGGAGGCGAACCCAGCGGGTACTTCTTGTATGTCAGCGTAAGGGTATGACAGCCCGTCGAGCACAACGTTATCATGGGAGCGACGCCGAGCCGCTCCGGCCTCTTTCCAGAAGCAAAAGACGGAAAGCCAACCCGAAATATAGTGCATGCCGCTGCCTTGGTGTATTCTTGTGATCATGGTGTTCCAGAAGTCGGTGACGTCGGTGCTTGACGGCTGGCTGAAGCAGAGCACCATGCGACGTAGGATCGGCCTCAGCATCTCGGCAAACTGCGTGGGCTCGTCGCCGAGCTGGTCCAGCTTATCGAGCCTGGCAAGAATGTCCTGCCAGTCCGAGGCCTCTCCGAGCAGCGTGACGGAAGGGAGACCGCAGATAATGGTCATCTTGTACGAAAAATACTTCTGCATGGCCCCCATGAACAGCACCGAGGCGATAACTTGGTCCTCATCAGTCGTCGTCGAAAAGGAAGGTAAGACTCAAGTCCGCAGCTCGGGGTCGTTGACGTTCTTGGAGATGAGCTGCGTCATTGCCTGGGCGAGGGCGCCGAAGTCGGCCTGTTCCAAGGTGCCGGTATCGACCACTTCAAGTTCCTTGCGGCCCTCGTGCGAGACAAAGAAGCTGCGCAGGGCCTCGGCATTGGCGTTGATATAGAAGCTCAGCTGTGTGATGATGGCGAACCACACGTCTTCGGGCCGGATCACCAGGTGGTGATGATCGCTGTAGGCCATATAGGCGGACCACACAAATCCGTTTGCAGAGGCCGAGGCGTGGTTCTCACGGAGTGCGTGGCGGCTGAAGGAGCTCTGGAGGATTATCTTGCTCCGCCGATACTGCTTGGGGCTGACTTCTTTCAGAAGCTCTTCCGATGTTGCAACCTTTGAGCGCTGCCAGCTCTCGGCCGGATGGTTAATAACGTCGATTGTCACGGGCATAATGAAGAGTTTGATCAAGGTATCCACGTAGAGTCAAAATAGTTGAGATTGTTACTTTTGAGCCCCAGTGGGCGAGTGCCTGGTCTGCACATGTATGTATGTTGACCGACGACATACTAACTTATAGTACATGGGAGGCCTTAAAAAGGCGCCCTTGATGCTTAAGAGGCGGCTTGTAATTAACAAGCGCAGAGTGGCCGACGTTGCCCAATAAGCGCGGCTCCTTGCCCGTTGATCTTCCCGCTCCGGGCTGCTGCCTGCCGCCCTCATGGGGGCCATCGAGGCGGAGACCGCAGGGACCGCACGATGTGTTGATTTCGCTATTTCTTCTTGACAGGCTGCTTCGTATAAGTGGAAGATGATCACCTTTGAAACACCCGCAGTTCAACATTGAACCGATCACCCTGGTGCCAGACTGCTCCTAATTTGATACAAGACTCGAGTCTATTGAGTTTGAACTGCAAGAAGAATACCAAGAACCACAAGTAACTGCTTCTATGCCGCCGCAAGTTTATGCCCGGCTTCGCAATGACAATGTCGCCTCCGAAACTTTGTTATGGACGGGGATATTACACTCACCAGGCGATACGTCCGAGATCCAAAATATTGGTGTCGACGAATTCGCAACCGAGACAAGGACTGCACTCTACCTGCCGACGAGACAAACGAAAGGCCTCTCTAATGCTACCTACGTAGAATCGGAGGTGGGATACTTTATCGTCCTCGGTCCACCTTGCCCGGAAAAGCCAATCTCTCATGCACCGGCCCCCGGTGGCATCTGCGTGGCCTGTGAAGCGCTCGAGCTGGCAAGCCTGCTGTCGTTTGTGCCGCTAGGCAGACGACATAACCTCGGATGGTTCAGGGACATCCTTGATTGCTCCTGCTGTGGCCTGTGCCGCCTTCTGCCTCGGGGATTCGAATCAAGCGCAGGGCTCGGCGCTGTCAAGCTGGCGGCACAGGACGCGGAGTCCTTTGTTTTGGTCAGTACGCTCGCCGCGGCCATTCCCATGGCCCAGAGTAGGCAGCACCGGCCATACGAGCTGCAGGCCTTTATGGTCCAGAGTGGGGGCATTATCGCGGCCGAGGCATGCGTTCGGCTCATCTCAGAGTGCGCCGTTGGACTGGGCAAGTCCCCTCGCTTCCATGGCCGCCGCGTGAATCATGAGGCGGCCGACATGTCACTAGCCCTGTCGTGGATCAAAGAGTGTGCCGAGTCTCACCACTGTGGCAAGGGGGTCGTGGCGGAACGGGCAGGCGTTGGAGATGGCCTCACCTTGGTTGACGTGAAGCAGGATTGCCTCGTAGAGGCTCCCTGGGACTCCAAGTACATTGCCCTGAGCTATGTTTGGCCCCGGTTCGAGACCACGCGCCTGTTCAAGACAAACTGCCATCGGTGGCATCAACCTGGCTCCCTCCGCACGTCGCAGATCCGACTCCCTAGGGTCATCGCTGACGCTATGAACGTGGTACTCTTGCTAGGCCAGCGCTTCCTGTGGGTTGATGCCCTGTGTATCGTTCACGACGATGGCGAAACAGCCGAGCGCTTGATAAAGGCCATGGATCAAGTCTACGGCCGATCCTTCCTCATCATCGTTGTGGCCTCAGGGAGCGACCCTTCACATGACTACGGCATCTCGGGCATCAACGGGCTGCCCAGAAGCATCAGGCAGGACTCGGCGAGAGTCGACGGCCTTGACTTGGTCGCGGCTCTTGCCAACTACGACAAGGCGCTACGAAGCAGTCTCTGGTCCACTTGTGGCTGGATTTTTCAAGAAGGCATCCTCTCTGGGCGGTGTCTCGTGTTCTCAGAGCAGCAGATGTATTTCCGATGTGGACACGACTCGAGATGCGAAGACGTGCGCGCCGAGGGGCGCGGCAGATTCGACAAGCACGCAGCCAAGCCCATCGTCCGAGGCGGACAGCTGGACTACCTCGGCAGCGACCACTTCCTGCGACAGGTCTCCTCGAAAAATATCTGGCAAGAGTATGCACTCTTGGTGAGCGGATACACGTCGAGAAACCTAACGTTTGAGGAGGACGTCCACAATGCCTCCAAGGGAATTATGCAAAGCTTGACCTCGCTATTGGGCCCCGTTGGTTTCTTTATTGGGCTTCCGATAGGCTTCTTTGATGCGACTCTTCTCTGGTATCCAACGAGCCGGCTGCGTCGGCGGCAGGCCCAGACCGGGGATTCCAGAATGTCTCTTCTGCCCACCTGGTCATGGATGGCCTGAGTCGGCAAAGTTAATTACGAAGCCAGTATGTTTCATCTGCCGGACGAACAGGTTGCCTTGACAATAATCGAATGGTGGAAACTTCAGGACGGAGCCCTGGTTCCTTTGAGGAGGTACAAGCCAAGCCCAGGCGCTGCGCTCAGTCAAGGCTTGCTTCAGGCTCACAGCCGCGGGTTCGGTCCTATGCACCTGATATGCTGGGGGCTGTGCGTGAAGCTAACTGTTGACCCACGGGAGCGCTTCATCTTTGGCTGGGTAACAGACTGTGGGCAGTCGGTTCCGTGTTTCATAATCCTCGACGATGCAGGCGAACCTTGCGGCATGCTCCCTTCTGCGGACCGAGAATGGGCGGAAGAGGTCAAGAAACAGGTAACAGGGCGTGTCTGCGAGTTTCTGCTCCTGTCTGTCGGTCGCCAGTGTGACGTAGACAGAACCACCGATCGTGCCAGATATTTCCACAAGAAGTATCACATCCACGGTAATAATTTCAATTGTTTTTATAACGTTATACTGCTGGAGCATGACGAGGAAGGAGTGTCTTTTAGACGAGGCATCGGGCGTATTCACACTGCTGCAATCGACAAGAACCCGTTTCGCGACTGGGAACGGCGGATTATAGTCCTCGCGTAGCATGCCTCAAGGCAGGCGTCGGCAGGAGCAGGATATATGCCTCATTAGCATTGAATCTCTTGAAGCGTTTCAGCCTCCCAAGACCCGTCGATTCGTACATTGAGGGATGCAGAAGCTGCGAGCTGCTTGGGGACACGACGAACTACCATAATTCGGGGCAAGAGGAGGTAACGAGTAATATGACCCATGGGATCCGGAGCGTCAGAATCCCATGCAAGCGCCCTCTTCCTTTGGAACTACTACGCTATATGGGTAAATTTTCCTGGTGGCAAATACACGGAGAATTTGGATCCTTGACTTTGGAAGATGCGACTGTCCCGTGTACATCAAAGTAACGCATTTATGAGTCGAGTTGCCATCCCAAGAATGCAGGAGTGAAAGGGCCTAGAACAGGGTGAAGAGGCCTTTAGCAAAGGAAAATGGGATTGACAGGTCGCTTGCTAAAGAATCATCTGTTGTCCGTTCGCATCTCGTTTGGGGCCGTGCTCGAATCGTGATGCGCTACGGGCCTTTTCTTCTACTAGGCGCACAGTGTTTTTCATATCCATTCAGTGGAATTCACATAATCAAGGACTCCGGAAGGTCTGGTCTTTAGCTGAAGATGCTCATGATATGAGCTGGGTTCACAGAAAGGGGTGATAACAGCCTACGCCCGCCAGTTAAGTAATGTCAATCTTGACTCGCCACATCTGGGCACTGATCCCAAAACCTGCCTATAGAAGCAGGTAAAGGCGCTGTAGTGAGCAGTCTACATATAGGGCACAAGAAATTATATATGGTTCTTAATGTCTTTTCGGCATATTTCGTAGGAATCCCAATGGTCTGGGCGCATTAAGTATATATATACTCCGTAAGGTCACATCAGCCGACCCTCCTTAGAGGTCCACACAAATAGCAATAAGTGTCACGCCATTTTGCTAGGCAAAAGTAGAGTGTACACTCCAGCAGATGGTGCTGCAAGTGACTGTTATAATTGACGGTTTTTGCACATGACAACGAGTTACCTATATGTATTTTAATGTCTGCTATGAATCCAGTTAATACCTCTATCTGTGGAAATGAAGTAGCATCTTTTCCCTCCTTCTCCTTCATCTTAGAACAAATCACCCGAGGACAATCAAAACTTAGAAAGAGAGAACCACATAAAGCAATGGCCACTACATCGTCGTGAGTCCCGAGTCATGGCCTTGCGGCGCGTTTATTGCATTGCCCGCTTGACCTCGTCCTGGCGACCGCTGCTCATCTCTCGTTGGGTGCGGGCTGCCATGTAACCGGGCCTGTTTAAAATTACTGTACGTATAAGAGGGGTTTCACACGATCTTGGGTATCTTGGCTGGTGTTGAAACGCCAATAGTAGCCGCAGATGAAGCACGTGTCCAAGAAGCCCCTGAACGTACGACTCGACATACTGAAGTGGGTCACACTTATCAAGTGCCGCTAAGACTCAACGTATTTGTCGCATCTTGGCGATCGAAAACGGTCGAGTTGTCTAATGAGGCAAAGAATAGGAGGAGAGATCGCAGAATATTCACTTGCCTGCTGGATTATTTAACGTTTGGGGTTACCCGCTGGCGCAGGCCTAGGCGGGGACAAAGGTGGCCAACTTCAGAAGTGGGCCTAAGTTAGCCGGTTAGCTGATGGGGAATCTGGTATCCATATCCTAGTTCATAATGAACATTATTATATATACTTATTCTGCGGTGTCTCAACTATAGTTCAACGTGATATGGATTCTTGTTTCATGCTTAAGCAGAATTTACCCCGAGCAACTGATAGAGTCGGATACGTTGAAGTTTTCGGAAGAGCTGCCGCATAAATTTAACTGGAGTTTTTCTTTAGTACTTGCCCGAGGCTCCGTGGTCGTTAAAGAGAAACGCGAGTGGTGATAGTATCGGCTTAAGTGCGAGCCGCCATTCTCCTGCCAGCTGCCAGCCTGCTAGTGCTCTTTTAGGCGTAGCATCGGGCTATTCACTGATGTTGCCAAGTGCTGGATCGTTAAATCTTCTTATATAGTGTCTGGTGGGGATAATAAGCATCGTCTCCTAAGGCTCATTGCTCCCATGGGTTGAAGTCTTTCCGTGGCGTTATTTAGGTCATCATGTTCACTCGGCATCTGAGCCAGCCTCCTTTCTGTTTTGTGAATAGTAGTTATATGCTACTACCAGAGCTTGACCTTGCCTTCTGATTTCTCCTTGCTGAAAATGAAATCTCTTTTCCTCTTCACCGTGGCTGGCTTGATTGCTAGCGGGCAGGCGCGCCATGTGGAGCAGCAGCCCAACGGAACTTTTTCCCCCACGCGCGGAGTTGATCTCTCCAAGTTCAAGATGCCCCAACTCTCAATCTACACTAATGCCACTACCACGCGGGGCTCCGAGACCATTCGGCATATCGAGAAGCGAGGGGATCAGAGAGACTATGTTGCAACCGCCAGGAGTCTTGTAGAAACAACCGTGCCATCTGTCAAGTTCCGCCTGGTTGAGGATCACTATATGGACTCCAATGGGATTGGCCACGTCAACTTCAAGCAGACGATACACGGGCTTGATGTCGATAACGCCGACTTTAACATCAATGTGAGTAGTTCAAGGCGCCACTCATCTCTATACTTGAACTAATGAAATTTCGATTTGTAGATCGATAGGGACGGCAATATTCTCTGCTATAGCAACAGTTTCTACACGGGCGAGGTCCCCAAGGATTACCAGCTTAGCAAAAATGCCATCACTCACCCCGTCGATGCGCTCGAGGGCGCCAGCAAGATTCTAGGACTCGGCATTCTCGTGCATAGTCCCGAAGCCCAGGCCACGCAAGGAAGTGAGCACGTCATTTTCAAGGGGACAAGCGGATCCTTAAGCGAGCCCGAAGCCGACCTTGCGTATTTCCTTTTGAAAGATGGCATGCCAGTTCTCACCTGGAGAATCGAGGCGCATATAAGGGAGAACTGGTTGCTCATCTACATTGACGCCAATAACCCTCAGCAGATCTATGGGGTTGTCGACTACGTCTCTGATCTTGCTAGCTTCGAAGTCTACCCGTGGGGGATCAAGGACCCGGCCAACGGCCGCCGCGAGGTGCTCACTGATCCCTGGGACAATACTGTCTCCCCCTTTACCTGGATCGCAGACGGGGTACATATGTGGTCAAGCACTTTTGGAAATAACGTAGCCGCAGCAGGGCACGGCCCGGGAAATCAGTACCAGTGGCTCCCGGACAGGCATGATAGAAACTTTCATTATCCCTTCTCAGCCAACATGGAAGACTTTCGCCGCAACCGAGATGCCGCAATAGCTCAGGCCTTTTACACGGCGAACAAGTACCACGACTTACTCTATGTGCTCGGCTTCAACGAGAAGGCGGGCAACTTCCAGCGCAATAACAGCGACAAGGGTGGTCGGGGCAATGACCCTATCGAAATCATCGTGCAAAATACCGACCTCAGGTCCAATTCCTACTTCGCTACAAGGCCAGATGGCCAGAAAAGTCTCATGGTATTGGGGATGTATTCATATGCCTACCCTCCCCGCGATGGGGCATTTTCTGCTGCTATTATAATACACGAGTACACCCATGGCTGTAAGAACTACCTCCTCGTCTGAATCGCTTGTGTCTCTAGTCTCTAGTCTCTAGTCTAGACGTCTGTATCTGACACTTAGCTTCAAAAACAGTGTCTCATCGCCTGACTGGCGGTTCCTCCAATGCTGGCTGTCTGAGCACCTTCCAGGCCGCAGGCATGGGCGAGGGCTGGTCAGACTTTATGGCCCTGGCCGTGCTTGCAAAAGGCAGCCACGACTACTCAACTACCGAGGCGTTCTGCGCTTGGGTTGGCAATAACCCCATCAGCGGCCTTCGCGACTACCCGTACTCGACCGATTTTAGGATCAATCCCTTGACATACGCGAGCATCATCACGTCACAACATCCCCACCAAGTGGGCAACATGTGGGGGAATGTTCTATACGAGATGATGCTGAGGCTCATAGGGAGGTATGGCATTACTAACAAGCACGTTCCCGACTTGGACTCCAACGGCGTCCCCACTGATGGACGGTATCTTGCCATGAAGCTCGTCATGACCGCCATGGCCCTCCAGGGCTGCAATCCTCTGATGCTTAGCGCCCGGGATGCCATCATCGACGCCGATAAGGCGCTCACTGGCGGAAGAAACAAGTGCGACCTGTGGATTTCCTTCGCTAGGCGTGGCCTGGGCGTGGGTGCTCAGTTCCACCGAGTCCGTGATCCACGCACAAACAGGATCATGGACAACGCGACTGAAAATTTCAACATTCCGCTTGATGCATGCGGACCCTTGTAGCCGGGATGGACATTAAATTAAGGAGCTTATCGGGAGTTCATGGCCTGGTATGAGGGTTCAGTGTCCTCCATCAAGCTTCGCCAATGTGTCTACGCTGAACGGCAAAAAGGCAGAGGCTTTCCACGGGGCTCAAAGAGTGGGATGCCTCCAGCCACCTACTACAGCTGAAGCACAACGGGTAATCACACCCAGTGGTATTCAAGAGAGTGACCACTCTTCCACTTGAAGTGCCGGGAAAGAGAATCGCCTGGAAATTCGTCGTGGTATCAGGGTTTCGATGAGAGGAAGGACGTTCTGAGTTCGCGAACGAAAGCTGGCAAATATCAATATATCTTGCATTGGCATGGCCGTCCCATGTGGACTCATGGGTGGACGAGAAACTAACGAGCCCAAAGCCAATGGAGAGGATCAGAGTATGTCGGTCGGGTGATATCACTGGCAAGTTTGGGTCGTCTAGAGCGCTGCTCCATTTCTAGAGTACATTCACCCTCCACGAATATTTCTTACATCATCCGCATCATATAGTGAAAACGGTCAAGTCAATCAAGCGAGTCGAAGAAGTTGGTTTTAAGTAAAATATTATACTGCGAAAGCTTAAATGACGTCGGCATATCACGGCCTTGACTACAGAGCCGACCAGTCTGCCTAGGCAGCCGACCATGAAGCTATTCGCACCTGCGAGCATAAAGGCTGCTTATATCATTTCTATACATTCGGGCTCGAGGCTTAAAGATGCGTTATTTCGTCGAATTGAGCCCTGCCCGGCTGCCCGGCTGCCTGTCTGCATGCGACGCCCTACGTCTTTAAAGGAGGCCCGCATCATGTAATTCTCGCTATGCCTCGCCTTCCTCTTAGACTTCCCTGTCAGCCCTATCCTATGAATCCTCTTGCGAGAGCTCTTGCCATAGCCGTTATGAGGGCATCGCGACGATAATTTCGTCTTATGTTTCCTTGGCTGCCGCCTCTGCCTCCGCATCGTCTGCTGCATCGTCTGCCGCATCGTCTGTATTAGCAGCCTATGGGTCTCCGGTAAGCTCATCCTTATCGTTAGTGTTAGAGACTAGCGTGAGGCGTATAGCTCGTTGATATGCTCGTGGTATGCGCGTGCCTAGCTTATATATATCGCCGTGCCGTTAAAGATATCGTAGGTGTTAAGGAGTAGGCATAAGAGACTAGAGTCATGCCTAGTAGACCTAATAGTTATATATAAGGAAGCCTACCTAACTAATATAACTCCCCTAGCCTAAGGATATAATATAGGCCTAACTTAAGTATAGGAATATCTTAAGGAATATCTTAATACCCTTTTTAGGCTAGCTATTATTACGGAGTAGGCAGAGGCGTATATATAGGTACCGTCTATAGGATAATATTAATAAGCTATATAGAGCTCTTTTATATATAGCTAGCCCGTATATATATATATAGGATCCGGCCCTCCGTACGTAACTATACGGCTTAGGCTATAGCCTAAGCCTATAACCTATAATAGTTAAAGTATAAGGGAACACGTATCACGGTACGATTAGTTAGGTAGTAGAGATAGCTAGAGGTACTGCGCTATATATATTATATTCTCCTCGTCGTAAGACTAAAGCTTATAAGAAGAGGGATTTCTCCTCTTTAGTCGGAGTAGCGAGTAGTCTATAACTTACGAGCGGGGTAGGCACGATTCCCTGCCGATACCCTGCCGATATATTAGTACTATATACCCGAGTGCTTTATTAGCCCGTACCTCCTAGTAGCGCTCTTATATAAAGACTCTTATATAATGCCTTCCCTCTAGCGCGGCGCGGCGCTGCCCTATTAACGGCTTCTATATAATTAGGCCTTAGGCTCCCTATACTACTAGCTCCCCCTTACCCTTTCCTATTAATCGTGCTAGCCCTACTAGCCCTATTATCCCCGCGCCTATTAATTTAGGTAGCCGGAGCCTAGCTCTATACCTATTAGCTGGCCGGCTATATAAATAAGGGCGTATAAAGGTATTTACCCTTAGTATAGGTCTAGGTATTAGCCTAGACCTTAGCTAATAGCGTTATAGGGTAAGGTAAGCTATATATATAAACGCGTATTTAGTAGTAATAGGCGCGGCGTATAAGTAGATCCTATATAGCTTATTATTATAATATAATAAAAGGCACTTATAGTATAACCCTTTACCTACCCTATAATAGTATAAGCTATCTATATATTAAACCTAATATTAGAACCTTAGTAGTACTAGCTAGGGTAGTAGTAGTAGTAGTAGCTACTATAAGAAAAAGCTTAGTATTAATAGCTATAGTAATAAGCGGAAGAGCTATATTAGTAATACTTATAGGAAGAGGCCTAGTAGTAATAGGATAAATAAGCCCGATTTATAAAGCTATTTTACTAAATATTATAAGACCTAGACTAATAAGCGACCTTATACTAAATCCTTAATACCCTCTTAACGCTAGCTCCGATAAATACGCCCCCTATTACTAAGATATTAAAGCGCGAGGCGGCCCTTAGTAAATAGAAGCTATTACTATAGCCTACCTAAGACGGTAAGCTAGAGACCTTTTACTTCTTTCTTAACCGCTTAATAGCGAAATACTATATTAACGAGAAATAAGGCCTTAATTACTATAAAAAGATAGCTTAATTCTCGCTCCTCTATATATTACTAGAGCCCTAGATATAGCGAGTAGCGGGCTTCTAAGAGTAGGGCGGTCTTAATAAGATAAAAGACCCTTAAGTATTCTTTAACTACTTAGTTTATACCTTTAGTAATATATAAGAGTAAGAGAAAGTATAGGATAGGCTATAGACCCTTACCTAGTAAGAGGGGTAGTTCTTTAGGGAGTTCTTACCGGAATTTAAAGAGACCTTAACCTAGGCGGCGGGTAATACCGCTTAAGAGGACGGCGCTAAGCTTACCTAGCTATAGAACTTAATCTCCTTAGTACTCTAGGAGCTACTTATCCTTATTATAATACCCTCTACCTACGAGGGCTATATAGCCTACTTTATAAAGGTAGCCTAAAGATATAAGTAAACGCTATACTTTTAAAAGCTATATAAGCGCTTAGCTTTAAGTAAGACTAATAAGCTAGATAGTTCCTCCTTACTTAACCTATCTATACTTAGGCCCGCTCTTAAGTCGGCGGTCGATATAGATAGCAATATCTAAATAGCGGCTATATACTTTAAGGGGCGCGGTAATAGTAAGACCCTAGCCGCTCTATTAATAATATAGCTTAGTAAGACAGCTAAGTAGGTAACTTATAAGGAAATTAATAAATAATATAAAGAGGGCCGCTATATATATTACGGCGTAAGTATATATATAGTTAGGTTATACCCTTACCTTTAAGTAAAGAGGCCGGTAAAGATATAAGTTACCCGCGCCTTATTAAAATCTAATAATAAAGGAGATAAGGGAACCTCCGCTATATATAAGGCGGAGGAAAAAGCTTAGTTTTAGTATAAAGGCGGGCCTTAGAGCCTAGTAAGCTAATACTAGCTAAGAAGGACTTAGTAAAGCGTATTAAAAAAGAACCTACTTTAATATTAGTTATTATTAACTAAACTTACTTCCTTTCTACCTTTATAGATAAGGGTTATTAGTATTACGCTATAATTAATAAAGTAAAAGCCCTTAAGCTATACTTACTAGTAAAGAAGATTCGCCTTAAGTATATAAAGGGCGCCTTAGCCGCGATAAATAGCGCGGCTATTTAAGGCGTCGCTTAGGTAGCTATAAAGGTTAATAGCCTCTTATAGCTACTAGTAGTATATATAGTCCTTTAGCTTAAGTTTCCCTTAATTCTTAGGAAGCTATAGTTAATATATATAAAGTTATATTTAGTATTTTATAAGGGGAGGCTATTATTTAGCCCTATATAGTCTTAGGTCTAGTATAATAGTAAGGAGAAAGAAGTACTAAACGCCTTACTTAATTTATAAGACGCTTAAGAAGTCTTAGCCTTAGTATTTATAGGTATATTATAGTAAATCTATAAGTAAAAGGGGCTAGCTATAGTTATAGCGTTAATCTATATAGTTAGCTTAGTAGATATTAAGAAAGCGCTATAACTAAAGCGCCCTATATTAAAAGAGGAGCTATAGTAGGCTATCTTACTATAGTTTTATAACCTACTACTACTTTTTTAAAATATAAGGAACGGTGTTCCTACTATAAATAAAGCAGCTATAATATACTCTCCCGATTATATAAGCTAATAAGTAGTATATTAATTATAGACAAAATCCCATCCTATAGAGCAAGAATCGCTCGTTATTTTGCATGTCATTATGCATTAAACGGGTTGCCGGTTATTGTATAATCGGGAATCGAAAGAACAGAGCTAGCTTAGAATGCTAGCTAAGACCTCTTAAGAACACCGGCACGACCAACCTCCTTTAAATACGAATATCAGTGGAACCAAGACACTTCCAGCTATACTCGAGGCATTATAGAATTTCCTAGTCTTAGGGCTATGCGGCAGCCTAAATCTAGTCCCGAAAAGTTTTTCCGTTCAGCTATAATTGTCTATATAAGACAGCATGTCCGCTGGTAGATAGGGATAGAATCATTAACTTTAACACCTCTTCCACACACCAATATACTACTAATAAATTCCGTTGAAATTCCTACCTTATACTCCTTCTTCCCCTCTATTACGTAGTCTTACGTAATTCCTTGATTTCCTAAAATTCCGCTTTTGCTTATATACCTTAAGATAAAAGAGTAAGGCTAATAAGTTAAGCCCTTATAAGCTAAGCGTAAACTACTTAATATTACTTTATATAAGGGATAATAGTAAAGAGCTTCCCTTAATATTTAAGCTACTATATAGTATATTATAAAAGGAACTATTAATATTAAAAAAGACCCTTATAAACCTCCTTAATAAGGGATTTATTAAGGCTAGCTTTTTTAAGGTAGTAGCTTTAGTCTTATTTATATAGAAGCTAAGGAAGGGACTTTACTTCTATATAAACTACTAAGTATTAAACGCGATTATATA